CCAGCCTCCAGCTCCAGCTCAACAGCTTGGGCGCCGCCGGCTCCATCGTCAAATCCGAGCCCAGCAGCCGCCCGTCCTTCAGCATCGAGAACATCATCGGCGTCCCGGCCGCCAGCTCGGCCGCCAGCGCCCAGACTTTCCTACGGCCGCCCGTCACCGTGCAGTCGGCCCTGATGGCCCACCAACCGCTGGCGCTGGCCAGGACCACCGCTGCCATCGCCCCTATCCTCAGCGTGCCTACCAACATCATCGCGGGGCAGTTCCTGCAGCCCGCGGCCCCTGCCGCCGCCGTGCAGACCAAGTGGCCGGCGCAGTAGCCCAGGCCGGTAGCTCCGGGGTGGGAGATCCGGTAGCCCCGGGCACGGACAGCCGGTAGCCCTGAGGAAGGAGAACCGGTAGCCCCGGGGAGGGCCATCCCGCAGCCGCGGGGAGGGAGATCCGGTAGCCCCGAGCAGCTCCGGCCGCCCCTTCGGGGCGCAGCGGGCGCCGTCCCTCCGTGTTCCCCCCCGTTTGCCGGCCCCCGCCGCTTGTACATATTTGTATCAAAAATCACTGACGTTGCTTTGGGGGTTTTTATTTTTCTAAAGAGGCGGATGAGGGTCGCCATTAGGAGCTGCGAACTTTCACTTTTTTTGAAGGTTCCGGCGCTCCGAGCGGTTTTATCCGAAATAAAACGAAAAAAAAAAACAAACGAGGGAGGAAAAAAAAAAAAAGAAAAAATGTATAAAAATAATAATAATAAACGGGGGAAATTTTAAATATTGAACGGGCGAGAAAAAAAATTGGAGCGAAAGAAAAGGAATCCAGGAGGCAATCGCTGTCACTCTATTATAAAGCCTGTTTATATATGGATGGATATATGTATTCTAAATGTTATCCCTTCGTGTTGTACACAACTTTGTAAATAAATTTTTAAACTGCTCTGCCCGCCTTTGTGTGAGCGCGCATCTTTCCGCACCCACCCGCGGGACCAGCTCCGCACCCGCGGAGGCTGGAAATGCGCATCCGCGGAGCGCCGGGCTCTCCCCTTCCCGCCGAGCTTCAGCGATGCGGTCGGGCTTCCCACCTCCCGCCGGTCCCGATGCTCCATCCGCGGCCGCGCAGCGGCATCGGCATCGCCCCGATTCTTCGCGTATTAAAACTTGCGCGGTGGATCCGCGGCCCCCGCTCCGTGTCGGGATTTTTCCTTTAGGTGTATTCATTTTTCCCAGCCTGGCTTCGGCTCCGCATCCCGGCGCTGCGGGATCTGCCCCTTTCAGCCGGAATAGGTACGCTCGCGGTTGGCTTTTGGGGCTGATTATAAGGGAAATGATGGAAAAGAAAAGCCGTTGGGGCGATTTAAGCAACGTTTCGGATTTATTCTGCAGGGTGGGAGGCGATAAAATGAAAATCGAGCCGTGGCCGAGCGCGGATCTTTCGTTTAAATCGGGGGAATAAGCGGGGTTAAGGAAGCGGCTCCGCGTTCCCACGGGTGGGAACGGCCTTTCCCAGCGAATTCCTCCTAACCGAGTTTTCAACCTGCTGCGAACGCTCGGAACGCGGTGTATTTGTGTGTGTTTCTCTGCATTCACGGGGGTAAAATAAAGACAGCGCCAGGGTTGAAATGAAAACGGAATAGATCTGTAGGATTCCGTAGGGTTTAATCTCGGGCACCGTTTCCCTCGGACCGTGTTTGACACTTTATTCTCTGCCTCGTAAAACGTTGGGGGTTTAAAACCTTGCTGGATTTGGGGTGTTGTTATTTTTTTAATAGATATTCATTTTTTCCGCCCAAATAATTCGCTGTCTTTGTTAGGAAAACCGGCTGCGGCGGGATGCGGCGGGATGAGGAACGGGCCGAGGCGCTCATTTCACGCCGGGAGCCGCGGATTGAACCCAATAGTAAATAAAAGCGGCCCGGTAAGCGGTAAATATTATTTCATCCTAAAGAAATATTTAGACCTCGGCAGACAGAGACTAAAATAAAACGAGCGGCCCGGCGAGGGGGGAGGTTGAACTTTAATAAGGCCACGGTGATGGGCTGGAAGGGAAGGGGGGGCCTCACCTGAGGGTTCAAGGGGGGGGTGTCCCCCCGAATTGGGTCTTACTGGGGGCGGCTCCATGGGTAACAAGTCGTTTCCCAGTTGTGCCTCATCGGGTTTGCGCAAACAGCAAATGGTCCGGGGGGGGGGGGGTGTCGGGCAGCCGCCGAGGTTATTTCTATATTTAGGGCCGGATACCCCTGGGAAAAGGGGAAGGAGCCGCCGCGGAGTTCGCGTTTCGGCTCGGGAAGCCGCTGGCCCGGGGCTTCCAGAGGACACCGGGTGAGCGGGGCTCATTCCACCCCAGCCTTTGTTACTTATAAAATTACTCGCTCATGTTTCCCCGCATAGCAGCAATACCTCGGGCTCGGCATCTGCGCCGCGCAGGCAACTTTCCCCCTCCCCGTGCCGCGGCCCCGGGAAGCGCCTCTCCCCTCCCAACCCCCCCGTTACCTCCGTTCTCTCTTCCTCACCCCCTGTTTTCCAACGGCCCCCGTTTCCAGCAGGACCCTGCGGCGCTGGGGAAGCCTTTCCCGGGGAAGGGGCGGCGGCGGCTCCCGGGGCCGGGCAGCACCGGGCTCAGGAGGGACGCAGCGGCCATGGACCCCCTCCCGGCGGCCGCCTCCCGCGGGGCCCGCTGCTTCCCCGCAGGAGCGGCGGGGCCGGGAGCGTCAGCGGGGGCCTTGCGGGCAGGTGAGGGCTCCCGGTGGCGGCGGCAGCCCGAGGGGGCTGCAGTGGCGCGGCGGGGCCTGCAGGGGGCGCGGCGGCTCCCGCAGGGACCGGGTCCCCTCACCCCTGGGGCCGGGAGCTCGGCCGGTGCCCGGGATGGGCGCGCTCCTGCACGGCGGGACGAGGGAGCCAGAAGCCGGTTCCCGAAGCGGGGAGGGCTCGTAACCGGCTGTCACTGCGTGCGGCGGCACAGCGGAGCGGGCCGGGCCGGGGAAACCGGAGACAGCGTCTCCCGGTGAAGTTTCCGCAGCCGTTTTCTTGTTCTTCTTCCACAGACCTGTGCCCGGCGCGTATGGCAAAACCCGACACGGTCGGTGACAGATGCCCGTTAGTATAAGAGGTGTCGTGTCGGTCCCTGGGGTGCATTGAAAGTAACCGGATCCTAAACACGGGGAAAACGTTCCCCATCCCTGGCAGTGTTCAAGGCCAGGTTGGACACAGGGGCTTGGAGCAAGCTGCTCTAGTGGAAGGGGTCCCTGCCCGTGGCAGGGGTTGGAGCTGGATGAGCTTTAAGGTCTCTTCCAACCCAAACCATTTTGGGATCCTATGACTGTATGAAAATGAGCGTCTGCAGCCAGGCACCCTCTGACTCTCCATTATTTATGGAGACAGGACCTGGCTCTAATCTAAACCGCACTTTTTTGTTTGCAAAAGAAACGAATCGGGCTCAGCAGGGCCGTGTCCTCGACTGCTGCGGCTCTCCCGGGGCACCTTCTCGTTTGCACGGCCTCGTAAGTTGGGCTCCCCCCGCCCCCTTTATAATCAATCCCCCTCTAGGCAGGGCGGAAAGTTACTGGCTAAGGGGTGTTGGAAGATCGCGGGGAGCGTTGGAAAAGGCAGGAAAACGTCTGTTTGAATCATTAACATCAATGTATTCACTGCACATGGAGGCTGTTCCTCAGGACGGAGCCCCACAGCTCGGCTGTGTCTGCCCTTCAGCCCCCGAGCCCCGCAGGCAGCTCCTGGGCAGCGGCCGTGTCGAGCCCCAGAGCCCCGGTGCTGCGGAAGGGCAGCGCTGAGGCCGGAGGCACCGGCGGGAGCGTCCCAGGGGGAGACGCCGCTCCTGGGGCTGCCCCACGGAGGGGTGCGGGAGGAATCCGGTACCGGAGGCACTGCCCACGGGCGGCTCAGGGCTCCCCGCTGCCTCGCGTCCCTGCCGGGGGAACCGGGGGGAGATTGCCCCGCAAACCCTCCGCGCTGCCCGAACCGGTCCCAGCCGCCGGCCCCATGTTCAAGGCCGGGAACACACGGGGTGGAGGGGGGAGAAGCTCCGGTTGGGAATCGCCGTTCTCATCCTCCGCGAGGGTCTCTCACTACCGGGAAAAGCCCACCGGAGACTCTGCTTTACGTGGGGGGCGGGTTTTCCTCTGGCGGTTCCCGAGGGACCGGGAATTCGATGGGAATTTCGCTCGTGGGGCGGTATGGCAGACGTTCCCGTGTGCGCTCCCGGGGGGCGGGGGACGGGACGACTACGGAAAAGCCGCCTCGCCGTTTCGGGGCTGCTGCGGACGGGGCTCGGCCCGAGCGTTCAGCGCATCCCATTTGATACGCGCCCGCTTAAATCTCTGCCGTGCAATTGGCCGCACCCCGCGGAGCGGATTTCTCCAATGGCGACACCTCTATTCCAGGGAGTTTTATTGAATTACCTTTTACTAACCCTAAACCAGGAAGCGTTATGCACCGAGCAGCTCCAGAGCGGAGGAATTCCATCCGCAGGAAGCGTTGTAGTCAGTGACTGTTCAATGTAGGAGGTAGAGATGAACTTAGCACGTCTTCCCGACTGAGCTGGGAACGGGCTCTTCAGCCATAAAATGCACTTAACAGTCTATTTAATAGTGGCGAGGTCCTTGAGAATGCAATATCCATGCTAATCCTGCCTTTTTCTAAATCAGAAATGGAAAACAGGGCAGTAAGGGAGAACCTTCCCCTTCCATTTTAAACGTGACATTTAATCTATTGATATAACTAAGTAAACTTTATGAAGGCAGGATTGGGTAAGCAAGGTGAGGAACCAGGCGCTTCGCTGCTTTAGTAAGGTGGCGAAATGAAAAAGGAGGTTCTCCTTCGGTTCCCGGTTCGGGAAAATCCCAGTTTTCTTGAGCTTTAGCTAAATGGGAAGAGCCGGGAGCCGAGGGCGTCAGAGAACGGCAGGGATTTAAGAAAAGAACCCCAAAACTCGAGTCTAACTTCATTAAGTGTTAATATTTCAGGGAAAATAATAATAGTAGTAATAATAAGAGAAAATAATAATAATATCAAATATTAGTAGTAAATAATAACGAAACCACCAACAACGGTAATAATAATAGTAACAGCAACACCAAATCCAGCCTCCCTGAGGATAAGGGCAGAGGTTTCAAACGCGTTTCCCCCCGTTCTTGCCAGGGAGAGCCTCGGGAACCCGGGAAAAGCTCAGATCGTGAATCTGCAATTAAAAACGTCTCCGGAGTTTGTTATCCCGCCTGCTCCGCTCCGAAACTAAATCCTAAAGGAGCCGGACTGGAACTCGGGATGGCCGCAGGCTCCCCGAGCGCTCCCTCCTGCCCTCCCTGGCGCTGCCTCTTTATTCCGACCGCATTTCACTCCAAATTTCTGGAATACCCGGGAGCTATGTCCCTCGCCACCGCTCGGCTTTCCACCGGGAGAGGCAGCGGGAGCCTTCCGAGGACTCCAAGGGTTAAGGAAAGCCGTTTAGCTGCTCGTTCCCGGTTTCTCTTTACCACCGAGCGCTAAAGCCGAGCCCCGCCGCGTCGATGTGTCCTTAACGCCTTTTCCAGTCATTGATCTGGTCAATGTCACCTCGGGAACACTGGTGACAGGGACTCGATTCCAGGCGATGGGAGCGAGACGAGTGTTTAGAAAGCACTCAATAAAAAAGCTTTCCCGGGAAGGGAATGATTTCACCCTCCAACAAGGAGCTAATCCTAGTAACGCACTGGAACGGGCAGCCCCCGTCCCGCTCCCACACCGGCCCCGGGACCGAACGAACTATCGATAACCTGCCAGGCAAAGCCTAAGGATTCCTGGTTTATTTTGCAGTAGGGGCCCATAGGCAACGCTCATAGACTTGGGGTTCCCCAGCCTAGCGATTAGGGAATTCCAGGCATGGAAAATCGTGGAGGGAGGAGAGGGAGGAACGAAGAGAGGGGTTGGGAGAGGAGCAATTGAAACAGGAACCTGCGCTGGTGATTTCCCCTCCCTGTTCAGGCTGGGAGTTCGCTTTGCATCGCGTGTTTTCAGTCAGACTGGAGCTGCAGCAGGGTTCAGGAGCTGTAACTCTTCCCCTCTCCCAGTTTGGTGTTGATGGATTGTTAGGACTCTGCTTATTTGACAGATATCTCCAGACCTCCCTCAGGATCTCATTAACCCCCTAAAATGGACCTGTTTTACTTCCCAGCAATCTGCCTGATTGAATCTAACAGATCTAGGTAAAATATATACATTTGATGATCATAATCCACCATTTTCAACAGGATAATAACTCCAAACACCTCCACGGGCCAGTAGAACAGCATGACTTGTATGTTCACCTGTAGAAGACTACAGACTTCCAGCCTCTTCACACCATCCCGCCTGGAGCAACACTCACAAATGGCAGTTCCTGGAATTCCAGCGGATCTGAGCGGGACCAGGACAGCCAAGTAGTTTGCACTCAACTGAAAAATGGCTGGGAGAGTGGAAATCGGTATTCCATACGGTATTGTACTGGAAGAACATCAAGGAAGGAAAGCCAGCTCTGGTAATACGAAATACTGTATGTTTGCCAAGTGTTCATGTATTTAAACACAACCTGAATATCTGAAACCATAATCTAGGATGAAATTTGTTTTCCTGCCACCTCTGGTCACTTGAATGTCTCTGTTACAAGTGATCAAATACTTCTTGACCATACTTCCATTTGTAGCGGTTGAGTTTAAACCCTTCCCAACTTTCCTGGGATAGCAGTCCCAAGGAGAGCACCCATGGCAGTCCATCTGGGAGTCTGGCCATGAAGCCATGGCGTTTGTTTAAAACCGATGTGTTTTCTGCTGAGTTTCATACACCAGCCTCAGTCAGACACACAACCAGAAGAAAAACACAGCGATACAAAGAAATATAAATAGTGGTAAGGGATGTACAAAGATGATCTAGGATTGTATACAGACTCACGGAATGGTTTGTTTTGGAAGGGACCTTAAAGCTCCTCCAGCTCCAACTGCTGCCACAGCCAGGGACACCTTCCACTAGAGCAGCTTGCTCCAAGCTCCTGTGTCCAGCCTGGCCTTGAGCACTGCCAGGGATGGGGCACCGTGTTCTGCTACGTATTTAAAGTGAATTGAAGCCTGTGAAGCTGGAAGGCTGTAAGAAGGAGGCCTGTGGTGTACAGGATCTTTCTTCTCCGGGTTGGTTACTATACAATGGCTCCCAGACACAAAGGCTGAGGAGCTGCTTCCCAGCTCTCCGGCAGGGTTAAAGAACAAGTTTTCCAGCTGCTCCCTTCTTCTGCTAAAACAAACACTTGGATTCATGGCCTGAATCTTCCCACATGTCAGGACTGGGCTCTTCACCACTGACACCCATTATCCCATTTCCCTGCACCGCTGCAGTAGGAGCTAAGCACTACCTGTGCCATGAAGGATGCACGTGAGCATAATAAAAGGTGGGATGGTTTAGTGTGAGGTGTCCCTGCTCACGGCAGAGGGGTTGGAACTGGATGATCTTAAGGTCCTTTCCAACCCAAACTAGTCTATGATCCTATGATTCTACCCACTTCTGACAGGGGGGAATGGCTTTAAACCATTTCCTCTGATTTAACCTCATGATCTCAGCTAATAAAGTTCTCAGGCCATGGAGCCAGGCTGAGAGAGCTGGGCTGGGGCAGCCTGGAGAAGAGAAGGCTCCTGAAGGGGAGACCTGAGAGCAGCTCCAGTGCCTGAAGGGGCTGCAGGAAACCTGGAGAGGGGCTTGGGACAAGGGATGTAGGGACAGGCCAAGGGGAATGGCTTTAACCTGCCAGAGGGGAGACTGAGATGAGCTCTTAGGCAGAAGCTCTTCCCTGGGGGGGTGCTGAGGCGCTGGCACAGGGTGCCCAGAGAAGCTGTGGCTGCCCCATCCCTGGCAGTGTTCAAGGCCAGGTTGGACACAGGGGCTTGGAGCAAGCTGCTCTAGTGGAAGGTGTCCCTGCTGGAGCTGGATGAGCTTTAAGCTCCCTTCCAACCCAAACCATTCCCTGGTTTTACGCCAGCCGCAGCCAGGACACAGCCGCACCTTCCTCCTCCGAGGGCAGCTGCGCACTGCGGGCTCGCCCCTGCGCGTTTCCACCGGGGCTGCTCACGGCTCCCTCATCCCTGAGGTAAAGCCGCTGCCCGCCGCCATTCCCGCCCTCCCGGGGGCACCACGGCCCCAGCTCCCCCCTCAACGCCGTTCCCGCCCGAGGACACCCGCCGCGGGCACAACTGCGCAGGCGCAGAGCATCCTTCCTCCCTCCCTCCCTTCCTCACGCACTCACGCACGCACGTACGCACGCACGCACGCACGCCTCCTTCATGGGGGCGCGCGCGCGCTCCCGCCGGAAGCCGGTTGCGAGGCGGAAGCGCGTGCGCGCGGGACGTGCCCAGTAAGGAGCGGCGGGAACGGGCGGGATGGGGCGGCAGGGAGGGAGGGGGCATCGGCTGCCGCTCGGCCCCGGTCCCGGTCCCGGTCCCGGTCCCGGTCCCGGTCCCGGTCCCGGTCCCGCAGGGCTCCTCGGGCCGCTGTGGAGCCCCGCAGGACCCGGGCTTGGAGTATCCGCGGTGTCGGTGCGCGTGTGCCGCGGTACCCCGCGGTGCGGGAGGGGGCTGCGGGGAAGGGGAGGCCCCGGTGCCCCGCAGCACCCACCCCTCGTGTCCCTCCGGGGAGGCTGAGTGGGAGATCCGGGAGTTAAACGCGGTTTGTGACCGGGAGTGGTGGGACAGCGGGCTCACGGCGCGGGGTTGGTTCCACAAAGCACGCCGTTAACGTGGTGGTTGTGGTCTGAGGAGGGACGCGGTGCGGTGGTGCTGGGTGATGGCATCTCTTGAACCGGCATCTGGGACCGAGTTCTGTGGGGTTCCCTCTGCAGGGAGCGGGTGTTTGCATCCGTGTTGTGTGTCTGCATCCTTACAGCAGGCAGCGTGGAAGGACAGGGGTGTCCGGGGCTGTGATTTCACTCCACAGACGGTGGCATCTCGCTGACGGACCCTCTGGTGTTGCTCGTCCAGAGGTACAAAGTTTGAGACTGATCAAACCAGCTTTATCTTGCCCTGAAAACTAAGTTTGTTACCCAATGGTATAGCAAAAACTGGGGATCCGTGCTTTAGAATCTAATGAAGGCATTGCTTTTGTTTCGGGGGTATGGAGTAATTATTAAGGAGGAGGAAAGAATATTTGGAGAACCACTTTTGAGCAGAGAGAAGAAACTCGGTACCCCTGAAAATGTTACCCCAAATGCAGGGAATGGCAGAGATACAGGGAGGAGCAGAGATGAGGGAGTTACAAAGGAATTAAGCTGTAATTAATAACTGTTCTAACTGCAAATACAAAGGAAGAGCTGATGTAACTTTTATAGAAGAGAAGGGGCAGGCTCTGTGACACTTGATTTGGGAAGTCGGGTGGGATTCTGGGCTTATTTGACCCAAGTTTAGGAAGCACAAACATTCCTTTAGGGTGAAATGATCCACAGAGTCAATCTCAGTATCTGTTATTTAGGTCAAGGTGCCTCACCTGTGGTCTGAGCACAGCTGTAGCACTGCAAGCATTGTGGATACCTGTATTCACCTTTCTACCTATAGATGGTGATCTACTGCTGTCATCCAGTTGTGTTGTTAAAGTAACATTGATTTTACCCTTGGTAGTGGTGTTGGGTCACCAAATACGGATTTAGTTTGAACAGAAAATCATGTCTTGATGCTGTTTGTTAAAAAAGCAGCAGTTCAGGGCTGCTGCTGTGTGGGTTGGGTTTTGTTGCCTTATTTTTGGCAGTGGCAAGTGTATTAAACTCACTTAAACTGGATGATGCCTCTTCTGCAAGGAAAGTCTCTTGACAGTTGTACCCATGCTCATCCGCTCATCTGTAACGTATCTGTTGCTGACTGGAGGGAATGCTGCGGCTGCTGCTGATCTGGCAAAGTGCAGCTTTGGATTTACTGTTGCCTCTCCCTGTCAACACTGGAGTAGTTTCTTTTTCATTTCTTTTCTAACTCAGGCTAAAATATTTTCGATTCCCTGGGTCAAAGTTTGTGTATTTTATACTTAGGGGGGGTTGCTTAGGGCAACATCATTACTTTCTTGATTTCTGAGTTTGATGCATGTGGCCTTTAATTTGAGAGCTCTGGCAATGTATCTTATTGGATCCTTACTGTGGTGAGCAGGCTTGGTGGGAAATCAGTCTTCCTGCCTTATGGAGTAGAAAGATGGAGAAGAGCTCTCAAGCTGGGTAGGTTTGATTTGATGTATCTTCTAGGGAGATGTTGCTGGTGCTTGGGAAGGGGAGGTAGAATTTTAACCCCCTTTTGAATACTGAGGAGACTGAAGTAAGGTCTAGTTCAGGGATTTGCATTTGGTCACTAATGCCAGATGTTGCATTCCTAGGCTGGTTGTATGCAGGTCATTTATTATGCACTGGACTGTATTCCTGTGGAATTAGAACACTTGTTACAGAGTTTATAGTGGGCTCTGTGCTTTTATAGTGGCAGCAGGAGGACAGATAATACCTCATCCAGCCTAACACCTGCTAGCACATAGTTATCTTTTAAATCACTTTTGTGTATGTGTAAATCGACAGAGAAGGCTGCACTTTGTGTAATTTGGCAGCGGTTTTCTTAATCAAGCAAATACTTAATAGTGGGACACTTGTTAAAACTGTGCTTGTTAATAATTTTTTTCCTAGTGAGTTATTAATATAGTAATTTTTACAGACCTCTCAGAAGAGGTTTCTCTTGTTCAGTGACAAATAGTAGTTTGTGACCTACTTAATGCACATGGTTGGCATGAGTATTTTGACTGCTGCTACTGGTCTCTTGTAGAATCTTTTCTTGTCACAGGTAAAAACATGCTATATGTTTGCAGAACAAATTGTGGAGCTTTTTGAGAGGATGCTTAAGTTTGTATGTGTATATACAGTGCAGTGTTGATCTGGTAACTGAATTCTCTCAGGTGGTTTGAAATCTTTTACCCCTCTTGCTGCTGTTTTTATGCATTTTAGCAGATGCCTTTTCAGCTTCTGGCTCGGCAGTGGAGGAAATTGCTTCTGGGCAGCTTTGGGCTTCATGGTTAGAAATTATCCAGTACTGAAACCCCTCCTGATTGTAGCACGCTTCCAGACACGAGACAGTAACGGAATGCTTCTGGGTGGAGAGAAAGCTGGGACTAGCTGTTGTGCTATTAAATGCCTGAGGAACAAACCCACAGACAGTGCTGTAGCAATGTTTATGGTGGGTTTATTTTTTTCAGGTACCTTTTGGCTTGTTACAAAGAGCAGCTATGGAGAAGTGGAGCTTAATGACAATCACTGTTTTACTGGCACTTACTGTACGCTGGACTGTGTCGCTCAGTTCTTACTCAGGTAATACATGTTCATGGTCTGTAAAGCAACCACATGAAGGTGAATTATGGAGCTTGTGATAAATTAAAATAAACTTGCATGTAAAATCATAAATAGGAAGCAACGTGTTATTTCAAGTATTGTCGTATTTTAGTGCCTCTCTGTTTCCCTGGGGTTCGTGTAATGCCTTGCTCCTGTGTTTCTGAAGTGTGCAGTGATTAACATCACAGCTGCTTGGAATAAAATGCTGAGGAAAAAACACCACAATGTGTTTTTCTGTGTGTGTGGTGGTCAGTAATGTTTTAGGAGCTGAAGAACAGCTGCCAGTTCACCCCATGCCTTTTGTTTCAGGAGGTGCAGAATGTTATTGCAATCCAATTGTACTTTTGTTTAATCTTGTCCTTTAAGTTCTATAACAGATACAGCCTTAATTTATATTTAGCTAAAACTGTACTGGTGGTAATGAAGACAGTGTGATGTGGAGTGAGCGATTACACTCTGCCTTGTAGCTATACTTCCTTAAGGTTGTTTACAGCATAAACTAGAGCTATAATCTTTTAATAGATGAGGTTTTCTCCTCCCCATCTCAGCATGCTTGAATGAACTTGCAAGTTGTTTTTTCCAGACCTCTCAGTGCCATTCCTACACTTGGCATGAGCTTGCACAAAGCTTGCTCTCTGCAAATTAAAACCCCCTCAAACCCAAACCGTTACTTTTAATCCCCATCAACTAAAAGAATCACAAGCTCGGTCAAATTCAACTCTAGTTCTCCGTTAAGGCAATTGGGAGCTTCGTTCCCTGAGTAGTTGGAGTTGTTCTGTAGCATTCGAGTGATTTTTAAACTGGTAGCTTCTGGGTTTCACTTACTTGAAGGAATTTGCTTGTGAAGTTGCATGCACACCTTGCACAGTTGTTTGATTTCTGAAGGTGCCATTGTAAGAAATCTGCTCTGTAGGTAACAGGCTTTTCTACCCATCCATAGACAGCAAACTAAACACCCTCTCTTTTGCCACACAATGCTAAATTTCTGTTGCATTGCAAGTATTTACAACTACTTTGCTAAGTAGATTTTTTTAAAGTCAGTTTAATTTCAAACCTGTCCAGATTTTGAGAGTCTTAAAGTGAAGCCTGAGCTAAAATACCATATTTTCTAATCTTGTTTCCTATGCAATGATTGTATAACTTATTTTGGAATAGGAAAAGCTGAGTCTGATCCAGTCCAGCTAATTATTAAAGCATGTGCTTAACTTTGAGCATTGGCTGGCTATAAAAAAAAGGCAAACCTGAATGTTAGAGCGGTCATGCCTATCTACACTGGGTGTTTTTTTTCCTCTTTGACTTCCTTCAGGTGTAATATACATTTAATAACAGGAGCAAGGCAAAAAGTGGTCAGGGTAGTGCTTAAACGGCTGTGATCTCGTGTTGCTTTCACTGCTGCTCACTGCAGTGAAGTTGAGCAAAGGATTGGAAGCAGTCATCGTTCTCTGAAGCGGGCTCTAGTAGAAGTGCTGATTCAGCATGCTCTGAAGTGGTGTGGATGGCCAGAAGCAAGGGGGTTAATTCTGCCCTTATTTACTGTAGAGTCCTGGATTGCCGTTATCGGTTCTGTTCTGTTGTCGCTAGCCATCCACCGTGTTTTTGGATCTGCCTTCTGGAAGCCCATAACTAATACCTAGTTTTGAAAGGTCACCATTTATGATCACCTTAGATTGGCTGATCTTGGAGAAGTATTGAGGAAAACCTTGGCTTCATACATTAATGCATATTTTTTTAATGCATTGCTAAACTCCTGCTAAATTAAAGCTAAACACCCCTGTTGAAAGGCAGCTTCAGACCCTTAAAAACGTCTGCTTCCAGGTAACAATAGAACTCAATAAGACCACTCTAAATGAAAAGTATTTGTGACCCTTTTCAAATAAAACACTCAATTTTAATGAATTCTGAATTCTGTTTAGCTGCATTACTTGATGCTTGCTGTAGGTGGAAGCTAAATGTGCGTTCTCAGACTAAGACAGATGCATGATCCAGCTCTGTATTTGGCTTTCAGTAATCGAACTTTAGGATTAAGATCTCTCCTGGTCATTCTGAAGGAATTAATTTCTCTTCCTGTGGTGGTTTTTCTTTTGAGAGCTGAAATAAAATGTGTGGGTTTAGATATGTACCGATGTGCATATGAACACACACAAACACTGTAATTTGGATAATACCTTTTCTTGTATTTCAGTAACCGTATGACAGTTTCTTTGTTCTAGATTTATAGTTACAGAACAGTCACTGCTAAACCTCCTATTCTCCAGTGACCTCACTTATTTGGGAGACTTTCAGTTGAATGTGCCATACCGTGGAGAGAATCTCTTTACTCCCCTGGATTAAAATAGCAGAGATAATGTTCTCTCCACTACCCAGGAATAAGTAGTACATATCGGAGCTTGTGTGACTCCCACAGACATGGATCATGTGAAAAAAATATAGATGGCTTTCCTATATTTTAGAGAAACTTTTAAATCTCTCTCTGGCTCGTGTCAATATTTTACTGGAAGTGTTATCAGTCCAGTTCCTGTTCTCAATAAGCACAGGTTAATAGAAGTAAATAAATTCTGTGATAAAGATGCTTAACATACTGCCATTATTGGAGTTAGGCTTATGTTGAGGCGATTGTTTATGAGTAGATGTCTGAAGTATTTGCATTGATAAAGCTTTTTGTCCTGTGGAAAAAGAAGGAATATCTTGGTTTCCTGAGAGACTTATGTATGCATCCGTGAAAAGTGTCCTTTAATGTAATTCACTCCGCAGAACTGCTACATAGCAATCACTCAGTTGAAAAATGTGTGAGGGCGAATTCCTGTAAACCGAAATGGAGCAGTTATTATTTAGAAAGCTTTGTAGATCATAAGAAAAAATCCTTCCAAACCTATTCTGTGTGCTGAATGGCCTCATTCGGTAAATGGCTCATCTGAACTCCTTATTAAGGGACAGATGCAGTGTTCTTGCTAGGCAGACAGCAGAGGGAAGGGATCTGGGGGACTTGCAGCAGGTCCCTGGTTCTAAGGAAATATAAAGAATAAGGCTGGTTGTTACTTTTAAAAGCAAAGCACCACAACGTGGCTGAAACACAGGCGAGAACACTGTCAATTGTTATATACTAAGGACACGTAGTAGCTCACACAGAATCAGTACAGGGTGTCTGTTACGTGCATTTTCTTATTTCAGAGAAAGTGCCCCATTTTTCATCTACACTTGGAAATGATTTTTTTGTCAGATGAGGAAGCAATTCTTCACAGTGGAATATCTTGATAAATGCTTGTTGCAGAAATATCCAGAAGGCCAAAAGAATGTGTAACTTTCTTTTTTCCCTTCCCTGTTAGACTGCGTAGCCGATGAGGTCTCTATTTCATTCCCAAATATCATAAGGGAATGGAGAGTAAAATTAGTGACATATTAATATGCAAATGCATATCTAGAGGAAAAGCAATCTGCATAAACTTAATAAATCCCTAAGCACTGTCGTTTCTTTTTAGGTGCAGGAAAACCACCTATGTATGGAGACTATGAAGCTCAGAGGCACTGGCAAGAAGTTACTTACAATTTGCCCATCAGGCAGTGGTACGTAGTGTGTGGGTTACAAAGGGGTAAATGTAATGAACCTTTGGGTTGTATCTTCCTTTAATATACCTTTGAGATCTCTGCAACATCTCTACTGTTCCCTGAACTATGCTAAAATCTGTTTTGTATTAATGCAGTATTACCCTGTTCTTGAGCTGAGGCACTGTTTTCTTCTCAAAAAAGCTAAAATTTGGAAGTTTGACTTGCTAGCTATGAGTTTCTATAACAAACTGTTCTGACTTCTCTGTTGTGAAGCTCCAGCTTTGTTTTGGATTGAATGGAAAGATCCAGAAGCAATTTTTTATCAGGTTTATATGAGATCTTATAGAAACTTGTTCTCCTGGGTTAGAAAAAAAATCAGTTCAGCTTCCTGAGTTACAGATCTGTAACGCACTAAAACCTGCATGATTATCAGCACTGACGAAACCAAACCAAGCTCTGCTCATCTCCCCTAAGCTGGAAGGTAGAGGCATGCCAGTAAATGCAGAGATTTGACTTCTTGTGCTGGAGCACTGGTTGGTTTTTACACCTGCACATTTGTTGTTCATACCCATGTTCTTAATATAGGTTTTAAAATGTGGGTGCCTGGACTCTAGCTGTAACGAGAGTGAGCTTCATTTGTACAGATCACTTAAACCAGTAGGAAAATGATTCCAAATATTTTATTTCTTTTTATATTGTTCCTATTATTTCTTAGAGCTTGCATGGAATGGTAAACGTGATTTTGTCCCTGTATATGCTACAATGTAAATTGGAACACTTTGGAACTTCAGTTCATTTTCCAATAGGAATGGTTGCATTCTGTTTGCTGTAATTTTGTCCTTAGCTGTCTGTTGGGAAAAAGAATAATATGACATAATAGAATATTAATTCAATTAATTGTATTGCTGTAAATATATGCGGGGTCAGCTCTGAAAGTACGACACTCTGAAACACTGCAGATGACTTTATATTGTGACTTTGGATCATCCTGTTGTATCTATATTATCATTTCTCTTCTGTGTTTTTCTGGGATATCTAAACCCTCATTGTGCCAGAGTTGGGATAATGAAGAGCTGACATAATGATGGAGTTGGCAGCTTTGATCCACTCTGCTACGTGGAACTATATGTACTTAAAATTAAGAGTTATAGCAGGCATTACTTCTAGGCATTCCCTGAGGGCAGATGAAACTATATTGCAGGCTGGGTTTCGCCTCTGGGCTGCCAGCTGGGCATCTCAGCCTTGTTGTATTTGTGCTTTTATTTATAACAGAAGTTTTTTGATTAGGTCTGCTTTGAGAATTGAATTTCTAACACAGCAAAGTCATATTCAGTTTTGGGTGGTGGAAAAGAACATTTTGGCTGCCATGGAAGGGATTACACTCTAGAAAACTAAGCTAAGCTGTCTTTCTCTTCCTGTAGTGTAGAAATAAGCACAAAAGACATTATACTTCAGGGTGTAAAAATAGTATTCAAATTTGAAGTTGAGATTCTAACCACTTCTCATGCTGTTGCTTGTTTAGTATGAGAAGAGCTGTCTATGCAGCAAGTGTTCCTCTGTAAACTTGGCTCTGTACGTACAGAGAGAAGCTCTTGGGAGGAGAGCTGTCACACTGACTGTTAAACAGGCACCTATAGGTTATATAGCTGTGTGTTCCATGCTTATTTTCTTTGGTCCAAAACAAAGATGTATAAGACAAATTGGTGCAGTAAACTACAGTATTAGTTTCCTTGTGTGACATCTCTGAGCCAGAGGCCAGAACTTAAGTATTTCTTTTCTATATTACTCTTTATATTCTTGATATTATTTATTAAAGGCTACTCTAAGATCATCCTTCCTTATTACACTGCTAGTTAAAACTGTGACAGCTTTTTTTGCTGAGTATTACTGGGTAGAGGGGTTGTTTTTTCTGTTGAAACTATGAGTTTATGGACAGTAAGATTAAAGAAAACCAAACAAAACCCCCAGACCTAAGACAAACCCAGAAAGTTGATGACAAAGGTGTGGACTCTTACAATGTGCATGAAGAATCTGAAGTGCTTTGGCATGAACAGTCTGGAATTGTAGGGTAAGAAGCAGAGATGCAGCTCAAAGAAATGTGATTTATCATCAGCTCATCAGATTCTTCAGGCAGCTCATGAAGAATTCAAGAAATATCATTTACTATAATAGATGTCAAAAATTGGCTGCATTTGACAAGAGAAACTGGAAGAGCCACAGGCTTGCCCCATGGCAGTTAGGCTAGTCAGTCTGTTCCACTGTGAGATATAAAGGGTCTAATGCCTTATATTTATGACTTCTGTTTTCCTTGGATAAGACCTTCTGTTTCTCATTTGGAAGAGGTGACTTAATTCTGACTGCTGCCAGTCTTCCATACACGTGACACAACGTAATTCCAAATGGGCAAATCCTTTTCCTTTCTTTTACATGTTCCCCCTGAGTTTTGAGGCAGAACGAGGTAAAGTGGTTGTGGCTGATGTATCTGGTGGAGGTTTGTGCCCTTGTATGGTTATTGAGGTTACTCTCATAACTTGGTGCTGCCTTCTAAGGAACTTTTTAGCCTCTACTCCTACATTCATGCTGACACTGTTGCCTAGGTGCCCCTGCTGTGACATAGTTCTCTTCCAGATATATGCTGCTTTTTGTTTGTGTAATATCCTTATGCCACCCTTTTCCACTTCTGTTCTGTTGCTTTCCAGCAGTATAACTTCAACAGGTGGTTTTTCAGCACTTCCAGATTTTCTGTTGAGCAGAAGCAATTTACAATGTGCTACATTACAGTCTGACAGAGGAGCAGAGAAAGGTGAACTATTCCAAAGTCACTGTCACATACTGCATGTGCTGTCCAAGTCCAGGAAAGAGAGGAATAGGTTTAAATACAAGGAAGAAGAGTAACAACTAGTGAATGAAATTTCTTTTGCAATTTCCCTTGGTTTTATTTCTATTTTGGCTGTCTCCTGGAATTACTGACATGGGTGACAAAGGTAGGTTTGGTTTGGAGATGGAGGTAAGGATGTACAAACCCCAGCACAGGCAGCAGCCTGGAGCTGCAGTAGATTTCTATAGTGGTTCTTGTGCAGGCTTTGTTTTAGTCTTTGGATTTTTATCAGGCTCTGTTCACATCAAGGGTTTTCTCTCTCCAGGTAAGTAGCTTTAGCAGTGTTTTTAAACATACTTCGCAAACACAAGCACTCTGGGTCACTTTTGCTTGTGTTTTGTTGAGGTATTTAGTGTGCAGCAAAAAAGCAGATGTAGAAGTTACTGACTCCTGTGTTGGATTTTGAACGTGTTAATACAAATACTTGGGATAATATTTAGCCTTGAGCTGAAACAAAGCTGGAAATGTAGAGCCTCATTAAGGTTTTAATTATTATTCTAGGTACTTCAATACAACTGATAACAACCTGCTGTACTGGGGCCTGGATTATCCGCCTCTTACTGCCTACCACAGTCTTGTGTGTGCTTACATGTAAGTTCATGATTTAAAGTACTTTATGAAATACCAAATTCATCTCTCTCTCCCCCTTCCCCTCCCCTTTTTGTGTCTTGTCTCTCCTGAGGAGAGAAACCAGTAGCTAAAAACTTCCAATCTGGACAGCTGATGAAACGGAGAGTATTGTTTGCTTCCTTAAAGCTAGGGAATAGCTTTTATGTGTATCCCTATTGCTTAAAACTAATACTGCTGGTTTTCTGCCTTGTAATTACCTCGAGGGGGTCTGAAGGGTTACATTCCTTCTGCAAGGTCTGTAAACTTTAGCAGAGTTAGACGTGACTTAGACATTTATGTTTCCATAGAAGCTACTGTTGGATCAGTGAAAAGTGCCGTAGGAATTGTGCATATCTCATGGGAAAGCTCTCGTGTGTTGAGAGCCCAAGTGACATTTGATGACTGGATATCATGTAAATAGAATTCTGTTATTGGAATACTTTTTCCACAAGGGCTTTACTGCTGTTGGAATGAGACTTATGGAATAAGAATGTAGGTTAAAGTGCACCGGCTGAGTTATGTGGGGCATCTATGTGAACTGTAAATGGTTTATATTTAATACTTAAGCATGAAAGGTATTTACAATTGTTTTTCTAAAAGTCAGTGGAACCACACTGAAGGTGGTTACATTGTCCTAATAAATATTGTATTCCAGTTGTCCTGTTTGCAAAGATGATTCCTTTTTAATTGTCAAATAACAGCTAAAGTCTATAGCATAAACTGATGTAGCCGGGAGGGAAATCTCTCATTGATCACTATTGCTCTTTGAAATCTTCCTTCTCCGTTCATCTTAATTCTTGGAATATGCTTCTGTGCGTGTCGTCTTTATTGCTGAGAGGAGTGTAAAGGGAAATGAGAACTGTCTACGTTTTGATGTGTCTATACTTTATTTTACAGTGCAAAGTTAATAAATCCCGATTGGATTGCCCTGCACACATCTCGGGGGTACGAGAGTCAGCCACATAAGTTATTTATGCGTACAACAGGTAGGAAAATTATATTTCCTCAGGATGAAGGTACAGATTGTCTTGCTTACTAATTTAGAGGGTTTAATGTCATGCAGCTTCTCTGGCTTTACCAGTTTATTCCCAGTTCTTGGACTTGGGTAGCCATGCAGCTCCATTTATGAACCAAACTCCTGTGTTCTTTTCTCTTCTACCATACTTGTGAAGCTGATGGAATACAGAAACAAGTTCTTAACTGATTCAGTAAAAACTGTTAAGACAAAGCCACTTTGTTATAGCATATAGCTGTAATATAGCTTATAGCTATACAATATAGATTATAGCATAATCTATAGCATTTTTGAATTGGAAAACATTTTGTTGCTTTCCCTTCCATTCTCATAAACGTGCTTTTCATTTACAGCTTGGCTTGGTCTTAATTGTGGAATTATTTCATATGTAGACTGGCATTAACAACCTCTTGAGGTCTTGGAGAGGTTCATTATGAGCTGTGTCCTTTATCTTAAAGGAAGATGTATTTGCCACTTTCAGAGTCACCACTTTCTAGAGATAAACTGTTAACAAAAAGGTAAAATTGTATTTTACCGCTTTTACCCTAAACTTCATTTTCCTGCAGTTACTTTTCTGATTGTTCTGAGCTACAAAGGAAAGGTTAAAATAAGTGCTGAAAAAATACATGTGAATAACTTAATTCAGTAGCTGTGTCAGTGGGTCTGCAAACAATGGGGCCTGTGAGCTCTTGTTCTGTAAGCAGTGGTAGATGCTGTGTTATCCTGTTACTATTTTCTTTCATTTGAAGGGTTTCTCTTGCTTTGTGTAGCACTGGAATTGCACAAAATGTTTTTGGATTGCAACAGCAGAATCTCTTGTTCCTCAGTAGCTTTTCAGTACTTCACAAACCTCTGTCTGGTCCTAGGAATTGATTGAATTGGAAAGAAATAAAAATCACTAGAACTTAATTACCCTTGAAATGGGCTTTATTAGTTTTGAAATCAACTCATTTGACAAACCACTGATGGCTCGAGCAGAGCTGATAAACGCTTTTTAACAATAGCCATTAGAAGAATGCATTCAAATAATTCAGGGTGGTCTGTGTCAGCTCTTGGCATCGCACCTTTGTCTGAAGTGTCAGTGGATTTGTTTTGCTAATGCCTTGGGTTTATTTGTTTAATTGTGGCTTCAGCACTGAATAACTGATGTCTTTAAACATTCTCTTCCAAATCCTATGACTACAAAGAGGCAAATTATACTTTCCCTCTTGGGATAACTGAAACTGGTGTATAGGAATAATCTGACTCTTTCTTGGACTCTTAAGACAACACTCAATTCACCTGGTGGTTTAAGCATGAGCAGGAGTTGACACAGTTCCAGTCAGGTGAGCCTGCTGGTTCTGTTGTCCACCCTCGTACAAATACTTGCTGCAGACAGATGATGAAAGCCAAATAACTAGTTTTAGACTGTTTATTCACATCACACAGACCAGGGATAGTTATAACCTAGAGCTTCATAATTGTGTCTCCAGACTATTTGTTTCATCAAACAACTTGACTGGATCTGGTTGTAGTTGATTTCTTTGGAGAACGAAGAATGCCTTCTCTCATTTCGGCATGTGAGGAACTAGAGTGCGCTCTCTTACTGACTGAGGCTGTGCCAGAAGCCAAAACAGCTGAACGCATGGAAGCAGCAGCTTCTGGACATCAGAAATGATAGCATTCGAGACATTAACAAGATCAAATTCTGTGCACCCATTTCTTTCTGTCCTTTGAAGTGAAACTCCCCAGTTTATTCCAGTGAAGAACTTTCTGATATTTTAATGTTTATTTCCCTATATTTTTTCCTTGGTTTTCCCAAAACTATTGAAAAAAATGAGCTTTGGTGTAGCTGCCAACTGGAGCTATGTTTAAAGCAATGAAACATACTGTAGCACAATGTAAGATAATAGAAAAGCTTATTCAGCTGAAGCTGTAGCCCTGGGACTTGTGAAATCCAGCTGAATTGAATGACTAAGTGAAGTTTTCAGTGAGGGTACAGAGGTAAACCCCACATTCAAAAGGCAGACAACTAGTCTCACCCCAACACTGTCTAGTTATCATCTGAGTGATAACCACCAAACACAACCAAGGCATGGAGCATTCAGAAGTTAAAACCGTAAGTAAGAGTTGACGATTCACAATCCACATGAAGATGTGTGACTCAAGCAGCATTAAGTGGGGTATGTGTGAGGCTTCTAATACAAAGTTACTCTTTGTTTTTCAGTGATTGTTGCTGATTTGCTGGTTTATATTCCTGCAGTTATTTTATATTGTTTTTCCTTGAAAGAAACATCTACTAAAAAGAAGGCAAGTATCTGGTGTGTGTGTAAATGAAGAAACAAGGAGAGCAGCCTCTTAAAACAGGGGAGAAATGTAACAGTACGAGAGTTAATGTGTAGAACACTGTGATGGTTTTAATTGACATAGAACTGTTGTATCTTGTATTAAAGGCTTTTCAATTAAAAAGATAAAGCCATTAATTATCTGACAGCAATTAATATAATGCTTTCAATAACAAGATGCTCTGAACTCCTGAATTATGTCTCTTTATGAACTTGGGTAGTAAACCCAAGATAGGGGAATCCAGGAACTGCTTTGCCTTGCACAGTCCTTATGGCAGAACCCATGCATTGTGGAATAAGTCTTATGGTTTTTGGAGTGGTTCCAAGGCTTAAGATGGATGTGGGTGATCTCAGCTGGCTGGCAAAGGGGAGCCTGGTCTCTATTCCATGTTTTCTCACTTATGGAAAATCTTGATCTTTCTTGATTACTCAGAATATCGCTGTAAGAATATTGTAGAAAATCAGATTCCTACATATAGGATGCACCATGGAGGGGCAAAGTTTTGTACTGGAGTAGTAGTATAAGTTCCTCTATTTCTAACTTAGAAATAATTATTTTCCTCTTTTTTTGATCCTTCTTCCCAGGTTTCCAGTGCTCTCTGCATACTGCTTTATCCAGGCCTCATTCTTATTGACCATGGACACTTTCAGTATCCTTCTTCTGCAGTGAAATTCCTTTTGATTTATGAAGTACCACTGTTCTTTTAGTAGTTGTCTTTAGCTGGGCAGGGGGTTACTTCTGTGTACAAAGGCATCTGGGGGGCTTCTGCCTACCCCAAAGCAGAGATGACAGAGAAAACTGTAAGTCTGGAATATATTGGGGATAAATAGTTGAGATTGGGACAAATCAGACATAAACAGCATTCTTCCTGTGCCTTGAGCTCATGTTTGTCAGTCACCTTATTGCAGAAAACATCACTAGCATGACATCGACAACACTATAGAGTGGAAAGAATGATGGCTTGTGCTCCTGTGCTTTGTGTTTGGAGAGAGAACCACCTTAGATCTACCTGAGGTGGCAGAGGGGCGAGTCAGATGGAGTATGTAAAATGTTCACTTATGTAAAATGTGCCATCCTGTCTTACCTTTGCCATTACGTGAGACTGGATTCACTTCACATAATGCCTAACCATTTACCAGCTGGGCACCTAACATGAGTTAGGCTGTCAGGCTGCCTGGTCAGTGTCGGTGGCAGATACCTTCAGATGGACTAAGACTGAATAAGATTTGAACAAGATTGCTGGTTTTACACTGGTTTTGCACATCATAAAACAAATGCTATTAGCTGATTCCTCCAGGCTGCGCTAGGTAGTGCCATTGAGCCAGTGGGACACAATCCTGGAGTTGTAATGAATGTTAATTCTTGTTAATATTTAACTATATTATATATACTGTATTATAATATACTAATAGTTAATATTTAACTATTCCAAGGAGATGTTGAATCTCTGTGTCTACTAAATCAAGTCTTGACAATCAAATACTAACGTGGTTTCCTAAGAGAGGGCCTGGTGAACTTAGAAGATAGCATATCTTAGAATGTAGATTTCAAAGGAAAAGAGTTCCTAATGCTACTGGGTATTTGACTTACAGTTCAGGGCGTCTGAAATTGTATTTGTGGCCTGACTCTAAAGATACAGATTGTCTGGAGACATCACTTACAAGGATAGGGATGGGAACGGATGCATCTCTTAGAGAGAAGGTGGTGGTCAGGAGGTGGCACAGGGTTATACTTTCTAGTATGCATAAAGAGGAAGGCAGTTATCTGCTCTGTGTGTTCCACATTGGATAGGGCAAGAAGTAACGTCCCTAAGTCACCGTAGGGAATACTTGGGTGGCTTTTTAAATACTTGGAAAAATCTTTGAACCATAACTACAGTGGAATGCTGGAATAGATTGTGGATGTTGTGGAATCTGAGCATCAAATCCTTAAGAAAAGGTTCCACAAACCTCATGTCTGGGTGATGCAGGTGTAGCAGATGCTGTGTTGAAGCGGACAGACGCAGTGCAGGGTCTCCTGTGCTCTGTTGCAGCCCTGTTGCATGGATAACTTCCCTAGCTGTGACCAGCTCTCAAGAAGTCAATAGATTTACTTAACCTGAACTGCTGCTGCACATCTCTGCAAGGACAGAGCCTTTTGATGGTGATGTGAAATTGAGATCTCAAATATACATGGCAGTAAAACACAGCCCTAAAGGAGGCCTACAAGAAACCTTTGGACCAGGGTCTGTAGGGCCAGGCCAAGGGGAATGGCTTTAAGCTGCCAGAGGGGAGACTGAGATGAGCTCTTAGGCAGAAGCTCTTCCCTGTGAGGGTGCTGAGGCGCTGGCACAGGTTTTAGCAACTTTGTACAGTATTAGCACCTAAGGGGACTGCTTGTGGATGAGAGTGTGGTGTGAGTAGAATATATCACAAAATCCTCAGGAGTCCTTGATCTAAGTAAAATATAGTTTAAATACTGATGTATTTGAATGTTCTGTATGTACCTTTTGAGAGCTGGGAGGAAACACTCTTGAAGTGTTTATCTTTAATCATGTAAATACCAAGAAAAACATGTTGACCCTGATGTATTTGACAATATAGTCCCCAAAATCCTGGTTGACTTAATATATGTTACTTGTATAATGAATATACAGGCTATTTAGCCTCAAAATTGCCTGTGCAAACTTTGAATCAGGCTTTGTAAATCTTAAATGGAAGTACAGTTACTTCTGTGTGTGACCAGCACAGTTAAAATGGGCAGTGTGCTTTTAAAACTAACTTGAAAGAACTCTTATGTGCCATTTTTACACTCATCCCTCTGGACATTCATTGCTGCCTTCCAGTATGAGGATGTGTATCTTGTCCTTGACATAAAAAACCATATACAACTCAGTGAGCCTGGGCCTTGCCCTGTGGGGTGTACTTTATTTGTCTTATGACTGGGACCTGTTGGGCTCAGTGGCCTTTTGCTTGGCCTTAAATTACAAGCAAATGGAACTCTACCATTCTCTGCCCTTTTTCTGCTATTTGCTTGGCAAGTGCTTCAAGAAGGGACTGAAAGGAAAGGGGTAAGTGACCTAAACCATTGTATCCACTTCCTGGCATTGGGAATGTTATTCTTATTTGCATGTGGGCACTTCTGCATTAATTTCTAGTGGAAGATCCTTCTTGTAATGTATCCCTCTCCTGCAAGATAAATATATCTTGTTGAGGTCTACATGAAGTATTTCCATTGAACAAACAGCAAAATCTATTCAGGTGTGTTTAGCACTCTTCATGCTGGAAACTAACTTAAATCTGGGCTGCAGCAGGCAAGCAGATAAGATTGACAGCAGTAATTCTATGGTTTTCATGAGGTTGTTCTCATTAACCTGGGGACAATGAGCTCTTCCTGTGGTGCTGGTGGCTCCTGATTTAGATTTGTTGCCTTCAGTTCTGTACCCCGTGTTGTAAAAGATTTATGCTGTAAGCTGACTTGTGTTACCAGTAGGTGGATTGATCTTTTCTGATGTGTTTCTCTTGCTTGCAGATTAGTATTGCTAACTAAGATAGCAGGGACAGTGGTGGTTTCCTTCGCTGTCTGCTGGCTCCCGTTCTGTACCGACATGGAACAAATCATGCAAGTACTCAGAAGACTCTTTCCCATTGACCGAGGCTTGTTTGAGGCATGCATGTTTTCTTCTCCCCCACCCCACTGTAAATGTTCTGTATTCTTAGATCCCTTGAGAAACCTTCAGCGTGACCTTTAGGGATTTCATGTGGGAGACACACCACAGAACTCGTAATTTGAGCTGCCTTCTTCAGCAGTCATTTCTTGCCAGTTATTTAATCCAGTATTTAACCCCAGCTCAGCTGGCATCTTCCAGGATATTATACGAGTAGACAACACTTATCCCATCATCAAACCCATACTTCAATCCATACATTTTTCCATTGAAATAGATTCCATAGTAATTGACAGTGTCAGAAGATGTAACCTTGAAAGTCAACAGCTTCAGCCTCTGTCTGTAGTCCTGCTCGGCTTCTTTGGGACAGGATTCGTTATTAAAATCAAATAATTAAAAATAGTGGTTTGAGTGCATTTTACAACTTCCTTTTTGTCCCACTTTGCAGAAACTGGCACTGAAAATCCACTGTTTTCGGCCAGTTCTGCTTTTCCTTTCCCCAGGCTATGGAGATTTGCGTGCTGCAGGGTGCTGAGTACCTTAAAGTAAAGCCTTAATCCAGGAAAGCAATTCCTCATTCACCTAATGCTAACACAGCACCAGGGAGTCCTGCTGATAAAGGAAAGGGGATTCCTTTCCTCAGCACCACCGAGTTGTTGCTGCTGTTTTCCTTAGTTAGGGCATGAATCTTAATATTACACTTTAGAAAGCAGCTTCTCAGCTTCTAGTTCTAGCACTAAAATGAAGCTTGGAGTTTGCAGGGTTTGATGTCTTAGGGACTTAAGCAAATATTTACATAGGTTAGTTCATCTTAAATATTGTTTTTATCTTCTTTAGGTATAAATATCACAAATGGCCCTTTTCTCTTGCTGAAAGGCCAAAGGCACCTATTTATTTAGGCAGTGCTATTGAAGTGTTCTCAGTGTATTCTCTGCTAGGTTAGTTAAAAGCAAATAACCCAAACCCCGACCCCCCGCAAAATGACCCAACAACCAAACAAAATGCCCAACAACCCCTCCAAAAAAAGACCATGTCCAAAAATCCCAAAGTAGAGCACCCCCCCCAATAACCCTATTTCTTAGGAATTACTTGGAATTTAGAAATGGATAATTTTGATCGTCATGCTTTTCATTCAGTACCAAGTTTAAAACTAAAATGTGTAAATGACAATAACCAAGGAGTCAGAAAGAGCTGACGGATTTTAGTCTAATATTAGCCCAGATATTTCCCGAGCTGATCAGGGGTGAGTTGCTGGATGCTGATCGAGATAAACCAAGGAATTGTCCACGTAAGCAACGCGCAGTAAATTTACACTGGGGTGCCTGGAACAGGTTCTTTGAATCGGTTCCCATTTACAGCAGCAGTAACAAATGCTGCTGGTTGTAAAACAGTATTGGCTACTAAGTAGGCGTCCCGTGTGTGTGTGTGTGCTGGTGCTGCCAAACCCTCTGTTGGCTTGTAATCCTGAGCAGGTTCGAGGCACATACTCTGTATTGCTGCTGAGCATGTGAGGAAGATGGCTCAGTTGTTGGTGCGAGCAGCTTTCGCGGTGTTATGTCTACACAGCTGTGCCTCCAGCAGCTGTTTCGGGATGAGTTTCAGGAGCATGAGAGCTGTGGTTACAGATTTAATTTTGAAAGTGATCCTAGCACAACTGCTAATGTCCTTAGAGCTCTTGATTTATTAGGGGTTAACTCTGTCATTGCTAGCAGGCGGTAAGCACGGCTAAACACACGCAGGTACGTCACGAAACGTGGCAGGGTACAGAATGTCTTCACGTTCGAGCAGAGATTTGCGTACAGCAGTGTTTACTCAGGGACAGGTAGGTTCAGAGCCTTATTCTCACAAGGTGTGTGATCTCCTGCGTTCAGGGGCAGCCTCTTGTGCTGAAGAACTATTTCTCAGTGACTTTGAAGTATGCTCATCCCTGACAGTGTTCAAGGCCAGGTTGGACAGAGTCTTAGGCGACATGGTCTGGTGTGAGGTGTCCCTGCCCATGGCAGGGGGGTTGGAACTGGATGATCTTAAGGTCCTTTCCAACCCAAACCATTCTATGATTCTGTTTCCTTGAGTCTTTTGAAAGTTCTCATTTTGGAAGATCAGAATAATATAAAGTACATCTAAGCATATCTGCAAGTGTCTCTTTGCACTATTGTGGTAAAACCTAATAATCCCCCACTTCCCAATTCCATTCTTGTCACAAATATTACTTCAAATGAGTGTTGTTATCACTAATTACCTCTTTTCCCCCTTCCAGGATAAAGTAGCCAATATTTGGTGCAGTCTAAGTGTCCTTATAAAGATAAAGGATGTAATGTCACCTCAAACTCAACTAAAACTCAGGTAAGACATAACTGAAGTGTTTTACATAAGTCACTGTTGGTCTTGATTTCTGCAAAATGACTGATTTTGGTCAAAGAATGAGAAATGGTGTTTAAAATCTTGAATAAATGTTTTCTTTCCTCTACTGTACCTTCCTCCCAAGCGATGCTTGCTCCAAGTGATAATGCTCCACCCCTGGCAGTGTTCAAGGCCAGGTTGGACAGAGCCTTGGGTGACACGGTTTAGTGTGAGGTGTCCCTGCCCTTGGCAGAGGGTTGGAACTGGGTGATCTTAAGGTCCTTTCCAACCCAACCCATTCTATGATTCTGTTCCCCAAGTGCTGTTAGGAATATTGATGACTGAAAAAAATCCTGCTTGGTTATGTAGTGATTTGAGCTACTTGGCTGGTTAAAACTGAGATAAAACTTCCATGCTTTCCTCTTAAAGAACTACCTCCTGTAGTGCTCTTGGAAGTTAGAGTTCACAGGTCCGGTTTTCTGACTAAATGGGAGGATTCAAGTCTAGGTCTGCAGAATCAGAAATATCAATAGATATCATAGAACCATCTGGGTTGGAAAAGACCTTTAAGTTCATAGAGTCCAACCATTACCCTAGGACTGCCATTAATAAATGCTTTATTCCTTGTTCAAAAGCATGTCTGTCAGTGAAGAGCACTCAGTGCTCTTGTGATGGAGCCTCCTTGGGTCATTTTGTACTTCTGAAAACAAAAACCAAATTCCAAACTTAGATAACCTTCACAAGTGATCATATGAGAGCGTGGATGTAGCTCCTCGTGTATTGAAACTGGTTTTCTTACACAACTCCTTAGTTTTGCTGTAACATTCCTGAGCCTGCTGCCTGCTTGTGTAAAGCTCACAGCCCAGCCTTCTCTGCGAGGATTTAAGTTTGCTTTGGTAAGTGCTGCATGTTTTTAAGTGCTCCTTGGTTTAGATCAACCACTGAGTAGTTCCACCCGCTGTGATGTGAACTGTGGTACCAGTCAATGTCATTGTGCTGCTGCTGAAGAGATCACTTCAAGTGCTTTGTTATCATGTGTCCGGGGCTCTGACCTGTCTTTTAAATCCAGATTTTCTCCTTGAGCCACAATTATTTAGTGTGCATTCTTATTATCTTCCTCTGAAGAGTCTCTAGAAGGTTCCATACACATTAAAGCCTTATGCAGGGTTGGAATGTCTCCTGTTATTGTTTAGCTTCCAAAGTACTGGTTTTTCTTAATCTTCAGCTGCAAAAATCAGTAACAAATGTCCCCAGATGGACATGTGAGCTCTTGGTGGTTTGAAAATGATACTGTTTTCCAAATGTTTGCCTTTCCTTAGTCATATCATTGAATTTAAGCATATGAACCTGACTTACATGTGAAAATCAGTGTTTCCTCGAAATCAAAATCCTATGGAGCTGGTCCTAAGGTTTCAAGAGTTAAAAGATAATTTATACTTCTAATTTTATGCAAGTAAAGTTTTGAAAGTTCATCACAGCATTGCCTTAAAATTAACATTTATCCTTTCTAAGAACTGGTTTACGTTGTAGTGTCTTGTGTTTCGTTTGGTGGGAGGAAAAAGGACTGTGTTTAACTTTGGGGTGTTGGCTGGTCATGATAATGACCAAAATTCAGTCAGAGAGGTGGGTAGCTCTCATCAGGACTGAGCTTTGCCAGTGTTTGTGTATGTGAATGTTGTGTTTGCCACACAACAGCGTCCCACAGTTTGGGGATGCTCTTGGCAGTAAAGCAGAGCAAGAGTGAGGGCTCTTCATGTTAAGTGCTTTGTGACTACACTGAGTAAACTTTCAAGCAATGTGTTTCTCAGTGTGTAGAGGTGGTGACAGAAGCACCTCTATGCACTTGGAAATGGCACTGGAGTAAATGTAGCAGTTAATTAGAAAACTACATCATTTAGCTCAGAGATTCCTGTAAAGTCTGTGCCAGCAGAGAAACTAAAGCCTCCCTTTGCATTGCAGTCACATAGACTAATGTGTCTCTGATTTGCTTTCCTAAGGTTAGTTGTGCATTGTCATTTTTCCTGTTCTCCTTTCAAGTACATGAAAAATCTATTCTTCTAGTGTCAGTGTAAGTAAATGATTTTTCTGGGGATATATTTTGATCTTCTTTTCCTCACCTTGTTATTGCATGCTGCTTCCTCACTTACAAATACATCTGATTGTAAAAACTCCACACATTTGCTTTTCTGAATAACTCATAAGTGAAAGCATGCAAATAGAGCCATGCTGCTCTCTCCTGCTTCACCCATCTCTGGGCCATGTGTCCTGGAGCACGGAGAGGTACAGGCCATAGCTGCCTGCCTGGGGCTGGTTGAGGTGAGGGTCCATGCTAAGCAGAGGTGTCACTCAGCTGCCCAGCATGGCTGCAGGTTGAGCTTGGATGTCCTGTGTGTATCTGAAAGTAATGTTTGATGAAGGAGGATTTTGAGAGGCTCTGGCAGAGGATGCTCTTCACATGCTGCCTGTTCCTGGGTTTTCCAAGCCTGTGCCAGTGTGGAATAGAGCTCTGCCTGACCTCCTGGAGGACTGGGAGCACAGCATCTGGGTAGAGGGGGAAGTGCTGTCACTCAGAGTTTGCTTATCTGTTTCTCCTCTCTTCATTCTAGACCAGTCTGCTTAATCATAAATGAAATCCCTTTTATGGCCACGTGGTTTTTACTCGTGTCAACCTTCAGGTGAGTTGGACGCTGATAATAGTGTTTAAATAGATGTTCTTTCCCCAGTTCCAGTATAAACATCTCCTTTTCCCCTTTCTTTTTATGATCTTTAAAGTATAACTTGGATTGTGCCCTCACTTCTGTGGGTAATTCTGTTTTAACAGCATGCTGCCTCTGCTGCTGAAAGATGGCCTGCTGCTGGCCTACGCTGTGAGCATGCTGGCGTTCCTGTCAGTCTGCACCACTTCCTTTTCCATATTTGAGAAGACTTCAGCCGAGGACCTGCAGCTGAAGCAGTTCTCCCTTTCCCTGAAGGGATACGTTTCTTGGTTTAAGTCCTTTCCCAAGATTGTCAGGATGCTGGTGAGCCATTTTAATTCCCACAGCTCTTCCCTGCAGCTCTTCCTGGTACTGAAGGAGTTGAATGAACCAGTTTTATGTCTGTAACTGCACATTATTCCCTGTGAGGGTGCTGAGGTGCTGGCACAGGGTGCCCAGAGAAGCTGTGGCTGCCCCATCCCTGGCAGTGTTCAAGGCCAGGTTGGACACAGGGGCTTGGAGCAAGCTGCTCTAGTGGAAGGTGTCCCTGCCTGTGGCAGGGGGTTGGAACTGGATGAGCTTTAAGGTCCCTTCCAACACAAACCAGTTTGGGATTCTGTGATACAGCCCCAAACAGGGAAAGCCACACTGCACCTGTGTAAAGATGTGCTGGAATGTTTTTCTGCAAGTATAGAGTGAAGAATACAGAGCAGCCAAGTAGTAAAGTAACAGCTTATTTGTTTGAGGTTTTGAATCATCATTAGCTAATGCATCATTCCTTCTCTTACAGTTCCTTATGTCCATAACCCTGATGGCTGTCCTGTCTGTGATGAGTGCCATGGTGCATCCCCCACAGAGGTTACCGGATTTATTCCCTTTAGCTGTGTCTATTATTTCTTGCTTACATTTTATACTATTTTTGGTGTATTTTAACATTGTTATTCTGTGGGACTCAAAGAACAGTAGAAGTCAGAAGAAAATCAGTTAATGAACCTGTGAAGATCAAGGACTAAACTGTATTCTCCATGAGCAGTGTCTGGCATTGCAGGTAAACCTGCTCATGCTGTAATACAATTCCTGTATCCTAATGAAAATCAGGAAACACATAATGTGTATTGAAACACAAAGTAATCAAGGACTTTTAAAGGAAGGAATATTGTGAAGAGCATTTGGAAATGTGACTTGGTGTCGTCTGCAGAAGTGTAATACTTTTTGTTACCATTTGTAAACTTAAACTCCCTAATAAAGGACCAAATTTTGAGTTAAGGCTGAAGTCCCCCACCTGTATTGGCAAAGCAGCTTGATGCCATTGAGTTTACAGGTTTCCCAGCATAAAAAGTGTGAGCAAGTGGGTTAAGTATTGAGTAGAAACTCCTCACTGGTAGCTCTGAAGTTGTCTTACTGAATTGTTTTATGACATAAACTCTTCTTGTATCAGTTTCTGTCCCACATCACTCTTTGCTCCCCAAGTGGGGGGTATGCTCTTCTCTTGGTTCTTCATCTGGTGCTGGAGGGGAGGACATGTGGTCTCCAGCAGATGGGATCTAAAGCTCAGCCCCAGCACAGACCCAAGTGCTGTAGCCCGTAAGCACAGCAATTCACTAGCAGCTTTGGTTCACCCACAGGCTTTTGGTTCTCTTGTGTTACGTGTTCCTTTCCTCAGTACCAGCACTTTTGGAATGCTGAAGAATTGTCTAAGCCACAGATACACACACAAGCTAATGCTGGGTGCAGGGGTAGAGGCTGTGATGTTTGGGAAGGGGAAGGCTTGTGTGTGTGCAGCAGGTTGGAGGATGCATCTTTCTTCACTGTAGTCATCAGCTGTGATTTGGTTTTAACACAGTTGTAGCCTTTTGACTCAACTGTTTCTAACAGGGCTGAAAGGCCAAAAGCTCTTGGTTCTACTGAAATAAAGCTGAGGATACCACACTGTGCTTTGAAAGTAGGTACTGGGTGCTTCAGGGATAAAACCCCCCAGTAAACTCCCCACCTATTGCATAATTTGCAGGTGTAAATGGAACTAAACTCTGCAATTTCTCCCTCTGCACAGCCCAGCTTCTGCTGCAAATAATTGAGAGAATAAAAATGGATTGAATAATTATATATGTATATAAAGCACACAGAAAATAAATCATAAACCCATTCCTGGTAGTATAGTTTAACTAGGAGCCAGTCTGTCCTTTTCCTTCACATACAAAAAGCAAACCCATCCTCATTTAAGGCTTCTCTGTGTGCTGTCACATTCCAGACTTCTGCTGGCATTGGCAGTGTTATGGTGAGTGTGTGAATCAGCTGTTCTGGGAACTTCCACCTGTGTCAGCTCTGAATGCTGCAACTGAAGTGTCTACAAGCTGAGTGCGTTTGTTCTGCTTTTCCAGCTTTACTTGTTGGCTGCAGTTACATTTTCCACAAGGTTATAACCATGGCAGCTCAGGGAGAACACAAAAGGTGCTCTGGAGTAGTAGTTGTGATGGTGTTGGGGGTGAGTAGAGGTTAGTGGTGGGCCTACACTGTAACAGTTCACTATAAAGCAATGTGACTTAAGTATTTCCACAAGTATGTAGAGCTTCTGTGAGGGTGTGACCCTCGTGGTGGCACACAAGAGCTCTGCCCACAGCGTGGCCTTTCCTTGGAGGAGCGTAGGCTGAGGGGCAGAGATGTGTATCAGGATGTGTAAATGGGGATCTTTGTCTCCAGAGGCTGTGAAAGCCAAAGCCCGCAGTGTTCCCTCCACGTGTGATGGGGTGAGGGACCACCAGCCCTTGAGGCGGTCTGGAGGACATCTCCTTCGACCCAGGCAACATCTGAAACGGCAAATTAAGATGGAAGGAAGCAGAAGGGCTTCAGGTTCTCATGGGCTTGGTCTCGTGTTCAACACAAGGTGATGGTGAGATCCTTCCCCCCATATAAAAACATTAGTTTTGAGTGTATCTCTTTTCTTTGTCCTTGAGATGGCTTCAAGGGGTGATAAAGTGCGAGTCATACGATCCACCTTGTGTGGAACTGGAAATGGTTCTTAACAGCCCCAGCTGTTTCTGAAAGGCAGCAGCCTGGTACAGCAAAGGGGTCAAAGGAACAGTAACTGCTCAACTAGCACAGGCATGTAATGAGGAGCATTTGCAGCAGAATCTCAGTATAGAGCTTTCTGCTTCCCTAAAACATTATTAAACACCAAATTTCATGTTATTTAGTAACTGCCATGGTGTGAGGCACCACTGACTCATATTAGCCATCACCTTTATTGTTCTTTTATTGTATGCATGTTGTCTTTTGTTCTTCCAAGACTAGACAGAAGGGATTGATTTAGATGAGTGTGTGGTTGGTTTCCAGATGCTTTTTAGATCAAAAGTATTCCTAGCTACAAAGGTTACACTCAGGTTATATAAACTAGATATATATAAGCTAGAGCTGGTTTGGGCTCACCTTCTACTATCCCTAAAGCCATCAGCTGGGGCATCTTGTGAGTACAACCACCACCAAACAGCGCAGGAGGGTAACAGCAGAAGGGAGTAACTGCCACAATTCCCTTCCAACAGTTACTAACAGCTTTTCCACTTGGATTGCACAGGTATTATGTAAACATTTTAAAGGCTGGAGCAGACAATCCTTGAGGTCCCTTCCACCCTGGTGTTCTATGATTTTTATTAACTAAAACTGCCCAAAGCTCCAGTGTGGATGTGTTCACCCACACTATAACACAGCATTTTGGTCCTTGGTATTTTAGTTGTAAAAATCAGCTCTTTGCAGCAGTAGAAAGGGTTATTCATATTTACATTGAACTATCTGGAAGAATAGCAAAAAATGGAATATAAAATAAAGAAAAATCATCCTACTCTTCCAATATGAGACAGGCTGCACCTAACACAGTGATCTGAGGTGCAGGGGCTGCAATAGGCTGGAGGGGTGGTTTTGAGGATAGTGGTTTGTAACAACTCTTCCCATACCTCACTGAATTCCAAAACCAAGGTAAAATCTTGACAAAAAAAATGAATGGTATTAGAGCCACGTGTTTGAACACTGGGGGCTTGAAAGTGACACCTTTCTATTGTGTATCTTGAGTTGATGTTCTCCACTATGAGGGAGAGGCACTGGCACAGGGTGCCCAAAGAAGCTGTGGCTGCCCCATCCCTGGCAGTGTTCAAGGCCAGGTTGGACACAGGGGTTTGGAGCAAGCTGTTCTAGTGGAAGGTGTCCCTGCCTGTGGCAGGGGTTGGAACTGGGTGAGCTTTAAGGTCCCTTCCAACACAAACCAATCTACGCTGTCAGAGGAGACAGGACCGTGGATGACATCTGTAACTGTGGCAGCCATAGAAATTGAAGTTGTTTGCCAACAACTTCAGTGTGCTCAGCACTTGGAATAATTTCTTGCACACTAGAGCTTTCTTCTAGTTTTGATCCAAATCCTCATTAGCAGAAGCCATACATTTCCAGACAGGCTGTTGCAAAACTGGATGCATTTATTTCAGTCACAGTTAACCGGCTTTTGTGGGGCTGGTGGCGTGATGACAGGAGCAGGGCAGGAAGCAGTCATTTCCCACAGAAGGCCTGGGATGCAAAGGTCATCTCTGACCAGAGTTTCTTCTTGCCTGGTTCTTGTAGGGAGGGTTAGAGGTGGGGGATTGGTTTATTTGCTGTAAAACCATGGCAGCATAGATCTCTATTTGCCATAAGAACATACATTTTCCATGCAGCAGCCAAGCTAAATGAGCATTTTGCACTCCTGCTTGCATAAACCAACCAGGATGTATTATTTACATTGGGATCATCTGGTTGTGCACATTGTTCAGTTTAAATAGATGCCAGAAATTGTATCTAGATGTGCACCTGCCCATCACAGGGAGCAATCCCAAACTGGTATTTGCTGGGGAGATTGGTTTACACTCATTTCTTCTCTCCTTTTAAGTACAGCCACACAGATGTAGAACTTTGGGTTGCTGTGGAATGCATTTTTCACATAATGCCTGTGTGGAGAGGAGGAATGACTAAAATAAATAGCAATTAGGCAGCAGCAGCATCATTCATGTGATCTGCTCAGCATTACATGGCTGTCCTGCGGCCAGAACTGCGTAAGAAAGGACAGACAGAGGCACAGACAGCCTAAGGCAAAGCAGAGCAACAGATGGTCACTGCAGCCACATTTCAGATGTTGTAAGGAACCGCTGTCAGTTTATCTGTAGAAGAAGTTGAGAAGTAATTGCTGAAAGATCATTTAACTGCCACAACTGAATTCTTGTAAATAATAAGAAAACAAAGGGCTTTATAGTGATGGCTCCACTTACAAAAGGGGTAGAGAGAACCAGGAAGAGTAAATGTGTCTCTTTTTTGACCATAGGGCCCAGAATCAATATTCACTGACTAAACACTAGTCTTGGACATAAACTTGTAGTGGGGATGAGTGCTTTCTGATCTAACTTTGACTTGAAACCTCGTAGTTGTCAGCATGAGTTTACTTCAGGCTAATAAGCCAGGGTAAGGCTTAAAGTGATTATTGTACCATAGAAAGGTCACTCTGTGGTCTCTGGGACTCTGAAATTCTGCTGAATGGAAAATGAGCTGCTAAACAGGCCACTAGTGCTGCTTGCCTGCAGGGCTTCCCACCCCTCCGTTATTCTGGTGTGGGAGCTGGTTTGGAAGGAGTAAAGAGGAGAAAGCATCTCTGGCATAAGCAGCTGGGAAGTGTAAGGGTGGCATTAGCTTGGGGACAAGCAGGGGTTTAAAGCTTTTTTGCTACTAGGTTACTTGTGATTATAAGATAAAAGGGCTAAAGCCTTCATTGAGAAGCAAAATGCATGTGTCTGAGCTCAGCCCTGCACTCAGTTACATAGCTTGTAGATGCACTGTCTCATATTCCTCAATTACAGGAATTGGAATACATTAACTTTCCAGAGGAAAGATGTTCTCACACCACATGGGCAATTGATATAATCTGCAGATAATCTTTAACATCCCTTCCAACCCAGACCATTCTATGACTATTATATTCTCATCTCTCAAGACTTCTTTGTCTGATGAGACTTTATGAAACAGATTGGACAGCAGTGACCCCAACATGCCTGAGTTGCATGAGCAGAGATGGATGGAATAGGGGTGGGAAATGCTCCTGAGGAAGTGGGGGGCTGGAAGTGGCAACCAGGTCATCACCATGGCATTTAAGAAGGGATAATCTCAAGTACACAAATTTTCTTGCTTTTGTTACATGTGTTACAGCTGAATTGCCATTCTTGAAAAGAGCCATGCAGTTAGAAACTGAGAGTCTTGACAAGGTGAAATGATACTGGATGGTTTAGCATAGGACAGAGTTTCTACAGATTGAGTACCTCATTTTGCTTAACAAACCAGAAACAGGAAATACCACATGCAGAATAACAACTGTTTTCCCCCCAAGCTATTCCAGTCCTCACTGCAGGCCTATACACTGGGGCACCCTGCAAGTGTTGTAAAATGAAATACCTCAGCCCTTGCGATAACCTGACCTGTACGTGGTGGCTGGAGAAGGCACAGAGTGGATTGAGGAACTACTCACCTCAGTCAAGGAGAGACCTCAGGAACGCGGAGCTACCGGTGGTCTGAATGCATCCTATGGAGAAGAAAAATCAGTTTTGGTAAATCATGGAATGGTTTGGGTCAGAAGGGACCTTAAAGCTCATCCAGCTCCAACCCCTGCCACGGGCAGGGACACCTTCCACTAGAGCAGCTTGCTCCAAGCCCCTGTATCCAACCTGGCCTTGAACACTGCCAGGGATGGGGCAGCCACAGCTTCTCTGGGCACCCTGTGCCAGTGCCTCAACACCCTCTTCTTCCTGAAGTCTGATCTAAATCTATCCTCCGTCAGTTTAACACCATCCCCCCTTGTCCTATCACTACAGGCCCTTGCAAAAAGTTCCTTAGAAACAGAACAAAAATATAAAAACTAAACATAATAATGGTGTTATTATACAAGTTGTGAAAATCCCCCCACAAATAAAGGTAACAAAGTTACTGCAGTGTTCAACAGAACCCCTTTTACTTCATACAGTTACAGTGTCTCGGCAGTAATTTAGGAGGTTGTCTTAACAGGCTACGTGACCACCAATGATGACAAAGCAGTACAGAACATGTTACGAGTATTAGGAGCTGCTCCTTCTTTTTTGCTATTAATAATGAAAGAATAAGTCTGTAAGGATATGAGCAGATTCAGTCAAGTACTATGTGAGGAACAACCATCTCCTGTGTCCTGAGAGAGGACAGCAAAACAAGAGGGAACAGCACCTGAGTCCTGTGCTCAATGAGGGCAGGGCCAGGGTGAAGGGCTGAGCAGATGGCTGGAAGAAGTAGAGGAAAAGTGTGCAAGGGCAGAAAGGAATTCAGGGAATGAGAACACAGGGAAAGGCTCTGGGAGCAGGTGTGCCTGAGAGCCAAGATTTCCCCCCCACGGATTACTGCAGCAGAGGATCAGCTCTGGTCCCTGTACCCTGAGTGCCTGCTGATGGGTCATGCTGCACTTGGATTCCACCAGCACCAAAGGGTGAAGAGAGAATTCAGAATTAATGGTTTTATATTAAACATACCAAGACCAACAAACAGATATTTACAGTGGTTTATAGCTAAAAAGATGACTACTGTGAGGAAAGGGGCCGCATGTAAACTCAGATGGAGAGAAGCATCAAAGCCATAGGGTCGGTGGGAAGGCTCTCCTCATCTAGCAGGCAGTGACTCCTTAGGTGTCACATACAGCATGTGGCACAGACCTGCCTGTGGATCTGACATGAGCTGGAGCTGACCAAGCCAGAAATCCTGTCCTATCCTGAGTCTGAAGTTACTCCAGATAAAGGCATCCCATTCAACTTAGCCTCAAGCACAGCTCCTCAGCATCACACCTAATAAACACCATTTGTTTACACACATACCGCTACTGCTTACAATAGGAAACTGTCCAGTAACACAAAAAGATTTAATTACAAGATGGTACAAATCCTGAATGCAAGTCCCTAATTGAATCTTTACAAACCTGATTTGCACTGATTGCACCATTCAGGCTGTGCTGTACTTACAGAACCCGTGACCATGCCAAGATCTGCATCTCACTCCAAGAAACCCTCTTAAAAAATGTAAGCTGCCCAGATTCGTATCAAACACCATTAACATGTCCCTCTTTCCACACATATACCACGACAACACCTTGTGACCAAAGCCTTAGTTATATAATATTTATACAGATGTCATTGAGATTTAGCTATTCAAGGAATCAGATAGATATTATGATTTATTACTCACGTGCTCCAATAACTTACAGTGCTTGTTGTAGCAGTTTCAGGGTTTTATATATATATTTCTGGGGGGTGTGTGAACCTAGTGAGTTGCTCTTAACCCCAACAGAACAGACATCCCCTAGCAACAACCCTTCTCTCTCTTAGTATTTTATATAGGTGACATAGTTTAGTGGTGGCCTTGGCAGTGCTGGGGAATGGTTGGACTTGATCTTCAAGGTCTTTTCCAACCTAGTTGATTCTATGATTCTATGTAGAACTCCTAAGGAAGTTAAACTACATAGAATATTAGAATGGTTTGTGTTGGAAAGGGCCTTAAGATCATCCCGTTCCAACACCAGAAAAACCCAAAGAGAACATTATCAAAACTTTAGTATGAAACCCTCTTGTGCCCAGGGCATTTAGGAAGGGCAGGGTCTGTAGAGGTGACCAGAAGGACATTGGCTCAAGCACTAAGTGGATGCTGGCCCAGTTCATGCTCCTTCATCAGCTCAAGCACTTTGGGGGTGCGAATGGCAAGGCAGGAACCTCAGCCCTGCCCCTTGGCATGGTGTCTCCTGTCCCTGGCCCACAAAAGCATTAGAATCATAGAATCATAGAATAGTTTGGGTTGGAAAGGACCTTAAGATCATCCAGTTCCAACCCCCCTGCCACAGGCAGGGACACCTCACACTAAACCAGGTCACCCAAGGCTCTGTCCAACCTGGCCTTAGAAGGGCAGAATCTTCCCAAGTTTCTTTCCCTTGCTATTCCCAGCGCCGTTCTTCCCCAAGTTTGACTGCTCTAAAACATTTACAGATCTGAAAAGCAGAGAGGAAAAAAATGTCCACCTGTCAGGTGATATAAAACCAATCTTCTCCTAAATGTGCCAGAATAATTTTTCTCCACCTCAACCACACTTAAAACCTTCAGTCTATTCATTACTGTCGTTTTATAGTATTTTTATTTAATAAAACCTATTAAGACTACCATACAAATCTCTTTACTTATGCTTTTATCTTTTAACTGATCAATTTTTATATTGCTGACATCCCTTCTTCACCATTTGCTCATTTAAAAATTCATAGTATATGAGCTATGTCTCGGGAGAAAACGTCTATAAAATTTGTTACAGCTGGCAAATGTGTATGAGTCAGGGGGAGCACATGACTAAATGCTTCACAGCAAATAAAATTTGTTTCTGTAGTAAGCAGAACTGTTTAAATGTTATTTATTTTTATGTTTCAAAGAAAATATATTGTGAAGTGCTGCATTGATTTAATACGCACCAATGTCTGTGTACACGCTGTACGAGGGGAATTTATGAAACCTTTGCACAACTCCTTTAATTGAATTTTCCAAATCTCTCACCACACACAAATAATCAATATCTTCTGCAGAGAAAACCAGTCAGAATTATTACAGTCTTTCTTTTCCATTTTGTTGTCATCAGCACATACGGAGCACCTGGATATTTGTAATGTCTGGGTAGCGAGTTATTTACACCTCTTAAACATATAATTGCTACTAAGTGAGCCCAAACTAATGTTTCTTTTCTATTTTAAATAATTATATTCATGGGAGAAAGCAGTATTTATTCTCATGGAGGAGCTGCTACATGGAGCTGTTGAAAGAACTACAGTCCCTTTTAATTTTTCATTAAGCTTAATACTCACACTCTAAATCCACTAGAATTAAAAATTAACAGTTATTGTGTCCATAAAAAGGTACGTAGGAAAAGAGAGAATAAACACAAGTGTGGAATTCATGAATAAATGGGGCTGACACCCAAATACAAAATGCAGGTTGACAGTTCTCTATGTACGTATGTCTGAGGCCTATAGTCGTATCTCTCATGTGCATTTCTGTATCTGCCACAGAAGTTAATAGCTTAATATTTCATCTACATAGCAGAGGATGTTAAATCATTGGAGAGGTTTGTAATTTGCCCCCTTCCCTCCATCCAAAGAGCTCATCATGCCAATGACCTCAGGGCCAGGTACTTCTCCAATCTCAGGTTGTATTTTAAAATACAAGCTGTGGGTACGATCTGACAGACCCACATCTGTTTGTTTGAGGTCAGACAGAAACCTGTCCACCAGCTCCTTCACCTCTTGGTAAATGAGGTTACTCACTTGTCCTAGGAAAACCACCAGCATTGCAAATTCTGGGCACCAGAACGTGCTTTTGTTACCTCTTCTAGACTGTAAAGGACTTTGCATGGTTACAAACTAGACCTGCTTGCACAGAATGAGAGATGTACGGTCAGATTTAGCCTGAGCAACGACAGCTTTTAGCCCACACAATACGAATTAGAACATGACACCACAACACACTCCTCCTCTGGGTGCTCTTGGGGCAATCTCACAGTTAGTTTTGATTGCAAATGCAGGAGGGCAGAGTGGTTTCCCTGGGTCTCTGCACGGGGACATTCAAAGGTGCACCACGTCCATGTGTGCACACACACACTCGGCAGACTCTTAATTCAGTTTTGATGAATGCAGTCCCATTTACAAGTGTTCACACTGAGGTATAACTTAAAAATGTAACTGTCATTAATTTTTTTCCCATGTCTAATGGCAGAAAAGCCTTATGAGCAGAAATACAGACACATCTTCCACCCAAGAGAGCCAGAACTAGGCCAGATTCCCCCCAGCATCACATAAACCAAGTTATGATTTCTTGAAGCAGTCTTACTGATGGCATAAGGCACTTTCTGCCTCACTTCAACAGCCTCTCTGGTGAGGCCAAGGGGGCAGCTCATATCTTGGTGGGATGCAGGACTCAAGCGAAAGAGTACTGATGACCCCATCTCTCTTCCAAACACGGTGCAGGGACATTAACTCCGAGCAGATGTTTCTGATGTGGGACAAAACATCAAGCCTGACCTTTAGCATTAAGAATTGAAGTAAACCTATAATTTGAAAACACAAACTCTAAATCTCCATCTAATAATAATGTATTTGGGAAAAAAGAAGTCCTTCAGCATCATCTTTGTTGCTTTTAGAGATGATGTACACCACAAAGAAAGCTGCTAGAGAGACCTTGTCAAATTTTGCTGGAAAGAAGCCTAGGATTTAACTGAAAGGACCTTGGTAGAAGGAAGGAACTGTTGTGTCAGCATTAGCAGCTTTTCCCAAACAGATTAAAAACGTGGAAGAACTGAACCTCAGATGAACCTCTATCACAAATGCCTGGAAGTGGGGCTTGCATAAACAAGAGCATGAGGTTCATCCGTAGTCAGCTCAGGTACTGGTTCTTAAGAAAGGGGCCTACAGATCTGTTTGGTAAAGAGGCCTTTCCCAAACCCTAGGTCTGACTTCAGTATCCACCTCATCACTTCCCTAAAAAGTGAGTATTTGCCGTAAGCAAAGACAGTCCCGATACTTGTTCTATTTGCTCTCAAGGAATGGAAACTCTGGAAAGAAACTCAGTTTCTGAATAAATTTACCTGTGAATTCATTCAGTTCACTTAATATATTTCTGCTTAGCCAGTTCACAAGACCAGAAAGGGCAGAATAACATTTCTTCCCTGCAAGGAAATACAAAGTTGGGCTGAGAAACAGCCAGAAAACTCCACAAATATGCTCCTGAAAATGTACATCTGAGGTCTAATGTATTTCCCTTTTCCACAGAAGATCCCAAAGGAGGGTAAGAAAAGATGGGTGGGAGACAGACACCTGAGTATATGTAAAGGTCAGCAAATATATTCTACTTGGTATGAGAATGATGTAGAAATATGTTGTAAACTTGATTTACCCTCACTCACAGCAAGCCACCAGCAGTCCAGGCCCAAGCTATTCAGTTGCTTGTACACAAGCATCCAATGCAAAGTCCAAACTCAAACTGACAGGAATAGGGATAAATAGTGGGATATTGCAATAAAATTCTTACTATTTTATCTGTTTTGAGAAGGAACTCTGCTTATTAAGGAGAAGTCCATATTTTACAGTGTTTCTGAAATGGGAGTTAATGTTTTGCCATATATACACAGTTTGGACTGGTGAGTGGGAACTCAGTATTACTTAGTCCCTGATCTCTCCAGTTTGGCTTTTATTAAGAATTTCAAGTGGCATTCAATAGAAAACCATCAAGTTAACCCTGATCTAGTGTCTTGGAAAGCCACCACTATTGCTGCAAAGAGTGCAAGCTTCAGTCACTCATATTAAAAACAATATGAAAGTTAGAAATGTTTAGAACTAACCTTAATAGGGGTGATCAGATCTGCCCCTGGGCTTGGCAGGATGAACAACATGAAAAGAAAGTATTTACTATTTCATTGCAAGACATAGCCTGAAAGTAGTTTTCCTTGACACTGCAACTATTTGATCTCCTGTAACACTCTCTTGTTGTTCTTTACTTGGACAGCAGAGAGAGGCATGGACATGATTAATGTCAGTGTTTCTGGTAAGCAAAGCATTAGTATGACTTTTAAGAACCAGCTTTCCTGTTTAGAATGTTATTTTGACTCCTTGAGATTCTGAACCCATTAAATTTTCCTTTAAAATATGCATATCACAACCTACACATTTCTTCTCAAGAGGCACAAAGCATGGTTTGGACTGTGACATACCAACCAGATTTCATCTCTTGGCAGTCGCTTTGCAGTTTGCTTACATTCTATTCAAAAACATTTTGTTTACTGTAAATGCTAGTCATGGACAGACAAAGATGCCATTTGTTATGCTGGCCACACAAAATGATATATTGAGTTCTATATAATGGTGCCCATTGAGCAAGGAATGTTTTGTATTAAGTTGTTTTAAGTAGAGGTTGTTTTATGTAAAGTAAATAAATTTCATGCCTCACCATGTGATGATAATGTGACATTCCATCTGTATCAAGCCACTGAACAGTCATAAGTTTTAAGTCTTGGGCATAACTAATTAAAAATAATTATGGAAAACCACATCCAAAACTAAAAGGCAAAGTAAAACATCTCCAAGTGCTCTTCTTGTACTACACGCTTCTTTGCCTCAACTGCTATTGCATTTGCAAGACTGCAAAAGCAAATTTATGCTTTACTAAAGCAAAATTGACATAGAAACTTCATCAAAATTGGTCAACTTAAACTCGTAATTCTATTTTCCAGCTCAGTTTCACAAAATATCTCATTTCTCATCTAACAAGACTGGAAGCATGTTTAGTGCTGGGAGCAAAGATAGAACTATAAATGTATACCCTGGCGGCCATTCAAAAGCACTGCACAAAGCAAGCAATGACTGTTCACATCTGCATTGGCTCACAGCATCCACCATTATAACTTTTTGGTAATCTGGAGCTGAGGATACTTCATTTTGATCAGTTTTCTTTCCCTTAAGAGAATTCTCCAGAGCAGGATGAATTTAGGCACATGGAAGAGCAGATACAACCAAAATCGAAGGGGCTGCCTGTGACATAGAATCAAAGAATCATAGAATAGTTAGGGTTGGAAAGGACCTGAAGATCATGCAGTTCCAATCTCCCTGCCATGGGCAGGGACACCTCACACTAAACCACGTCACCCAAGGCTCTGTCCAGCCTGGCCTTGAACACTGCCAGGGATGGAGCATTCACAACTTCCCTGGGCAACCCATTCCAGTGCCTCACCACCCTCACAGGAAAGAATTTCCTCCTTAGATCCAATCTGAACTTCCCCTGTTTAACTTGGAACCCGTTACCCCTTGTCCTGTCACTACAGTCCCTAATGAAGAGTCCCTCCCCAGCATCCCTATAGGCCCCCTTCAGATACTGGAAGGCTGCTATGAGGTCTCCACGCAGCTTCTCTTCTCCAGGCTGAACAGCCCCAACTTCCTCAGCCTGTCTTCATACAGGAGGTGCTCCAGTCCCTGATCATCCTCGTGGCCTCCTTCCAACAGCTCCATGTCCTTTTTATGTTGAGGACACCAGAACTGCACACAATGCTCCAGGTGAGGTCTCACAAGAGCAGAGCAGAGGGGCAGGATCACCTCCTTCGCCCTGCTGGTCACGCTCCTTTGGATGCAGCCCAGGATACGGTTGGTTTCTGGGCTGCAAGCGCACACTGAAGCCAGCTCATGTTCAGTTTCTCAGCAACCAGTACCCCCAAAGTCTTCTCCGCAGGGCTGCTCTGAATCTCTTCTCTGCCCAACCTGTAGCTGTGCCTGGGATTGCCCTGACCCAGGTGTAGGACCTTGCACTTGGCATGGTTAAACTTCAGAAGGCTGGCATCAGCCCACCTCACAAGCGTGTCAAGGTCCCTCTGGATGGCATCCCTTCCCTCCAGTGTATCAACTGAACCACATAACTTAGTGTCGTCAGCAAAATAGTGCTGTTGCTTGGGGCAGCTGACAAATAGAGCAGCAGAGATGCCATCAATTATTTTAATTCTGGTTTAGCTCTACGTGAAGACACGTGAAGATAACAGAAATATCAGAGTATCAGTGGTGACTGTTGATTTTACTGGGAAACATAAATCCCCCCGCCACATTTCCTGCTAGACAAGGCACTATAGTGACTACATGAGCCATACTCTATGAAATGCCACCAACTTCAAATGTTTTCACAGCACTAGTTATGAAGAAACCAAACAGTTAGGATTTCACAGTCCCCTGAAGCGTGCTAAATACCTCACAATACATATAAGGTGAAAAAGTTTCTGCTGCAAAGGCTGTTTGCTACCTGGTTTGTACACTAAAAATGCAAGGGGAGGGAGGAGAATGAGGAATAACAAGGATAACTGTTATATATGAAAGATATGTAAGCTCTCTAGGACCTGACTGCACACATTTCTAGACCATGCCTCAAGTGTAACACCATTAATGATTTCTTCTCCTTGCACAGTTTCATAGAGAAGTACCCAATCCAAAGAAAATAGCAGAAAAGATGAAATTTACATTTGAGTAATTCCAAAGTTTTCAGAGGAAACACATTTGATGATCATCATTTTCACATATGAAAGGTTACCCAACTACAAGTGGAAAGAACTAATCACCTAACAGGAATCACCAAAACCTGTTACATAGGAGTTATTCAGTTTCTTACTTTGGGCAAGAAGTTTTCCATGGTCTCTTTTCAGCAGCTGCAGTTCTTCTGCTTGACTCACTAGTGAAGAAAGAAATCTGCAATCAGTAAACGTTGCCCCAGAGATTTCAAAGAAAATATCTATGCTGCCTTTTTCACATTTTCAAAGCTCACAAGAAATCTGGAGAGCAGCTTTGGACAAGGGCCTGTAGGGACAGGGCAAGGGGAATGGCTTCAATCTGCCAGAGGGGAGACTGAGATGAGCTCTTAGGCAGAAGCTCTTCCCTGTGAGGGTGCTGAGGCGCTGGCACAGGGTGCCCAGAGAAGCTGTGGCTGCCCCATCCCTGGCAGTGTTCAAGGCCAGGGTGGACGGGGCTTGGAGCAAGCTGCTCTAGTGGAAGGTGTCCCTGCTCTTGGCAGGGGTTGGAACTGGGTGAGCTTTAAGGTCCCTTCCAACACAAACTATTCTGGGATTCTGATTTGGATTTTCCTTCAGGTGATGTTAAAAAAACACCCCAGTGTAATTGTACTCAAAAAATTAACAAAACCATTTCAAAATCAACATCATTTTGAGGAGTTGTGCTTTGTTTGTTCCCATTTCTGTCTTCTAGCACTGACACGGTGCATTGTTCCTAATTCAGAGGTGGGAAGAAAGGATGATTCTTTCCCATTTGGAAGGCAACAAGAAGCTAACAGCAAGTGTCAACAACAGGCCTGGCAGTTCATTTGGGAAGTCACTGCCCTATCCCTGGTGTAGGGTAGTAATGTAAACACAGACTATATTCAGAAAACTTCATTTTGTATAAGAAAGCATCTGGATAAGCGCATTACAGTGGCAACAGTACAGTGTATAGACATGCAAAATGCAAACGGAATGAGCATGGGAATAGGAGTCAGGAAAGAAATGGTAATTTAAACAACAGTAGTTGCTGGAATTGTGTGGTGCATAAATTCCACTGTTGGGGTCCATTCAGCTAATGAATTGGAAGGGTTACAGGGCTCTTTGCTAAGAGAAATTCTCTAGCACTGGGGCCTTTATTGTCCACCTCTTTCCAGCTGCAAACAAAGTAGCAGTCACAATCACTCCAGGTTTTTATTTCCTATAGCTAGCTCAGTGTTTTTACACTCTGCAGGCAACAAAGCAACCAGAGAGGTTGTAGAATAATGTAAACCAACAAAACATCCTGTTTACTGCAGGTTAAGAAGCTGTTTCATCATCTCTGCATGCTTGTCCAAAGCCTGGACACAGGGAATACATGTATGGTTATGTTATTCATACTCCCTGTTCACCTGGAAACTAGATAATCAGAGGTGGGTATGAAAAGTCTACAAGAACAGTATTACATACACAGACTTTTGAGAAGTAGTGGTAGGTGAATGCAGTCTTAGAGACACACCTGTCCCACAAACATGTATTGGGAACAGATAAAGGTGCTGCTATTGTGAAAACAAATGAACAACCTGTGCTGAGGCATAAATTGCCCAGAGAAGCTGTGGCTGCCCCATCCCTGGCAGTGTTCAAGGCCAGGTTGGACACAGGGGCTTGGAGCAAGCTGCTCTAGTGGAAGGGGTCCCTGCCCATGGCAGGGGGTGGAACTGGATGAGCTTTAAGGTCCTTTCCAACTCAAACCATTCTAGGATTCTATGATAAATACTGGAGCATCTTGGGTGTCTACGGCTACATTTCACCACTTTTAAAGGAATTACCTGGTAAGGGAGATCTTTAATTTTTCTCCCTGAAGGCCAATACCTATTTTTCCTGCAACTATCCACAGTGCAAGGTTTTGCCATCGGAGTACTTCCCTATCACATATTTCCCATGTAGCTGCAGAGGCAGCTGGGAAGAGAAGCATGAATGCACTTTTTGCTGCTGAGGATTACATGTTCCAAGAATCTCTGACTTGGAGTGAGGATAAAGAGTTTCCTAAACGTGGACACATATAAATGAAAATCTTTGCTTTCTCTGGGTTTCTTTGGAAAAGTAACACAGATGTGCCATCTGTAAAGTGCCTTCATCCCAACACAATAAGCATCTGGTATGTCCATCATTTAAAGACACATGAATAACAATTTTTAAAGCCTGGAAACCTATATTCAGCATAATCCTCCTAACAGGAAAACAAACAAAACAACTTCCTTGCAGAACAAGCAGAAAGGCAATGCAATCAAAGTGCAAACGTTTAGCCTAATCACGAGCTAACTACCCACTAAGTATCTAACTATTTACATTAGAAAAGGTGTTGCTCTTGCAAGTTTTCCCTCCCCACCTGTGACTGGGAGGTAGAAAAGTGGAATGCTGGGGTAGCCTTTCTTTTACATCCCTGGTTGTATGCACAAGGAGGTGCTTTTGTCCCAACGAAAAGACTAAGGGCAGAGGCTTGGGGTATAACACTCCATTATAACACAGAGTGGGGTATGACTCTAGCAGAGATCACAGATAAACTGTTATAAAGGGGATAAACGTTATTGAACATCCTCCTTACTTAGCTCTTCGGTTTTCCGCACTTCCTCCCTCAAGTTGCCAGACGAGACTGAGACACCAACATTTTCAAGCTCTCTACTGCCCTCTAAAGCCTGGAAAGAAAGAACCAAAGGCATTGTTACATCTCAATCCCAAAGTGTCTCTTTATAGAGGTCTACAGTCTATTAAAAACATCGGAAAGAAGGAACTTTTGAATTGTTTTCATAAGCTCTAAGTGATGCTCGAGGCTCCAACTCACAGCGAGCTAAGGGGACTTAAATTTTCAGGACATAGGAACAAACCCCGCTTCTGAAAATGGCATTCAGGTGCCTTGGAAAGTGTTGCTTAAAAATCTCCTGTTATTTACGCTTCATCTGTAAGTCTTCAGCTGTCTAAACAGATTAGCACTTGATCCCCAGAAAAGCAATCTTGGCACATGGACAAGCTATAATATGTCAGTAAAATGGAAATCTACAGGCATTTAAGACACTTGAACACACTCCTCAGCACTGTGGCAGACCCAAGAACATACAACTATGTTTTCATGAGAAATAGAAGGGTTTTTTTTTTTAATAGTTTTCCAAATAAACTTTTAAATTCAAATATTTTAAATTAGAACCAAGCTATTTTTTTGTAAGTAAAACACTCTCAGGCCATGTATGCAAGCAAAATAAATCAATACAGTTCTTTGAATACACCGAATAATTTCACAGATAACAATATACAGCAACGAACCGTGTCCTAAATTTATTCAGGAAACAAAATGTGAATAAAGCAGGAAAGTGATTTGCATTTTAGCATGCATTAAATAGAGTACTCCATGATGATGCATTAGTGGTAAATCAAATAGTACAATCACTTCAACACAAAGGGGTATTTAATCTTCATGAACAAAAATCTATGCAGTAATAAGTCATATTTCTGACTTCAAGTTAGAAATAACAGTTGATAACTGCTTCATATGCTTTTATTCATGGACAAAATGAGCAGTGATAAAAATGGTGCATTTGGAAAAGTACTTCTACTAGTTTAAAAACATAATCTACTAAATTCTGGGTGGGTTTTTTTTTTGCACTTTCTGGATTTCCAAGTCAAACTTCCCAGCTTTAAAGTATTGTGTTTGATTCCTTAGTCATTAAAACTCAAATGTTGCCCATAGGATTTTCATTTTTATTTCAAATCCTATATTAAAAGTAGATTCAAGAAGTAAATCAGTGTAAAGCAGACCTGGAGGCTTGTCAGATTTCCTCTTATTTTCAGGATTCTGTCCAGGGAACTTTTCACTTTGCACTGCAACTCCATGAACCTGCATCAAAAGGTAAAAATCAAACCATTTCCACTAGTCACATCCCCACTTGCTGCTGAAAAACAGTGTTTACAATGTTGCCTTGAGTTTCTTCACATTGTAATAAGGATGGGTATAGATAAGCTGTGAACAGATGGGCTGTACAACCTGACTGTGTCACAGAACACCAAATATAACTTGCCTTTGGGTAGGATTTATACACAGACTGCCAAATACATATATAATTTTAAGGACAGGAGCTCAGGTTCAGCAGTATTAGAGGATTTTGTGAGGATTGTGCCGGAAGACAATGGTAAAAAAGGAATTGAACTCATTTGTTCCTAAGAACAGGAATTCAGTGAAGAGGATGTGCTCCCCAAAGCCATGGTTAATGCCATACAACACTGCTTGTAGCTGTATGAAACACAGGAAGTTAAAACTGAGCCCAACAGAGACAACATTCCCCATTTCCTGGGGTAATGGTTGGACTTGACGGTCTTAAAGGTCTTTTCCAACCTAGTTGATTCTACGACTCTAACACTGCATGATGTAATTTGTTCAGCTTTTTCCTACTGCCTCCGCTTCTAAGCTACAAATATTTTACTACCAGTATAAAGATGGTCAGTTTTCAGAGTTTAATGGGCTTTGCAATAAAAATTAAAGTGATATACAATCAGATTAGATCTACATGGCAGACTTTAACATACGATTAAGGATTTGCACTGAATATGTATTGAAGTCATTCCTACAATGAATGTTTAGGCTTATTTTCTCTTTCAACCATTTAAATATGTAAAGCAAATGGAGATAACAGAGAAATAATCTATTATTTACTGCTTTCTCCTACAGAAGAATCACCCTTATAAGAAACCTCAAATTTAGAAATAGAACTACAGTATGATATATATATGAGTATAGTATGAGAAAAACTTCTCACTGCTGCATCTCAACATGGAAACAGAATGCTATGCACAAAAGAAGATGCTAATGTCGGTGCATTGTACAGTATATTTTCCACCTGTACACTTAAAGTGCATGGAAGTTCACATAAATATTACTGTGTTTATAAATGTGTTTTACTGACATGTCCTTCTGTAACTCTTGCAGTTTCTAAAACCATACTGAATTACTGAATGCACACATTTACATGTCAATGAAGACTATGATTACTCAAATTGTTCTGCAATTCAAGGTTACTATTACTAAGAAATGAGTCTGGATGTGTTGACCAAGGGATTTACTGAATCACAAAACCCCCCAGTTAATCAGTTTACAGCTTTCCACTGTTATAACTGTAAGATTTTAGTTTTTACTATCTAACATGCCATCCAGGACAATCACGTTACACAGAATGATAAAAGAAATAACTTATAATGTAGGAGAGAGGAGATGTGGTATAGCCATGTCAATGCTGAGCTGGAACTAGACTGCCTGGGATAGATGTCAAAGATATATGACAAGATGCCACCAGACGACAAGTTGAAGCATCAAATAAAAAAGCAGGACAACACAACAGGATAAGAAGATCTCAAGAACAAAAATGTAGATTATTGGAGAACGAGAATGAAGACTTTTTAAACCAATTTTCCTAAGAAAAGATCACAAAGGTCTGGTGAATGCAATTCCAGTTGAGTAAAAAGGATGGAAATGGATGGGGGACTATCTGGGATAATACTGTATTAGCAGCAAGAAGTATGATTGTGCTCACTGAGGGAAGAAACTTGCAGATTTTTAGCTGGTCTAAAGCTTAAACTCAAAGTAGCTTTACTGAGCATTTACAACTTGCGTATTAAGAAACTTCATAACTTGCAGGATTTCTGAATGGCAAAGATGAAAGACATCCCTGATACAAATCAACTTACAGAGAGTCAGTTTTCCACTTCTCCCCCAACACAAAACAAATATTTCCTTTATCTAGCTCTTATGGATGGATGCGTTTGTTTTGGTTGAAATGCATAAAACATTTAGCCTGACACTTCCCTGGTGGTGCAGAAAAGTTCAGTTTTCAGCTGAGATTTGGAAATGCTAAAAACAATTACATATGTTTTGCATAACAGAAAAGATCAAGCAATGCTAACAATACTCTTACTTCTAATAACACAGTTTATTGCTTCTCCCTCCTCATATCTAGCACGTTTAGGAAAACAGTTTACTGGACACTTCACCTGAAACACTTTTTTAAGTGCTTTACTAACTGTGGACTGTCCAAAACCCATTAATGTCAAGAAACTTATAGCTTAAAATAAGATTGTGGAAGAAAAGACAAGAATTTTAAAAGATTCTGCAAAGCAAACATGAAGTTTCACCATGAGTATCTGTGGCTAGTTTTTAATCAAAGTGTCCTGCATTCCTGGTCCTTTAACTTTGACAGTTAATGCTTCCAAAAATAAGGTGAAGGAATGTACACTTCCAGAAGTCTGAAAAGACAAAACGTATCTTCCTTTCAGTAGCTGACTTATGACACCTCATTGCATAGTACTGTGAGTGTGGCTCCTGTAATTGGCAGTGTCATATGCCCCACACTTCAGTGAAAGGCAGAACTGGCTGGACAGCTGTATTGCAAACCCTGTGCCTATAACTGCAAGGCTGCCATTCAGTGCCTTCCAATAGCCAATCCTGTGGAATTAAAAGTATTTAAAATAATTGCTATTAATTTAATTCTGTATGAAATATTACTCTTTCATAAGTAAAAATCACAGTATTGCACACTTACACATCCTTCTCTGTTTGAGGCTGCCCTCTTCTGGGTAATCTGCTTGCTGAACCATTCTGCTCCCTTCTATTTCCTAAGGGGTTCACAAGGAAGAAAAAAAAGAAGATGAAAATAAGATATTGAGTATTTAAAGCATTTTAAAAAAGTGTTAGTATGAACCTTGAGTGCTGTACGATCTTTGAGGAAGAGGAGAAGAACCAAAACTCACTCACAAAGCAGGACAGATTCCCTTGTAATGAAACACACTAAGTTCACTATATTTACTCTTTCATAATTTGACCCCTCGTCAGTTCACAGGACATTTATATTTGTGAGAATCTTGGGATTATAGTAATAGTTACTGGAATTTAGGATAATTGTGACAGATAGTTACATGTTCTGCTCAGAAGCTTTTTACCCTATTAACTGCCTAAGTACAGCTTATTAGCACAGAGCATTATCATGAAAATACTGTCCTGACTGAGCAATGAAACCTGTTTTCCTTCAATAAAAAGTGCCTGGCCCCCAACTCCATCTTGTAAACAACTACAAAGAGATGCTGCAAATTATTTCCAGAGGCTCTGACATGCTACACTGACAATATAATATTCTAGCTTGTCCTCTGATGGGGTATGATAAATCATATGCCAGTTGCCATTATTCTGCGTGGCAAGTCATGTTTCTACATTTCAGTGCACTGGTATTTTGAGCAGTTGCAGGTTTCTGGGAGGAAACAGGAATGTATTACCCCAAAAGTCCTTTCCCATGGATTTGATAAAACTTCCTAGGCTCACATGTGGTGTCGGTAAATGGCTAAACTGCCTGGTTTCTACTGAAACTAGTGAGACTGTAACTATTCATGGTATTGTGCTCCACACAAACTATATGGTCACCTTCCAGTGCTTCAAGTGTTTTATCTGTTGAGGCTCCAGCAATACAGAGGTCACATCTGAAGAGAAGGAATGATCTCTGTTTCACTGCAGCTGAAGTTGAAGATACCATATAATGTGGAGTGTTTGTAACTGCCACCTTAAGAATTTCCCCCCTTAACAGTATCTGTCACTTACTCTGTCTTTCATTTTCTACTACAATGTAAAAGCTCCTGGGTTTGGACACAGTTTTGCTCTCCTATGCAATGGATTTCTTTTGAATCTGATAGTCATTAAACACAAAACAGTGAGGTGTATGCATAAATAGGAAGGAGGAGAGGCATAACCATACATTCATTCTTTTTTTTTCTGGTAACAACTTTCCCTTAATAAGGAGAACAATGAGATAACTAGTGCATTTGACAATTAGTGACTTAGAATCATGGAATCCCAGACTGGTTTGCATTGAAGGGACCTTAAAGCTCATCCAGCTCTAGCCCCCTGTCACGGGCAGGGACACCTTCCACTACAGCAGGTTTAAGCCCTGTCCAACCTTGAACACTGCCAGGGATGGGGCAGCCACGGCTTCTCTGGGCACCCTGTGCCAGCGCCTCAGCACCCTCACAGGGAAGAGCTTCTGTCTAAGAGCTCATCTCAATCTCCCTGGACTTGTAGCCATTCAGACTCTGCTCATCTCTCCAACACCCAAGAAAGACCTCCTTTTCTTGTGCCAAAGAGGTTCACAAGGTGTTTAAAATGAGTACTTACCTACTGTCTCTCCAACAGATACATACACATCTTAAAAATGTTTCATATTCAACAGCTGTTATTATAAGGTGAAATTCACCTTTAAGGGAAAGATTTGGAGAAACATCCAACAGGTCTTTACTGTGGCCTTAATACTGATCCTAGAGCAGACCCTCTGCAATTCTCACTTCACTGTAATACATCTCCTTTCTGACATCAGACTTGAAAAGAGAGGCCACACTATGCATTAAACACTGATTTCTTCTTGCTAGATCTAAATTATTACATACAAGTATCAGCACTAAAGGATAAATTAACTTCTAATTTTAATATTTAGTAAAACATTTACAAAGACCTCAGAACGACAAGCTGCTATGAAACTTTAAGCTGTTCCACTACAGTAGCTAAAGGTTAAGACCCCAAAAGATTTCATTTTAACTCTAAGTACTCATAGAACTTGCACTTAAATCAGTCATCAGTTATCAAACAGATACTACTTTCAGACAAATGCTATGGAATAGTGGAACACTGGTTTGATTTGATTAAAAATAGATTGTTTTAAAATAAATCTTAAAAATATATCAACCAATAATGATGAGAAACCAATGACGATTCAATATTCTCTTATTTTAGAATTTTACGTCCTAAATGGGTTGTGAGATTTTGGGTAGTTGGGCAATATATGAATTATCAGGCAGCCCTACAGGACATACATAGGACAACATCATAAAACCCCACTATCTTATAATTGGGTTGGTTCATGTCTTCTCCTAACATAAATGTTACTTTTGAACAATCTTGGCATTCTGTAGGTATTTAGTCTTTTTTAAGGCACTCCTCCACACTGGTATTCAAAAGAAAGCCATATTCATTAGATGAGTAATTCCCATCTGTCTGTCCTCTCAGTGAGATAGATTCATGCTACTTTTTGTACTTCACACAATGCAAAATACATTTTCATAGCTAATGGCATTAATTTGCAATGATTTTCATTCTGTTGTTTCTTACATATTAATAATGGAAAAATAGGATATAGATTACACTCAAGGCCTCACAGATGATATGTGTAATCTATGACACTTAAAAGTGTCTTTTCAGAAGGAGGAAAGAAATTGTGGGTTTACAAGGCCAGCCTGAAACCTGTGATACAAGAGGAAGTCTCATGTACCATCACCTTGTAGCTATATGAACACAAGGAAAAAAAGATGTCTGGTACTACATTACTGAATAATTATCCATCTAAATGTCAGCTATGAGCATGTGCTCAGACTTTTTATAGGCAAAAAGAATGCTCCCCTATGTCCATACCTAATATCACTATGGAAATCCAGTACAGGTTCACCTTTCACATTGACATCCTAATATACAGGTATTTTAGTATAAGACATTTTTCCTTCTTTTTTTTTTCACCTCAGAGATAAGGCATTTAATGTAAATGCAGAGATGCTGAAGAAGTTTTACTACTTGTAGTAGATTTAAATGTTTGTGTATTATCATATGTTGTGTCACCAAAAAGGCATCGACTAAAACAAAAGGAAAAGAGGTTGTTAAAGCAGGGAATTACAAACATGGAGGGATATTCAAGAGAACATCTCTAAAGAGCCACAGCATTTTTAATTTTGTATCTGACTGCTATCACGATATAGAATTTTAAAAGCCTTTTTCAAAGTGTTTAATTGCAGGTGGATTTCCAGCCAGGTTAAGGTATAGTTTCATATTCTGCAGACATCCATAACATGGAAATCTGTATTTATACGTTAAAAAAACATGGGTTTTCTTCAGAACTGCTTTTGTGATGTGCCAACGCTAAGAGCAAGCTTACTGCTGCCAGTGCCTCACACTGGAGTCAGTGGGGACATAGATTGTTCCAATCTGATTCTTCCCTCAGGATACAGGTGATGTTGATTCAGCCAGAAGCAGCAGCTAGGTGTGACATGCAGTCACTTTGCCTGATTCTGAATACTTATTGCTCCATTCTGGGTGAGAACACAGGATGCCACATCATGACAAAACAATTAATTGGAGCATGGTATGAGCTGACCTTTCCAGGACATGACAGATGCCACGACAGGCACTGATTGCACTAAGAACAGCCATCTCTCTGATGTGATGGAGAGCACCTACTGACAACCTTTCTCATGGAAAGGTTTTGTTGTATAGGATGAAGAGATTCATATTTACCAAGAGGAAGGGAAAAAAAAGACATAGGCTCTTCATTCCATCCAGGAAGCACCATCAAATCCTGAGACTGCTAAAGGAGTTAATACATACAAACACAGTATTTCCTTCTTACTGATGAAAGCAGACACCACTGCCTTAGAAATCTGTCCTGGGAATACTTTGAAAATACCTTTCTCTCTATAGAAAGGTACGGTAGATAAATTTACACATCAAAGACATAAGTTCCCAAGAAACTAAGTCAGAATGCTGCTCACCAGAAGAGTTACTTTTCACAGTTAGAAGAAAGTTGGAAAACAGTGGGGTTAGACTGCTACCTAACTTGGTTTAAGCTCCAAGGAGAAAATTCAACACATAACTAGGGATATCTGTGGAAATACACAGTGCTTTAAGCAACTTTGTTGGAGAGGAAAATAACCCTAAAGAGAAACTGCTTATGGTCTTTTAAGAATACGGGGGTCAATAGTTTGAAGGGCTGATTAAATGTCACTAAAGATTTCTGGATCTAAAATAAGTGGGAATGTGGAGATACCCAAAATAAACATCTTTTTAGGAATCAAGGAGCCATTAGTTTTGAGAAGAGAAATTGTTCACAAGACAGGGTGGGCACTGTGGCAAAGGCGCTTTCTGGCAGACAGAGACTTTCTTCCATCCCAACCCAGGAATAAACCAAGCCTTTCATTGCACATGTCAACATAGCTCTCAGAAGGCCACAAAATTAAACACACACCAACCACATATATGTTAAAATTTGTAAAGGCAAAGATGTTCCTTTCAATACAAGGGAGTTGGAACTAGATGTTCTTAAGGTCCTTTCCAACCCTAACTATTCTATGATTGATTCTATGTACCAGGTTTGCATAAGTAATTGAGACATGCCATCACTCACTGAAAGAATAGGTAGAAATTAGGGTAATTGTTCCTCCAAAGGCTTCTTGGAATGTCAATGGTCGACAGAGTCATTTTTGTATTAGGTCCAGGTGCCCAAATCAAAAACAGCACTGGTGGAGGAGAAGAGCTACTCTGGGAAGAACTGGAATCAGCAGAGAGCTTAGTAGGAGAGTTGTGAACATTCTGACTGGCAGCAAGTGCTCAACTGTGTTAAAGCTGTTTGACAGACAGGTAATAAGGACATAAAGCCAGGTCATAATGAAGACTGACAGCACATTAAAGAATTAGGATATAGCTGCTTCTGTTTAGTTTCCTAGAATGACTATGACTTAGGAAAAGTAAAAACCAAAACCAACCCTCTGCACTATAACTATGCAGAGCTATACTGCCACCAAAACACCCCATGCTTCCATGCTTCCTCAAGTACTCTGCTAATTTAATAAGGAAAAGGGAGGTAATGCTCACAAATTGTACTATTTTCAGCTTGAAGGCTTCCAGTAATTTCCATTTTTTTGGCCAGCCACCTCTGACAAAAATTTCCTGATCACATTCCTTTAAAAAATAAAACTTCCTTTTTTTCCTGGAGGAAAACCCCACTTTTTCAGCTCCATCGTAAGAGCATATGGTGTGATAACCAGCGCAAAAATCTGCAGACTTCTAGATAAATTTCAAACAGTGGTTATTCTATCCTGCTCAGAATATTTCTGCTCATCATAATTCACAAATGTTAGTGAGGCCTCAATTACTGCACATAAATTCCAAAATATATGGGGCATAAAAAGCTCTTTAACCCAACAAAAAGGCATAACAAGAAGTGATGGCTCAAAATTAAAGCCAGGCACATTCAAAATCAGACAGGAGAATTTTGTTCCTTTAATAGCAAAGGTAATTGAACAAGGAACTTGCTAAAAAAGGGAAGTGACAGATATTACTATTATTATTATTAAAATGATAATTATTTAAATTATAGTATTTAAATAATTTGAAGTCCTCAAATCAAGATTTCAGCATCTTTCCAGGAGTTGTTTTGCAAGAAATAAAAGCTCTTGGGCTCTGTAAGAGAAAGATGACAAAAAAAGTCTCTTTGTTATTTTATTTCATATTAAAAAGTCACATCAGGTGACCTAATGGTTCATTAACACTTAAAAAGAACACAGTCTATATAGCTATAAAGGCAGGTTAGTCTAAGAAAATATACTTCTTAAGCAGTCATAGTTTGCATCAAAACCTGTGATTGTGTTAGTAAGTGGACATATATCCTGAAGTCAACTGGAAATTTTCTGAGAGCTAATGACATTCAGTGTTATCCTTACTATGAAAATCAAGTGTAAAAAATTACGTAAATGAATGCAAAGTGGAAGAGTTAAACTGAATTTCCCTTCTAGCTTTGATTTGATAAAATCTACATAACTTTCAATATTCATAAACAGAAACTCAGACCTGAGAAATCTTGTATGCATGTATGCACACATCCATGCAAGAATTTACCACCAGAAACCTGGAAGTACATAGACCAGGACTTGCACTGCAAATCTCAACGTAGTTCTCAAAAGAGTAAACATGCACCAGCTGCAAACATCTTTTCTTTTCAGCTCTCCTGAGCATGAGAGTGTCCAGACCTCACCTGTGTGCTACAAACAATGAATTACACTGCCTCGCTAGAGTGAACCAGGACTTTGCATTCAACCAGAACTAAGTGTTCAAGGCCAGGTTGGACGGGGCTTGGAGCAACCTGCTCTAGTGGAAGGTGTCCCTGCCCATGGCAGGGGGTTGGAACTGGAGGAGCTTTAAGGTCCCTTCCAACCCAAACCAGTCTGGGATTCTATGACTTCCTTGCAGTAATTTTGCACCTAGCAACCTCAGAGCATCTCCCATATAATCCGAAGAACAGTCACTGCCAGTAGCATGCACCAGTGACAGCTGTGACTTAGAAAGAAAGCAAACAAATGACGTTGTTAGGATGAACATACCCAACCGGTGGAATTACTGTAATTCTTGAGAAAAATGCAATGCAGGCGTTTGGGTTTGTTTTTTTTTTTGTTGCTGAGGCAGCAATTTCAATACTGATCAACAGAAAGCAGAACTTGTTGCATAACCAAGTTGTTTCATAAACACCCCCAAGATTTACACTGAAAAGATTCAAGCTTTAAAAACCAGCATCAGCTTTTCCAGAAGACATCAAAATTATTTAAGAGGAAAAGGAATTCAAACATACCACATAAGTTACTAAATCAAGTCAATAACAAGGAAAATGTTGCATTAAGAAAGACAAAATGTTAAACTAACCATTTGATAGGTGCTTCTTGAGATTTTGTGCATCATGACTCATAGGAGATGAGAATGGGCTCATTTCACGTGTTCCTGTTGTTGGTGAGTAAGCATTTAGATTTTTCAATTTGGTCTCCAAAGGTGTTGCATCATATCGCTAAATCATAGCAAAAGACAAAGAATCCAGATGAATTTTGGCTAAAGACAAATAAGTACCTATGTCCATCTAAACCTACAACCATTGCAAACTTCCCTTCTGCAAAATAAATACATTGTCACCTCTACCCTTCCTATCAGTAGTTACATATTCGCCCCCAAACTAGACAAAGCCTCTCTGAACACTTACTATCTGCTAATAGATTTTCCTTAGTAATTCCCAACTTTATGTCCTCCCTTTTATGGAAAGTCCATGTTCTAGGTTGTGGTGGGTTGATATTTGCTGGTTGCCAAGTGCCCACTGAGCTGCTATATCACTCCCCATCCTCAGTAACATTAGTTTTACTCAAATAAAAAGCCCTTCAAATACTAACCTACCAATTCTCATATACAAAAGGTATGTGGTTTCCAGATATTTAGTTACTCTGGCATGAACATTTGATTGTTTGGGCTTTTTTTAAGCAGTTAAACCCTGGTATTATTTCTCCTACAGTACCGAGAGTTTAAGACGCATGAACTATAAACAAGTAGTTCTCATTCTGTCTATTTAATACTATTTTAGTTCTATAAAACCATGGTTATTTCTAATGCTGAATTGCAACTCTGAGAAACTAGGATTTTACTGCAAAACTAATATACAGAGGAAAAAAACAAATCCACACTTGGTTTGCATATAAAGGGCTTTAGCTCTAGTAACAACTTGCTTCCAACTAAGTCTAGCAGTTTTAAATAACACCATCAACGACTGTCACAAATGAGACACATGCAGTAACAGAACACATATAGGACTTAAAGGAGGCTCCAATAGTACCAGCAGCATCTTAATGTCATGTTACACTCTTAGAAACCACTGATAAGTGGCTACAGGATTTTCTGGGTAGCTGAATTTGGTGTAACAACCAATGTGCCTACTACCAGACCCACTTTGATGACCTGCTGATCCAACTATTTAACAAAAGTGCTGGCAGGTACTCCATGTAGCAAGCTGCAGAATGACAGCTTTCTAGTCCTGCCCACCTTTTGTTTCAAGGAGATAAAATCTGCAGGCATGTAAACTACTGCTTCCAAACAAAACTAGCCACCTCTGTAGAGAAGAATCCAAGCAGTGAAAAACTGATTTCATAGAATCATAGAATGGTCTGGATCAGACATTCAAAAGCCATCTAGTCCAAACCCCTTGCATTGTATTAGCATCAGTTTACAAAGAATAAAGGGACATTTTGGGCAGCATCATTTTTTCCAGTCCCTTTCAGAATTCTTTCATGGGCTTAAAGATGGGCTGTCCAATGCACTGCAATAGACATTTTTTTATACTGGTTAGTATGTTATTTTCCCTTGGAAACATAGTATAATCAAAACAAATCTCACATTAAAATGGAGTAAGTGATTTCTTCATTGTTACACTCCTGAGGCTTTGAGTTAGAGGAGCAAATTAATTTATCTCTATGTAGTAAGCAAAAAATTGACTAACTCACTTCTCAAATAACCACCCTTTTCTACCAACTTGAGCCTCACTGCATCTGTAAAACTGAGTATCTATCATTTGTCTTCATGTCACTCATAACAGTCCTTCAATTTCCTACAGTATTTCTTCAATCAAAGCTTTATTGTACATGATTATTCTATAATCTCTTTAAGTTCCATTTATTATTCCATTTATTAATGTTAGAAAGTATAATAGGTAAGCATATTACTCTGTTTCAACACCATGAATGAAATAGAAGGTGAGTATCTGGGATTTATATTCATTAAAGAATACACAGTACTTAAGCCAAGTTGGGGGGGGGGGATATCAGTCAACCTTATATTTGCACTCTGGGAACCGACCTATCCACTCCAATTTCAAATTAATAACTCATTTATTCATACTTAATCATATGTTGCCCTGTTTTGCTGGAATAAGACCCTCACACTACCCCTTTTTAAACCAGATGAAACAATGGACACACTAATCTTTGAGTCCAGTAAGGATTCCTCAGCACAGGAATCTCCTGCATGCTCTGGAAAAAAGGATGGTTGGAGACATAATTGAGGGCAAAGGCAGCTGAGCTGGGAGCACGGGACAGCATGGAAAGACAGCTCTGAGAAGGCCTAAACCTCATAGGTTTAAGGTCTCACAAATAACCCCTGGAAACTTTAACTACAGCAGTTTTAGATCTCAAAAGGGCTCTGCAGTACTTTTAAGGTCAAAAAACAGGTTTACCAGGTAACACGTGTGAAAGCCACAAATCATGTCAGGATGTCAGCCAGATCAGATCAGAAAGCTACAGATACAAAGGTGACTTAAAGCCCCTACTGTCCAGCAGGTACACTTTAAATCGTTGCCATGTATCCATTAGAGGCATCATATGAACTAAAAATCATAACATAAACCTACATTACTGAGATTCCAGTAGAAGTTTTTATCATTCAGATGGACTTTTTGCAGCACAAGAATCTGAATGCAAGTAACCATCAAGTAACTATCTTATGAGGAGGGAGCAGAGAAGGAATAGCTTTAGGGAAGGAGAAGAACTCTATGTAATTTCAGCTGGACCACTCATCTACAAAAACATTACTAAAGCCCAAGAAACAGATGCAAAATTACAGTCACAGCTGCATTCTGAGCAGAACAAGTTGGGTAATGGTACACTAAGCTGCTAATTAAATTGCTAATGATTTTTTTTAGTGCCACTGCAGTATTTTGCCACCTTTGTTTAAATTCAAAAGAAAAAGTATCTAGAAAATTTTCAAAATGGCAAATTTCTGTCTTACTAAATACCAGTGAGAGCTCCAAATATGTGCTGCATATAAGCAAATCTCTGCAAAATGACACAGGGATTTATTGGGAGCTCATTTGCTGACCAGCTATTTCTATTTACTTCTCCAAAATTTTCCTTCCTTTAAACACTGTCATCCCCACCAGCTCCTCTGGATTGACGCCTGCAGCAACACCCACTGTTGGTAGGAGCAGATAATAAACTGACATATGTCATGACATGCTGGTACTCGGAGTATACTATAGCTGCATTTACAGAAAATAATAGCAACAGTACAATTTTATTTTTATTGTGATAACTGTGGTGAAATTTATTGCAGTGTTGGTACTTTAGTGTTTCATTCTGCCAGATTAGCTGAGGGAGGTAATTATATCCTTGACATGAAAATGCCTTTAATGTTTTCATTTCAATTTTGCAGTTTATAATATGCAGATTACAGCATGATCATAATTCCATATTGTTCCACGTACAATTACATGGCAGAACATTTGCTTCCAGGATAATGGAGCTAATTTCTAATAAATGATTTCACCAAGGATCTTAACTCGTTCAGCTCTTGGGTAAAGAGTGATGGCAATATAAAGATGCATCTTTCTCCATTATTTTCCAGTGATTCATGCAGATGTGCATTACTTAATGCCAGGCAGTTCCATGACAAATGGAATATAATACATTTTATACTAATATTTTAAGCAGTAGTTTTGTGCCTTGTTAAGATTTTCCTAGACAACATCCAATCTGTAACAATAGAAATGAAGCTCTAACAAAATACCATGTCTATCCACACGTGTGGATATAAATATATGTATATACACATATATACAGACGAGATGATTCCACACACCAAAAAATACTTACAATATCTTTTTTAATACTCTCCAGCTTTAATGCTCTCTTAGCTCTGCAAGAGAAAAATACAGACAAGTTTTATGGTCATCTAGACACAAAGATTTCTCTTAGTAAGGTCTATAACTGGTAATTTTATAGACATTTTTCTTTCTTGTGTTTCACATTTTTTTAATACTATGCAAGAAAACTAATGTCATCCAAAGAAAATAATTTAACTGATTAAAATACCGTGTACCAAAAACATTGCTTGTTTATAAGGATAAAATATTTGCATAAGAAAATCCACTTCTCCATTTTACTCTAGAGATAAAAATCAAGACAGTGAAGTGAAATCACATTGTATATTTGTCTCTTTTTCAAGGCTAAAAACAAGGAAAGAATGCAAAAGCATTATTATTTACATACCTTCTGAAGAAGGGTTGAAATTATTTTGCCATTAGTAGAAATAACGTATTAGGCATTTAAAACACAGGTACAGCCAAGGTGAAAAAAGTAGTTCTTCCCATCATTTTAGCTCTTAATATGATTCAGTGTTACCAGACTATGACTTAACTGGGGAACAGATGCTCTATGTCTTTACAGGTCCCCAAACCATACGAAACTATCTGCTAGTCTTCCTCACTATACTGATTCAGGAACATGCCAAGCTCTCTCTGCAAAATCTGCTCTGCTGAACTGGATGCCCAGCTGTTAATGGCAACACTAGAAGAGGAAAGCTGAATATTTATAATACTTTATATCGTACAGCTGTCTTCTAAAGAGCAGTCATCAAAATTTTATTGAATGCAGACTAAATGCTCCAAGGAAAGAAAGGTCAACATAAATTAAGACTATTTTTCCCAGAGACAACTGGAACTTTTTAAGCACACTCCTAAATCTTAACAATAGTTTAAAGCATGATATAAAACAATGGGGGGGGGGGGGGGGGGGAATTAAAAACCTTTTTAAGAACAATCCCCAAGAAACATATTTATTATATACAATTATATTTATTATATCAAACAAGATTTGGAAAATGCATCATATTTCAGGGACTTAGCTCCGCTCTCATCTTGGAAAAGAATGTTTTGACTTTGAAGATGACCTTATTCCAAACATATCCTTTTAAAATTTATGTTACTATTCCAAAACTGCAAATTAAAGGATTGGAAAAATAGAATGAAAACACATCTTTGAAATTTATCTCTGATAACAGTGTGATATGAATAGTGTTTTACAACTATCTCTATTACAAGAAGGGGAACAGAAGTATTCTATCTTAAAAAAGCCAAGTAAACAGGTAACATTTAAATTAAAAAAGCGAGTGAAATTCTTGCCAAAGGGCAGTCAAAGCTGTAACAGTTTGATGGAATTCTTTACAATATATTTCTTTTTTTAATAAAAGCCCATATTGCTTAAGGAATGCAGACTCCATTCCATCTTTCACCCCGGTGGCAGCAGAGAAACATTATATTTATTAATACATCTACTCTGAAAGGATGCTCTAGGGGCCAATGCATTTGCATGTTATACTAAGGCATGTCATGATGGAAGTTTTTATGATGGACTTCAAAAGAAGCTGGAAGCCAAAGCAAAGCAGAATCTGGACTCGACATAGCTGTAGGATGAAGATAAATGAGAAATGACATGAAAATCCCAGTAAATTATAAACATTTAGAAAATTTCTATGGTGAAAGTTGTGAACTGGTCAAGGCTATGTTCTTTAAAGTCTGTCAAATATTGTAGAGATGCAGACAGCCCAGATTTCTTTTTGCTGGTCTGTAAAACCCATGCAAACACCTTGAGCGAACAGGCAGCCTCATTCCAGGCAAGCACTTCAATGTTGGAAGGAGCTGGCATATCGTATAGGGAGATAACAATTTTGGTTTCAGGAGTTCACCTTTGTTTTTCCCAATCCACCCCACCCAGCAGCTTGGTTTGCTTGTTTTTAGTGATTGTCTTTCTGATGTCATAATGTGAGAAGGTAAATCTCTGGGCAACTGTGATTCACTCATATTAAGTTAAAATGTGTGGCTAGGACAACTGAAACAAAATTCATCCAGACATCGAACATGAAGACCCAGCTGGCCAAAGTGTCTTCTTTCAGGTCGTTCCAAAGATGAACATGGAGAAAACCCCATACATGCATCTAGGTGCAAACAAAATCCTGAAGTATTTTAGGAAGCACTATGGAGAAAGAGCACCAACTTTGGTTTGGTTTATCTTTTTTATATGGCTGGAAAAGGTCCCTTCCAAACCAAACTACACTGCGATTCTATAAAAGCCTTCCTTTGGCTATGGTGTAGAATCAAATGTTAGAATGTGAATGAGAAAAGGAGATAGAAAAATGAGGCGTGTGTAATGACAGCACACTTATTTACCTGAGTTTTCCTTCTGCCTTTGAATTGTTGGCCTGACAACTTAACTAGGCAGAGCACGATGGCACATGTTTATGGCTAATGTCCATCCTGCAATGATTATTTTGTTCATAGGATTTATCAGCTTAAAGAACTACATATGACTTCTACAGCATATTGTTCATCAATCATTCCAGGTCATATTGTCAGTCCTGCTAATACCTTCAGTCATTTGAACAATGCTTTGATGAAACCACTTAGATGAGGAACTGTTTAACAGTGAGAGTCTTAGGTATGCAATTTAACTTTCCATAAAGAGATAAATTATTTATATTGTTTTTAATTCCACATACACTTAAAGTTCTCTCCACAATTCATTTATGAATAAATGCAATGGCAACAGCCACATACAGATTGAATACACAAAAAAGAAGATAGAGAATCAGGGACCTGATCATATTATTTCATTAAACATACCCTAGGGAGTACTGTAGTGCATTTTGAGGCCATTTCAGTTAGCTTCCACTTAACATTCTGCTTTTACTGGGGAAAAAAGAAAGTATCTCTAAGCTATTTACATATTCATGATATTTGCTTCATCTTCAAAACCTGCCAGCAAAAATGTCTTATTAATACGAAAAGCAGAAGAAATCACCTTGAATCATTTTCTATGTTTGGTTTAAATGGCAGTTAAACTCAGTGTGCAATCAGGGACTTAAACACCAAAACGATATCAAAGTTTGTGTATTGGTGTTTTCTTTGTATTACTACTGTCTGGCATGATTACTTAAAGTGGTCAAGAATGGCAGACGTTGGAACCTATGTTAGCTCTAACATAAGTTATCTTTGAAGCTGTGTAAGGAGCTGTAAACTGAGATACTATCCCAAGCCTGTATATAGGTAGCATGAGCCTCATGGTCTCACCTTAACAGCTGTTAAAGTTAGCAACATCCTACGCATTATTGTTCTTCAGAAGCCCACGATTAGCAAAGATACACAAGAACAGCACCAGACTTTGAATCACGGAATCCCAGCCTGGTTTGGGTTGAAGGGACCTTAAAGTTCCTCCAGCTCCAACCCCTGCCACAGGCAGGGACCCCTTCCACTGGAGCAGTTTGCTCCAAGCCCCTGTGTCCAACCTGGCCTTGAACACTGCCAGGGATGGGGCAGCCACAGCTTCTCTGGGCACCCTGTGCCAGCGCCTCAGCACCCTCACAGGGAAGAACTTTTCCTTACATCTAACCTAAACTTCCTCCGTTCAAGTTTTAACCTGTCGCCCCTTCTCCTATTGCTACAATCCCTGATGAAGAGACATGTTTATCCATGGGGAGCGCAGCGATAAACCACCCCTCCCTCCCTCCCTCCCTCCCTCCCTCCCTCCGGAAGCCGGACACGGCCATGTAACTTATACTTCCCCCCATACCAGCAGGCATCGTCCCCCGGGACTCCGCCTGGACAAGGGCTCTGCCCCAGGGAGCCACCATCTCAGCCGCTTCCCGGTCAAACCCAACGCTCGGGAGACGGGGCTGGGAATAAAACCCGCCCTTCGCACAGAGCGCAGCGCTCCTCCCCTCTCCGGACAGCCGGGCGAGCGCGCTTCTCCTCAGGGAACGAGCTCGCTGCCGGAGCAGAAGCCCGCGGGTCGCCAAGGAGGAGCGCTCCTCCTCAGCGTCCCACACGGGCCCCGGCTCCATCTCCCGCCCCTCTCCACTCCAAAACCTCCCGCTGCGGAGGGGGGAAAGGGGCTCCCAGAGCCCAGCTCCTCAGCCCCGCCGCCCGCCCCGGTACCTACGACATCGCGTCGCCTGGAGCCGCTCCCGCCGCCGTTGCGGATCTCCCGCCGCTGCCGCCGTGCACCGGCCAAAGGCCTCCGGCTGGAAACGGCGCTGAGGGGCGGGGCGGGGCGGGAGCCGAGCCGAGCAGGCCCGCGGCGCGGAGGGGTGGCTCCTCGGGCCCCGCCGCCCCGGTGCTGTGCAGCGGTAGGAGCCAGGCCGGTGGTGGCTTCCTCCCCTCGGGAAGGTTGGTGCGAGCGCAGCTTGGGCGGGAGGTGAGGGGCGGCCAACGCGTCCCCTCAGGGCAGGATGGAAGGGGACCGGAGGGCGGGATGGTTCCTGTATGAGGGGCTGGGGGAAACGGGTTGTAATGACTTGTGTGTCTTTTGAGTGGTAAATGTAACCCGAGAAAACCCCTGCGCCCGCTGGAGAAGGAGATGACGAGATTTGTGTGGTAAAAGTTTCCGTGTTTCAGGTGAGGCCTCGGCTCTTGCGCTCGGAAGGTTGGAAGCGGCAGTGGGAAGCTCGCAGCTGGTGTGTGTTTGCTGCGGATGGAGGTCTGGGACCGTGGTGGGAAAGGTCCGTGTGGCGGTGATGAGTATGGCTTAATTCGTAGTTAGAACATCGTTTTCATTAGAATCGTAGCAACTAAAACTGAATGTAATAGGTAGTGTTGTCTTCCTACTTCAAGCCAAGGCTGGATCGTTCCCCTCCATCTGTTTTTGTCTGAAGCGTCGTTTGTGCAGTAAAAACATACCATGGGGCTGCTGGCAGAGCTGGCGCTAAGCTACTGCTCGCTGGATTTCTGAGCAGTGCATTGGCAGCACTTCTGGTCAGAATTGTGGCCCACGTAAGAAATATCTCGGTAGTGGGAAGTTGGAGGAGTATAAAGGAGAGTTCACATTTTATAAACTAGTTGCTGGAAAATTAACATTTATTCTTCTTTTCCTCCTTGACTTTAACCCGCTTCCATTTTGTGTGTGTAATGCTGGTGCTTAATTATAGTGACACCCGTCTGCAGTAACCAGACTCTATCACAGTGTCCCTATGGGGTCCTTTTAATGCCAGTGTAATATTAAAGTGTCAGACAGGCGGTCTGTGTATTATAAATAGGGTACTTCATCCATGATAAGCAATTATTATCTTTCTTTCCCAAGTGTAAAAGACCTATATAACTCAACAAGGTGCAAGTGATTTAGGCCTTCTGAGTAAAAATCCAATGAGTCCTGAAGGGGACCCTGCGATGTCGTTGTCTTGTTGCTGAACTTGAGATATTTAATTTATTATGCTGGAATATATTTTCTGAAGTCAACATTGGATAAAATAATAGGAGAGGCTGTTAGACCAACAGGATTTAGTGGCCCTCTGTGATGGCCTTCTAAAAACCTTAATCACCCTTGGTAAAAGCAGAGAGCTGCTGTTAGAGTTTACTGGCCATTGGTGAGCAAACAGTATTAGTTACTGTTTTGAGTGGCTGTAATATTGTAGAAAAAACACATTTTATACTTTTTACCATGTATTTACAATTATATGGGTAGTGTTCTTGTACTTTAAAGGCCTGAGTGGCACAGTTTTATGCACATTATATTCAGATAACTATTAAAAGTAGAATAGTGTGCTTTACTTCACATACTTGAAGGATTAAGGGTTATAATTTTGACCAATTTTACTATTAGCTATATGTTTTATTGAGTTACAGCTAAAATCAGCAAACAAAAGCTCAGTCTACTGTGGGTTGGCACCATAAAAAATATGTAATCAATTTAATAACTATATCACTTCTTTAACGCTGGATATTATATGGCGTTTATGATATCAACAGTGTGTCTGATGAAGCTGTGTAAAGCTACCTGGTTTTCCAGCTGTATCAGTCTTGGAAATATGAAAGTTAGCTTTTGAGTGAGGGTGAAAATCCTGACAAATATGCAGTTCAACATAAACATGGTCACATGTGGTTTCCACTGGAGGACAAAGGAGGCTTTTACTCTGCTGTTAACACCAAGAAATATAACAGGGAATCCAACATAAGTGAGTTGCACTCGTGCAGCCACAGAGCTGTCTCCAATGAGGTGAGCACTGCATCCATTCTTGGTAGTATTTACTGTTGTTGCTGTTTGGTGAAAAAATCTTTTAGATAATTCTGTGCCTCTCACACCTGTGGCCATGTTTAAATTTACTTTTTTCCCCCAAAACCACTCCAACCTTTCTACTGCTGGTGAGCTCTAACAACAGTGAGAGTGGCACCGAGAGCAAAACAGCGGTAGGTATGGTATATTCATTTATTAATATGAACATACTGTAATAATATTATGTCCATTAATGTCAGCATTGTGACAGATCATGCAGAGTACAGACAGTGGTAGTAAAGTCCTCAGAGCCAACAAGTGTGCTTCTGTACAAATTAAATTATCCCATTCTTTCTGTCATTATGAGAATTTAGCTTATGTGGCAAGAATAGAAATTCTGGTGAAAGTGTTTAGGAAGGACAAGTCCTAGTGGTTCATTTCTAAACATGGACAGCAATGATTTCTATCAGAGATAACTTGAAAGTTTGTTTTTATGCTTTCAAATGACGTGACTGTATAATCATTGTGATATCAAATGAGAATTAAAAACATGACCTTGATGTTAGGATAGGTTTTGCTAGTCTGTGTTTCAGAGGACAAAGCAGATGTGTTCTTAAACAGGCAAGGCAGTAACAATTTGTAACTGTAATTGTATCCTTCACAGAATGGCCAGCAGTCCTGAGGATAACACTTCTCTCTCCAGTGAGAAAGTCATGCACCCAGGAAGTCTGCAAGCAAAGAAGTCTCAGCATGAAGAAGAAGCCACCTTTTACATGAACTGCCGAGCAGCTTATCTAGCTGTTTTAAAAAGCAGTTTAGAAAATATTAAGTCAAAGGAACAACTCAGATTAGGTAATTAATAGATTATTTCTTTTCCCTGTAACTACTGTGTGTGATGATTACAACGGGTAGTTTACAAGCAGCAGTCAGCAATTCAGTAGTGTGTAACCCAGTGCATAAACTCAGTAACTGTTTCAAGCAATTTACAGTAGGTTTAGATAGAGTTCAAATTTCAAGTGTTGGTAGGTGCATCTTTGAAGACATTTTCATCCTTAATCTTGGCTGCTAAGCGCTGGAAGACTCATGGAAGTGGGAGTGGTAGACAGAGCTTTTCATCTGTAAATCACCAGCAGGATTGGGCAAAAGTCCATGTTAGCTGTCAGCTTACAGAGGACCCAAGTAAGTTGTTTAAAAGCACCAAATTTGATGGTAGTGTTGTTGCTTACCTGAGGTGGACCTGTTTAGTGCTTTGTGATTGTGACACTTCTACAGTAAATTTTTCCCTCTCCCTGTCAAATGATTAAGTGAGTTGGTCTCAGTACAGTTAATAATTGTGGGCAATTGCCCTGGCCCAGAAAATCACCATGAACTGGCATGAATTGGCACAGAGGTTTGCAGACTCGGAGAACAGGTTGGTACTGTAGGCGCAGATACAGGAATTTACCCTCAAAGCAGTTTTGAGTAAGTGAACATACTGCCTTTCCTCTCCCAATTTATATGATCTAATGGATTGTTTCAGACACTGGTGTTTCATTAAAAAAATCTTACTCTTATTTAACCTCCTACTGAATTACAGTGTTCCCGTAGACTAAAATGAGGTTTCTGTTTTTTCATCCCTCTAATATTTGTGGATAAGTGGTATTGCTGTCAGCAGTGGAGCATGAAAAAATACCTGCTTCAGCTGTGCTGGATAAAGGTGTTTTGTTTTGAAAGCTGTTTGTTTTGAAAATCTATGGACTTTCAAAGTTCTTTTCATGGAGTTACAGAAGTTTGCTTCAGAAATGGTAGTTAGGGCTCTGTGTTAGTATAACATATCTTAGTGACTGAGTAAGCTAAGGAGTAAGATAAGACTGAGCAAAAACCTGTTTCAATTTTGAAATAGGTTTTACTCTCCCAGATAAAACTTTTCAAACAAATATACTCCAACTTTGCTACCTCTTGGAGTTGTAGGATTGTGTTTGGTGTCTTTTGTTGTTTGTTTTCTTTCTTTCTTAGAGCATTTTTGTCTTTTCATGAAGTTTATTCATTGTTGTATATAACAGCATGGGATTATGCTGGGAAACTCATGCAAGTGTCTTTCTGTCCTGTTTTTTACCTGGAGTTCTGTGATGTAAAAATCTTATCTTACTTTATTGGAAACATGTTTCCAGCTCATGTGGTTGGCAAGAAATCATGAGAACATAAATCTTCAGTTAGATAAAGAGAACTGAAATATGTCGTTAAAAGCCTAATGATTTTTATTTTGTGGGTTTTGGGGTGGAGCTCAGAATGCATTTGGGACTGTGGTTTCTCAAGTCTTCCTCATAGGTTATGATGCCAGGAAAAGGTATGTGTGTGTATTGTGGCATTTCAGTTGTTTGTAATAAAACCCCCAAGCAACAGCTAAAGGCAAAACCATGCTGAACTGTCAAATAATTTAGTTATATCATAATTCTAATGACCAGGTTTTATTTGCACATGTGAGGAAATATTTCTCACTAATGCCTGCATTGCCATGCCTAAAATATGTGAGGTCTCCATGTGCAGACTCCACTATAAAAGCCGAGCGTAGCTTCTTCCCTATACCAGTACATGAAGTTCTACCCATTGAAAAGCACCTTCTTTCTCCACGTGACTTAGTGTTTATCCAGGCTTTCTCAGCTGTAATAAAAGTGCCTTTATAGGATCCTAATGATAGTTTTGGATAATCTGGATTTTAAGATAGGAGTGGTGTGAACAAATGTCATCTCTTTTATATATGCTTTGGCTTTCATCTCTATCCATATGCTACTTTGCCATGTAGCATGTGTTTGGGCATTTTGGTTTCAAGGTCAACACAGAATGGGCAGTTAATTGCTCAGGCTCCCAGTCTATTTAGAGATATTTAAGATCTTTAGAATTTGAAAGCGTTCAGAGTTACTACAGACTTTTATTGCATCTTAAGTAAATTCTGGCATTTATCAAATGACTGGTGCCGGTGTTTAAGCATCTCTTGCTACATGATGTTTGCCTAAATTCTAAACTAAAATATTAACTAGAGACTGGCCCTGCAAAATGTTATTTGTCAGAGTTTGACTTATTCATGGAATGTAACTTCATTTCCTGTGTTGTAATATTACTGAAGGTGTTTAGCAGGATCAGTCTGTAAGGAATATTGTGTGCAGTTCTGGTGTCCTCAGCATAAAAAGGACATGGAACTGTTGGAAAAAGTCCAGAGGAGGCCATGAGGATGATCAGGGGACTGGAGCACCTCCCATATGAAGACAGGCTGAGGAAGTTGGAGCTGTTTAGCCTGGAGAAGAGCAGGCTGTGTGGAGACCTCATAGCAGCCTTCCAGTATCTGAAGGGGGCCTATAGGGATGCTGGGGGGGGACTCTTCTTTAGAGACTGTAGTGATAGGACAAGGGGTAATGGGTTAAAACTTAAACAGGGGAAGTTTAGATTGGATATAAGGAGGAAATTCTTTCCTGTTAGGGTGGTGAGGCACTGGAATGGGTTGCCCAGGGAGGTTGTGAATGCTCCATCCCTGGCAGTGTTCAAGACCAGGTTGGACAAGGCCTTGGGTGATATGATTTAGTGTAAGGTGTCCCTGCCCATGGCAGGGGGATTGAAACTAGATGATCTTAAGGTCCTTTCCAACCCTAACTATTCTATGATAAAAGGTGCAGTCTATTTGAACTTCCAGATATACAGACTTGGGAGGCAAGTGCTGTTCTCCCTGGCTATATAAAAATACAGGATTATCATATATTTGAAGGATGCTCTGTTAAAGTAAGTGAATACTGAGCTATATTGACTTTCCAGGGAGCTCAGCTATCCACGTACACAAACACACAGAGAAACTGCCCTTCCTTGGCTGACCTTGACATTGAAATCCTTAAACAATTGCTGCATGCCCAGGCTTTGCATGGATAAAGAAATGAGCTTTGCTGTATTCTCCTGACTGTTTGCAAAGGTGACAGGACAGAAATCTTTATTTAGTACTTGGCATTCAATCAGTGATTAACAACAGAGGTGGCTGGTTGTGTTTGTTCTTGATGGTGACACAGTTGCCTACAGAGAATTGTAACGATGCCACCACCTCATTTCACAGATGCTACTGATCTGCTCTCAGCCTATATAGATTTGGTCGTTGGTCAGCTGGCTGAAAATCCAACTGCCAGTGTAGGAAGAGATGAAGGATCATTTGTATTTCCCTAAAAACTTGATTATATGGGAAGATACAAAACCATCCCTCCATTTCCAGATAGACTGTGCATTTGGATTTCAGTTTAACATGATACCTTCTTCACGCTGGCAGCTGATGAAAGGATATTTTCAGTAAAAATTTCAAGAGGCTAACTAGATCCAGCAAATGGATTTTGAAGAATGCCAGGTCTGGTTGCATACTGCATACTGGTTGCATGTATGGTATTGGCTGTTGGTATCATTTTTCTTTTACGTTTGAAATACATATTGTGTAATTTGAATTGATGAGTTCAGATGTATAGATTTGACATAAAATATTGTTGAAGATAAATTCTATGCTAGATTTCAGTTCTTGGAAAAATAAGGGTGAAAGTCTTATATGGATCTCAGTAGAAACAGTATCTAATAATCTTGCTGCACCTCTCCTATGAAGACAGGCTGAGACAGTTGGGCTGGTTCAGCCTGGAGAAGTCTCCTTAAGGGGAGGCCTTAGAGCAGCTCCTAGTGCCTAAACTGGCTACAAGAAACCTGGAGAAGGGCTTTGGCAAGGGCCTGCAGGGACAGGCCAAGGTGGGCCTGAGAGAGGGGAGATTGAGATGAGCTCTTAGGCAGAAGCTCTTCCCTGTGAGGGTGCTGAGGCGCTGGCACAGTGTGCCCGGAGAAGCTGTGGCTGCCCCATCCCTGGCAGTGTTCAAGACTGGGCTGAACAGAGCTTGGGGCAATCTGCTTTAGTGCAAGGTGTCCCTGCCTGTGGCAGGGGCTTGGCACTGGGTGAGCTTTAAGGTCCCTTCCAACCCAAGTCATTCTAGGATTCTGTAATGTAGTAGCTTACAAATAATGGGTTCTTGATATTAAGGCAAGGGAAATATAGACACTAGGCTGAATTTTCACTTGTCACTTAAGGAGACTGTCTTTGAGTATATGGATATTTTGCTTAATTAAGGGTTTAAACCCATTAACTTTCTTTAAGGATGACATCCCATTGAGTTTAGTACAACAGTGCACATGAGTAAGTGGAAGCTGCAGCTCAGAGCCGGAGCAAAACAATTCCTGTGATATCGTTGTGTTATAGCAAGTCCCAAACTGCTCTCTAGCTTCTTTCTTTTTCTGTAGAAAAAAGTGAGTGTGATTCTCAGCCGTACTACCTCTGTGCTGGATTAGAGTTCGCAAGGGATGATATGGGGTGCTAGACACTGCCTGTTTGATGTCTCCTTTCAGAAGAAGATGCAAGTGAGTTCTTTTGCCCCTTGGGCTGCTTGAGCCTCTCTAGTGCAAACCACAGAATTCAAGGCCAGGGAAGGTCAGACTGTATCAGTAGAGGATTGAGTCCTTCATACTCACTTTCCCCTTGGATTGATGGGGCTTAAATAGAAAGTCTGAACATGGAAAGTGATTAAAGGATGTTTTCAACAAACTCCTTTGCTGACAGCTGGATGATATAGTTAATATTGTGTTCTGTTGTTCAGTGCTTCAACAGGCTGGAAGAAATCCATCTCAGAAGACAGTTAATAAATACTGGACTTCACAAACAACTACGCTGAATTTTGATGATTTTTGTACTATTTTAAAAGAAGAAAAACCAGCTACAAAAACTGAGCTGCTGAAAGCATTTGGAAAAATAGACAAAGATAAGACTGGATATATTTTACATGATGAACTTCATAGAATTCTCACAACGGTAAGTATCAGTGGAAACTTAATTGTCCATCTTTAATTATTAGTAGCGTGACCAGTAGGTCAAAGGAGGTGATCATGCTCCTCTGCTTTGCTCTCGTGAGATCCCACTTGGAGCACTGTGTGCAGTTCTGGTGTCCTCAAAAGGATGTAGAACTGTTGGAGCAAGCCTAGAGGAGGCCACGAGAATGATCAGGGCTGGAGCACCTCCTGTATGAAGACAGGCTGAGCAAGTTGGGGCTGTTCAGCCTGGAGAAGAGAAGCTGCGTGGAGACCTCAGAGCAGCCTTCCAGTATCTGAAGGGACCTACAAGGGTGCTGGGGAGGGACCCTTCATCAGGGACTGTAGTGATAGAACAAGGGGTAATAGGTTTAAACTTAAACAGGGGAAGTTCAGGTTAGATACAAGGAAGAGTTCTTTACTGTGAGGGTGCTGAGGCACTGGCACAGGGTGCCCAGGGAAGCTGTGGCTGCCCCGTCCCTGGCAGTGTTCAAGACCAGGTTGGACAGAGCCTTGGGTGACATGGTGTAGCGTGAGGTGCCCCTGCCCATGGCAGGGGCTTGAAACTGGATGATCTCAAGGTCCTTTCCAACCCAACCCAATCTATGATTCTGGAAATGAGCTGGTAAAACTGTTCTGCATGTGTAAACACATCTTCCTGATCAGAAGAATCAAAAGATCAAAACCTCATGCATGGTCTTTGGGTTTGATTTTGTTTTTTCCCAAATTTTATGTGGTTAGCTGATCTTTCTTCCACTTTTTCACTTTACAGCCGTGCAGTTGATAACCTGTCTGTGCCTTGAAGGTAGAAGCTGCCAGAAAAACTGCTTTGCATAGTTTGAGAGAAAGCTTTGTTGTAAACCCTGTTTATAATGGAGTGCAGCAGCAGAAAGGGAAGCCTGTGTCTCTCCCTTGCGTCAGTTAGTGCAAACCCTCTGTTCATCCCTTTGGGGTTTACAAGCTTTTACCATGAGAAGTAATTACATGCCTTTGCTATTCTCCCCTCACAAGCTGTATCTATGCATGTTCAGATACAAAGTTTAATAATATTTTTATGTTATACATAAAAAAGTCAGTGCTTTCATTTTATTTGATGTTCTGTCATGCCAGTGACTTCACTGGATCTTACAGATAGTTCATCAGGCTCTTAAAAGTAAACTCTACTGGGGTAAGTGAATACTTCGGTTGGAGTTTATGCATTATCCACCTAAAGGATGCAAATGTCATAAGGCTTATCTGTTATATGTTATTAATGCTGCTTAAAATAATGACATTAAAAAAATACCTAAAACTTCTCGTTTAGCTGCTGAGCTGCCACCATAGTTTTAGGCTTCATTGTGTACTCTAAAACAATACCAGTCTTCTGAGGATCTGCAAAGCAATCAAACAACCCCTGATACAGAAGTCTTCCAAGCTGCTGTAGAGCTAATGCTCTGCCTTTAAACTAGACAGATGTACATCACAGATGATGAAACCCACCTCCTTCATTGTAAAAGCCAACCACCCTGCACAGCACAGACACTAAGGAGCAGTTACAATTAAAAACTACTAGTAGAGTTCTAGTAGAATGCTTAAAAGTGAGAATAAAACAATTTTAAGGAAATGTGGAGAGCAAACTGAGAAGGAACTGACAGTTCACATACTGTATTTGTTGTGCTTGACTCGATAAAACAGAATTACTTGTTTACCTCAAACATTGAGGCAGAACCTTCAGTCCTCATTCCACACGAACCAAAAGATACAGTTGCAGTGGTAAGGAAATACTCTATATAATGAAAGGTAGAAGTACAGACGTTGAGTACTACTGTAGTTACTCCATGAAGAGCTATAAACTCTGTATTGTTAAACAACGTCAGGGCATTGCTTTATATAGACCTAGACTGAGGGATTTTTACTTGCAGTAGCAACTGGTGCTGCTCAAAGAGGGGAGGATCAAGGTTTGATTTGTTGCAATCCACTCTGGCTCTGGTACAGTATGTCCATATCATGTGTTCAACAACAATGAAGTTGGCATTAGTTTTCAGTCCCAAATTTACGCCATGGATATATAGCTGAAACATGATGTGATGTAGGTTTCTGTACAGCAAACACATGTTGCCTTGTCATTGCTAACAGCCCTGTGGATCTGTGTAGAGGACGTTGCTGGGGGACCTTGTGGAAGACATGCTTTCTTCTTGAGAGATGTACCTTGTGTCCACATTGCAGGTTGGGCAGTTGAGATGGTGCAGCTTCAGGCTTGGTTCCTAAAGGAGAGAAACTGCTTTGGTTTCACACTAATTATTCCAAGCAGAGATAGGCACAAGGCAAGTTCATGCCTGGAGTAACCCTTTTAGTGAACTGAGTTGCAGATGTAGCCTGCTATAATAGGATAGCTCAAGTAAGTAAGTGAAGCCATTGTGAAGTTAGCTCTTGGTTGTTAGCGTGCTATAATGTAAGTGAGAATGAGGGCTGGGATTCCCCAGTTGTGGAAGATTTTCTGAGACTGATTTATCATCTGTGGTAGGTTTCCAGAGGACACCACCAAAACTGCATAAACTGATGCAATGTGTCTGAGAATTGTAGGGACAATAATTTCTTACAGTGTCAACATCTATTTTGATGATTCCCCTTGAAGTGCATTTAGATCTTTTGCAAGATAAGGTTCCCTAAAATATATTGAAAGAATCCTTGTGGTTTCGTTAAGTGTCCTCTGTAGATGAACACCAGTCTTGATTAGGAACCCAACCTGAGGTGGTGCTTTTCATTGCAGAGGGGTGAAAAAATGACTGAGGATGAAGTGAATGCCATTACTGAACAAGCCGATTTTAACTGCGGTGGCAAACTTGACTACAACAAGGTATGGCAAACAGTGATATTTGTTCTTGTTTTATTGGCTTGATATTACTGACAGTATTAGCATTATCAAACACAATACATACCACCTCCATCTGTTGATTACCTTGGCCTAGGCCTCCCCCAGCTGCCTACATAGTGGAACACAGGCTGTTGTATAGTTCTGTTTCACTCACTTTATCTGGCTGCTATCCTTGAAAAGGTCACTTGCTGCAAGTGAACTTAATGCATTAAGCAATGCCTAATAGCCAGCATGAAGCCTAACAGCCTGTGTGAAATCAAGAGTTAAAGGAATGGCAGAGTAAAGATGACAACTGACAGCAAACTTAACTGACCAGGAAGAGTTGACACGTCTGTGGCATTTCATAAGTTCTTATGTGGGGCACATAATGTACGTGTTGAGCATCTTATTTTCAAGATGCAGCATCTCACTGGGTTTTTATTTGACAGAACTGCTAAATGATTAAGTTTTGAACTGAATAAACAGTCCACAATCATTTGTATATAAATATAGTTTCACAGGAGAAAAACAACTCCCTATTAAGGATCTTAGGAATCTATAAATATAAATCACCTCTTGGGTTGAAAGTTGCACTAAATTTCTCTTCAGGATTTGGACTTCCTTGTTGAATCATGGCTCTATTTTTCTGTGTCACTTGCTTGGAGTGAAATGAGTATTGTGCTTTAAGAAAAAGCATTGCAACTATTGACCTGTCTTTTCCTTACATTTTAATCCTTAAAGAGAAAGAATGTTTCACTTACCAGATTATTTTTGTTTATCCCAAGTTTTGTGATTTATACATGACAACCAGAGAGCAGTGCTGCAAGACTGCACAAGAGAGACTGGAACTTGATAGTCGATTGAAGCAGCAGCAGTTTGGAAATCAAACTGATCCTTCCTCTGAAGAGATCACACTGCCTGTGTCAAAACCATCACCAAGAGTCTCGAGGAAAACTGATCACAAACTGTCAACTACAAAAGGTATTTGTATTTCATGTTGGGAGTTGTGTTTCTGTTGGAGATCATGCTCTGGGCCAGTGAACGTTTGGGTATTTGTTTAATGTTCTCAGAGTAGTGAGGATGTTCTTGACTAATGTTCATTTCTGCTGTGGCAATCACATAAATGTCTCGTAGAGTGTCCGACCTCCATGTTCACATGGACTTTGGCTGCCTCGATGTTCTCAAGCCCTTGTATTGTAAAGGGTGAATTTTGTGACTCTCATATGACACAGTCCAGAGGGAAGAGAGAAAATGAATGCTCAGATGTTGTAATACAGGCAGATTATTTATTTCCTTCCCAGGTCAGAGATGAAACCTTAAACATTTATCAATGTGCAGTATGTTTGTTTCAATTATTGAGGCCCCTTTTAAAGCACAATCAATATGAGAGTTTAATGTTCTTCCTGAAGTTACAAAGATATCTAAAACCTTTCCAAACTGGAAAAAGACCACAGGCTAACGGACTTCAAAGGTACCATGTGTGAAATATTGCATGTAGTGTGTGCCTTTTAAGTTGCTTCAATTCTAGGCAATACTGAAGAGGTGTAAAAATGACAGAACAGTGCTGAAGACTGAGTTTATGTGGTTAGATAACAACTGTACTAGTAGAATTGCCCCAAAATAAAGAGCCAGAAAGTAAATCCTTGGAAGTAATTGCATTGGGCAGCTCTGTGTAAATGATGCACTATATGGCAGGGAAACTTTATTGTCCTGAAAAGAAATAATTTGAAATTAGAAGCAGGTAAAACCTATCCACTCAGGAGAGGTTTACGTTGGTTGCAAGGTAAATGGAATCATGTGGTAACAGTGTCTCATCCTTCAGGCAGATTTGATTCCAAGGTTTTGCCATTTGTATTCCCATTCACCTGGGATGTACATTCAGAGAAGTAAAGATGTTTGACTAGTGAATTGTTAATTGTTATATACATATAAGGGAAGTCAGCTTCTCTGATTTAATTTCTTGTCATCCAGTTTTTCCGGACGCCTATGAATGTAAGGCTTTATGCTAAATAGCACTGGAAGTGGGATGATGTAATTGTAACCAAATACCTATGTTTACAGGTGATAGCAGAACTCCTTCAAGACCATCATCAGCTCAAAGCTGCAAAGCATCTATCTCTACCACTATCAGCATGGCTGCCAGGAGCAACAGAAACACAAAGCTAACTGAGCCAGACACCATGAAGGTATCATGTCGGCCAGTCCTATTGGGATTATGCTGTTTTCCTGTAGGCACGTTATTGCATTTTAAATAAGAAACCATTTTTCTCCAATTTTTAGCTTATGTTTTAGTAATAGTTTGTCAAGGACAGCTATAAACTACTGAGCAGTTTCCTGATCCATGTTGGTATCAACATTTTTATATATTGTTGGTTTTGCTGACACTTAGCTATTGACAATAATTTTTCAGGTGTGAAGGTTTAGTAGAACAAAGTGTGTGCTTTATAAATGAAACCACTGTTGGATAAAACATTTAATGACTTTTTGAGAAATTTGAAAGTTAATAATTGATTAGGTTGGTGAGAACTTTAAATGCTTAAATAGCCTGAAAGATTGCGTATCATAAACCTTTAGATGAAAGGTAATTGGAAATAAATAACAGAGCTGAGAGCATATTCAGTTGTTGGGCATTACTTTGTAAATATATGCTGTAGCCTGAAAATATTGATTTTTAGTTAGACTAATATGCTCTATCAGGATTTTCTTTTAAATAAATCACTCATTCAATATAAATCCCTGTGGGAGAAAGACAACAAAGTCACTTTGCTAAGTCAATATTTGTAGAGTGTTAATATTGATCTCTTTCCTTTGTTTTCCCTTTCTTGACTGAACCTTTACTAGTTTTCTTTCACTAGAATATAATAGCTGTAGAAATATAAAACATTAACTGGAAACTGCTAGGGTACATTAAAAATGTGCACCTTGAGACTCCTCTATAAAGGGGGAAAAATGATTATGACCACATAGTATAACTGCTGCTGGAAAACTGAACTGATTGTTCTCATGAGTTACATTTTGTTTCAAATAACAACTCTGTATTTGTTATTGAACTCTGAAGTCCTCTATGTCTTCCACACTGCTATGCAGTGACATTTGCTCTATATTAAAATTTCAAACCAGAATCTCAAAGGAATTCTTTGCAGTCTGTTTAGGTATCTGGACCTCCATGCAATTTAACCTGCAATTTCACCTTGTTCAAACATGATATGTAGTATATAAAACCATCGCACACTTCCCCAATATTGGATTCCTCTTTCTTTGTACAAGCTAGTAAAACCTGACTGAAAAAAAGCAGCTGCAGATATTGATTATTGTTAATTAGCATCATACAAACCTGAAATCAATCAATAAACAGGAAAATATGTAAGTAGAACTAGTAATGTTTTAAATCCTAACTATTAAGGCCACAATGCAAATTCAATGTCAAAATCAATGAATAAATACACAGTGATTCGTTTGTGATGTGGATCAGAATCTAACACCCCAAAGTTCTTCTTTTTTATCTTATATTCAGAAGTATTTACCTTTTCTTTTTCTGCAGTTTACCTGTCTTTTTGGGACAGTGACAAAATATTGCCACTGTGAAGTTGGACCATTGCCAGCTTAGATTTCATAGAATCCTGAAATGGTTTGTGTTGGAAGGGACATTAAAGCTCATCCAGTTCCAACCCTTGCCATAGGCAGGAACACCTTCCACTAGAGCAGGTTGCTTTAAGCCCTGTTCAACCTGGCTTTGAACACTGCCAGGGATGGGGCAGCCACAGCTTCTCTGGGCACCCTGCGCCAGCGCCTCAGCATCCTCACAGGGAACAACTGCCTAAGAGCTCATCTCTATCTCTCCTCTGACAGGTTAAAGCCCCTTGTACTGTCACTACTGACAGAAGAAAGCAGTGGAACAGATTTCTGACAGAGCAAAATAGTGGAAGTCAAAGCATTGTGAAAGTCTAGATTCAGAATCCCTTGAAAACATGAATGTATTCATAGTACATTCTCTGTGTTTTAGTTAGTGGAGTTCAAAATGAATGTTCAAAACCATATATGTAAATCTGGGGAGAAAAGATCATTTACAGAAGTGCTGCAGATGTGAATAAACTGCATACTGTCCTGTTGGACTTCAACTGAGTTGAGTCACAAGTCATTAAAAGAAGGCTAGTGGAGATCTTAAATTTCTGCCAAGTTTTCTTTGTGTTGGTTTCAGTCAAGATTGAAAGACATGAAAACCAAATCCCAAGCAGTGTATTGTGTGAAATCTCCTGTCTGCATTGGGTAGCCAAATTATCCCTGCTAAGGAGTCTCACTTTTGCATTCTGTGCTGTTTAAGTCGGTGAAAGACCTGTACACACAGAGGGTAGCAGAAGGAATACCTGACAAAAAGTCTTCTTCTTGAAAGAAGCACTTGCATGACCCCACTCCTACCTGTGAAGTAGCCTCACGCAATTGAACTAGCAATAATTTCTCTTTGTGTATGAACAGGTTTGTATAAGACAAAGCATTGAAATTCTTTGCTTTACTCAGAGAAACAATTCCTCTCACGAACATTGCTTTTTATTTGGAGTTATGCATGACTGTGTGGACAATTCCAATAATAACTAAATGTAATGGCAGTAGAATTCATTATTTGGGCAGCGACCAGCGCTGACAGCAGCAGTGTTTTCATTCTGTCACTATTTCAGTATGTGATTTCTTAATGATTAACATTTCTAATGCTACCATTTCCGATTATGATAGCTATTCTTTGACAACTCTTGTTATGTTTTGAAGTGACATACTAAAATCAAAACAGAAAATCATCTTTCAGCTTCCCAAATTTACATCCCTCTTTGTAATTTGACATGGGTAATTTACAGAGCATAGCACCACCTTATGGTCTCTGCAAGAATAACAGTTTAGTATTTGATTCACGGAGCATTGCCAAACTTTTCCTTACTGTTGTTCACATCTTAAACTACGCATTGTTCCTTGAGGTATTTTCCCTGCTTGCTTGGATTGTTTGAGGTCTCTGTTGTAGCAATGTCTACCTGAATGCAAACAGCAAAAGAGGTAGTCTTCCATCTGAAAGGACAGCTAGAAAAACAGGTGCAAACCTACTCTCCATGGACTATCTTGAAGTGATGGTTTGAAGACCACTGCCATAGTGGAAAAGGGGCAATAGAACACGGCTGTTAGTAATTTTTGAACATAAGAGTCATCACAGTATCATTTTGAATAGTTCTAGCACAGTTGGACTGCTGTTAAAACGTGTATTACGTCTTTTTATGTCTCAAAAACCAGCCATAGTGCTTCTCTAGCAGACTTTTTGATCTTTTGGAAATGGTTAGTTTTTAAACAGTTTTGTAAGGTATTAAGTTTAGGGACTAAGTGAGCTGGCAACCAGTTTCCTCAGCTGTGTCAGGCTTTAAGGAAAAATCTCAATGTACTGCATATTCAGAGGCAGAAAATTAAGTGAGAGATAGTATTAGATTCTGCAGTCTGACTATGCCAACACAGGGGGTGAATTTGCTCAAAGTACATCTCTCTTTGTTCTGATTAATTTATAAAAGTACTTCAAGTAGAAAGGACTATAATGAAGATGAATTTGGTAATGTTTGAATGAGAAATGTTTAGTATAGAGGACTTGATCCTGTTGCCATAAAAATCAATGGCAAAACTGGCACAGGACTGAAAGCTTTTAAATCCAGGAGTAATTCATATTAAGAAATCTGGAGATCTGAGTGGGGAAATCCAAATTCAGGGTCAGAGCTGCATGCATTCCAAAAGTTGCTCAGCATCCTGAGTGGATGTACACGAGTGAAGTCCAGTTCTTGCCTGACACCTTTAGGTCACTGACTGTAAAGTACCATCAAGTGAGTGTGAGTGTGTTGTAAGGACAAGTGGCCCTTTAAGAAGGGAGGTGAAACACAGCACTCTGGTAAGACTGTCCGTAAGTGGAGTTAGTTGTCATCTTTATAACTGGGAGTTACATGCAGAGCTGCTCCGATTTTTACCATCTCTCTTCTCAAGTCAGTGTTAGCTTACCTGAGGCACTCAAGACTGAGCATAGGTACAGCCACCTGCACAAAGCTCTCTGCTAAAGTTACACTGAAAGATTCCTTCTTCTAGGCTCCACTGAGAAACATTATCTTCCATTGCTAGGGAAGTGACTAGAAGTCATGGACTTAATCCAGAGCAGAGAAGGCAAACCAAGAATGTCTTCCATTCCTCAAAACGTGAGATATGTCTGTATAGACTTTAGTTTTATTTTGCTAACGAAATATCAGTCAACTGCTATTTGAAATTGAAAATTGGGACCTGCTGTTAAAAAAAAAATCAGACTGAAGCATGTAGCTGTTACAGATTCTCAGCACACTCATGGGTTCTCTAGAAACCATATTATTCACAAACACTACTTTTCAGTTTGTCTTTCCAATAGCTTTGACAGCAATTGGGCAGAATTGGTTAATTTGACCAGTACCTGTGTTTGTGATATGTCTAAGCAAGTAGTTCCTCATTGTTCAGCTCATCAGTTATGTTCTTTGCTTGATTGGCCTGATGGAACTAATGTAGCAAAATGCCAGTAAATCACACAGTTCAGAGAATTTCATGAATTCAGTTTGATTCTTTGTGGCAATTCAAATTTCATTTCAACTGTTTGAGCATTGGGGTAATCTGTATGTCTGTCAAGCATTTTCACAAGTGGAGCAATGTTACTGCTTTGCAAAATGGACTGCAAAAAGGACTATTTGAGTCAATATATATTTTGTTTTAAGTAGAAGGTCAGTGCTGTATTTTGGGGTGTATTTTATGTAGGCTTTTTTTAAATCATCAAATTAATATTTCAGAGAGAAAACTTTATCTTGATCAAAGATGAAGGCAACATCTGATGTTTGCTTGGTTTCCAGGAGTGGCACTGTGCACAGTCCAAAGGATGCTTCTACTTAGAAGAAGATGGTGAAATCATTAGTCACAAGTACAGGTTGCACGTACCTCAAAGGTCTACAATGTGTATCACCATCAAGCCTTTGAACATTCATCAGGAAGAAGGTGAGTATCTCTGTTACCAAAGGAGTACTTACTTACAATTTGTAAAGCAAATGCTACTTTTGCACATTATTGTCCTGTACATAGAAATTTCTTTGTGTTTTGTTATGAAGAGGAAAGCATTATACTGGGATGTAAGGAAAAGATTCATGATAGCAGAGCAATTACCTTCCTGTGAGAAATCAAAAACATCTTCAACTTTTTAACAGAGTTGCATGGTGTGTAGCCACTTTTTGGTGTTCTTGAGTCCTAACTGTAGAACTAAGCCTCTGCATTCATTGTTTTGCTGTGGTCTGATCAACTTCAAGACCACTTAGTAGCTCATTGATTGATTGCCATCAGGAGCTGAGCAGCTATGAGAAATCAGAGATTCAGATGGCATCGATTCAACATTTGTATGATTCAACCATTCCAATCCAACCCAAGCCAAACAAATCAGACATGACCAAAGATTTTAATATTAGAACTGTTAATAGTAATCATTATCTGTAAGACAATGAGAAGATCTGGAACAATTTATCTGAGCAGCCTAAATAGGAAGGAAATCCAGATAGCATATAATGGCTTCTTCTTTTCTATGTTACATTGACAGGGATCTTTAGTATAAATACCTTGGAAATATCGACTTTGGAGTTCAAAGAAAAAGCATTTTGTGTCATTATTGAGCATTTGTGTTGGGAATGTTTTTCTTTTTAGGAATATCTTGTCACTGGTTGTCAGTGGATACAGCTTTGTATATTCTGAAGGAAAATGAAACCCAGGAAAATCTGCAGCTTGTGAGCTTTACTGAACAACAAAACCAAGAGGTTAGATAGTTCTGTTGTATTCCTATTTTACTTGTTATATCTCTAGTGTATGTGTTAATGGTGCATGGGTGAGTTCCCACGTGTTTTGAAGGAATTCAAACTGTACCTAATCAGACTAGAGAAGAGGAGGAACACTTGTTCTGTGTATGTTCCTTTTCAAAACTGACAGCACTTTTGCAAGGTAAGATGTAACACTATCTTAGTTTTGCCCTTTGGATGGGCTGAGTTGCAAACCACATGTTCAGAAGTTTATTCTTCTGAGGTCCATATTACCATGTGGTGTATGGGCAAGTGTTGTGGAGTTGCTGGTTATCTGTATATATACTCTGTGGAAAGTCTCTATGCTTCCACATATCGATAGATATAGATATCTATATATAGCTGTATAGATACTCTGTGGAAACTCACTTGTATTCCTGCACCTGTAAAACCAAAATTTCAAAGGTATAATTTGTTGAAATTCCCTATAATTTTCTTTCTCCTTGCCTGATACGTGATTCTGAACTTCGCAGTGCACAAAATATTCTTATCCTGTGGCAGGAATAGGGAAGGAGAAATGGCAGCATTAACTTCCTTCCCCCTTCCAAGGCACAGGAAATTCAGCTTGTTCTTAAATGCTGAGTTACATGTGACTTTTTACATAGGAAGTTTTTGTTGCTAGTTTGAACTAAGCTGAATAATCAAGGAGGAAATAGAAATCTCAGTGGTTTTTGTCAGCCTGCTGTTGTTTTAGAGTTTAACAATTAGAGTGTGTTACAAATCTGAAAAATGATAGCACTGTTAGTAGACATTTCTAGTAATGCCTCTTTTCCCCTCATTTCTGGTCATATATGTTTTTGTAGATTTTAAGTAAGAGGTTCACCAGTTTTTGTGTCTTTAAAGTGATATTACACAGCATCTTGCTGCAGGCATTTCTTTAAGTGAAGAACCTAGCATTGCCAGTGCTTTCAATTCATTAATCATGTTGGTATGAATATAACTAGTAATAAAGAAAGGTATCATGTGAGAAGTAACTTACAAACTTGGCTGCCTTCCTTTAAGAGTAGGTGTCTGGCTGGAAAGGGGAGCTTGGATCAGGTGTTTACTGGCTGCTCCCATTCACAACTGGCTGTAAGCTGAAGAAGGTAAAAACGCAAATTAGTGAAGAAGCAGAACTGGTGTATAGAGATGAAGATGGAGAACTGGCTCTGACCCCAGAGTTCCGGTGAGTTGTATTCCCAAATAGGCATGGTATCCGTTGTAAAAGTGTGTGCTCCAAATAACACCTAGCTTTTTTAAGCTGTATGTTACTAAAGCAGAAACCTAGAATGGTTTGGAAGGGACCTTAAAGCTCATTAAGCTCCAACCACCTACCGCAGGCAGGGACACCTTCCACCAGACCGGGCTGCTCCAAGCCCCGTCCAACCTCACCTTAAATACTGCCTGGGATGGGGCAGCCAGAAAATACTGTTTGTGCAGAATGTTCTCAAATAGATTGACTAGGTATCAACAATATTAAGAAACAGTAAAGGGAACAGAAGTACTTGGAAATAGTTCTGCCTTTTTAATCTTTTAGAGCTACTTTACTGGATATATTTGAAACCATTGATTTGGATGGAAATGGCCTTCTGTGTTTGGAGGAATACAACTTCTTTGAGCTGAGAACTAGTGGCGAGAAGTGTGATGAGGAAGCATGGGCTGTATGTAAGGGTAAGTTTGTTGCTGTGCTTGATACAAATAATTAGGGCTATAATCTACTTACAAGCTGTTGTTAATAGCATGCTATTATGTAACTAGTGTGGCACTACTCAGTATTTCGTAGCCTATACCAAGAACACATGTAGATACTGTTCTCCTCCCCTTTCAGTTTTCTTTTTTTCCCAGTCTCCTGTCCTTTGTTTTGCTTCATTCTGGTTTCTGTGCCGCTGACGTTCTACTGAGAAAACTCTTCCCATTGCTAATTGCAAAGTTTTGTGGGTGAAAGATTTTGTAGCTGTGAAAAACTGCAGGTTTTCTTATCATAATAATCCTACACTGGTTTGGATTGGATGGGAGCTTAAAGTTAATCCAGTTCCAAGCGCCTGCCATGAGCAGGGACACCTTCCACTATAAAGGTTGTTCCAAGCCCCATCCAGCCTGGCCTTGAACACTGCTGGGAATGGGGCATGGATCCTGGATCATATGATAAATTAAATTGTAACAGATAATTGTTTCATCAGTCTCCATTCTTCAGATTAGCTGATACTACTTTCATTTCAGAAAGTGTTGAGGGGATATTCAGTTAGTGTGTATATGGTGCTTTAAAAATGGCATCTAGAGCTTATGATGATTGTTCAGAAAATTAGACATTAGAAAATACCTATTGCAAGGATATATTTTCTTCAGATGTAAGCAGGTTTTCATTAAAAATCTGTCTTTTGAAGGTTCAGATATGGTGTGTCAGTTTGTCCATACTGAGATACTGAGACTTCCATGAGTGAGGTGAGGAAGCTGATAAGGTGTAAAGACTCTTTCACCATTGTTTTCTATTTGCCAATACAGCTCCTCAGTGTTACTGGATTGCCAGCTTGCAGTAGCAGTGTGGGGCTGCAAATGTCAGTTTTGAAGAAAAAAAAAAAAGGAGTTCTGTGGCATTGCTTTAAGCTTGCAAAGGCCTTGAGAATGAAGGTATTTATTTACCTTGTAACAGAACCACCAGCAAATGTAGGCTGCTCTAATAATGCAGTGCATGAAAGCAGTGGGTCCAAAGCACAGGCACTTCAACTGCAGTGAGTGAACAGCTGGAAATTTAGAAGCCATTGTATGAAAATTAAAGTTTCTATAAGAAATGCAGGTTTTTTTCCAGTGGATATAAGGAAGAAGTTCTTTAGGGTGGTGAGGCACTGGAATCGGTTGCCCAAGAAAGTTGTGAATGCTCTATCCCTGGCAGTGTTCAAGGCCAGGTTGGACAGAGCCTTGGGTAACATGGTTTAGTGTGAGGTGTCCCTGCCCATGGCAGGGGGGTTGGAACTTGATGATCTTAAGGTCCTTTCAGACCCTAAGTGTTCTGTGATTCTGTGATTCTGCAACTCATACCTGACATGTCAGTGTGGCATATCATTGTGTATCAGCTGAGTTCATGTTTGATGGAATTCCTTTGTAAGCTCTGACATGTTGCAAGATACTTCAGATTTGGCAAGTCCTGCTAATTATTTCTCCCCAAAGATATAGGATGGAAAACTCATACAAACATACTTTGTTATAACTGAGTTTCTCCTCTGTTTCATCCCTGTACATGCTTTTCCACGCTTGATGACTTTGTCAGTGTCATATCTCTGTGCGCTGGTCTCAACATGAGTAGGAGGGGAGTGTGTGAAATGTATAGGAGAGGAAAAAGAGAATATGGTGAATCTTTTACCAGGTCATTAATCAGTGGAAGGGTTCAGATTACTATCATAAATCTTGACACCAAAGTTCAAGCCATTTATTATAGCATCTGTGCCCTGAGATAGATTTATGAAATCGGTAATCCCTTTTTAATAATATATAGTAAAGATTTAGCATTGTTATGAAGATGGGAAAACCATTTTTAAAAGTCTCTGACACAAGGACATTTCAATTATGTGTTTGCTGACATTAGAGTGCTCAATCTATGATATCCTCTCTAGAGAAGGGTGTTAGGATTACTGGCATTTTATTGCTTTTTGGGAACTAAGTAAATCATTTCTGTATCAAGGACCTCAAGCACTAAGGGTGCTGGCTCCAGCAGACTTTCATTTCCTACTCCTAATATATCCCATTCTCCAAATCTCAACCATAACAAACACTGCTAGCAAAAAGAAAACCAAAACCCAGTATCAACTCTTTCTGTTTTGAAATCTCACCCTCTTTTGGGTTATACAGGGAGCAGCTGTTTCTAGTCATTATCTAAAATCCACAGGGAAGCTCTGGAAAGAGCTGGTCAAGGATACTGTTTCTCAAATAATATTGGAGAGTCTGAGGCTGCAGGATGGCTCCATCTTTTAAACCTTGTTAACATAAGTGCACGTTTGGTTTTGGAAGGATAAAGGGTGTTTGTAGAGAGAACAGATATTTAAGTGCTACCTTATGTTTCTTTTTAAACAGAGAATTTTGATATGAGGAAGAATGAGCTAACAAGACAAGGATTTATGGATTTGAATCTCATGGAAGCCAATGACCGTGAAGGGGATCCTAGTGACCTTTGGGTCACTTTATTGTCTCTGGGCTACAATAAAGCATTAGAAATGACAGAGGTATGACAGCCATATAGCAGAAATAACTGCTTCACTTATAACATGGTGCACATGCTTAACTGCAGGAGTGTTTCTGTCTGTCATAAATTGATTTCAGTAGGTCAGTGATCCAGTCCAAACGCTGTTAATACAGGGTTTACACTATGACTTTCAGTCATTATGGTATCCTATTCCTTAATACATTCTTAAAAGAAGAATTTTGCCTTTTGCTTTAGGGAAAGCTGGTATTTTGTGGGATTATAGAGGAAGGAATCCTGGGTTGTACCTATTGAAAGAGTTCAGGCACCTTGCAGGTGGGAGGTCATAAGGAGACAGTGACAGTGAACTGTGACCTGTCAACAAACCTTCAAAATGCAGGACTTGCTCTGCTTATGAAAGTCACTTTCCTGGCCCAAGCCACAACAGAATTGCGCTGGTATTAATAGTTCTCACTTAGGAAAGAGGATTTCTTTAATAAAGAGAAACTAAATATGGAAAATAAAACATTAAATATGCAGACAATTTAACATTTTAAAGATCATTCCCAAGAAAATATGATTTTTAAAAATCATTGTCTGATTATATTATTTCTTCAACTTTTGTGAAACTAAAACAGGTCTGTGTAGCCACTGTATCAAATAGATGTGCATGAAGCAAATACACACAGACCCAAAAACCCTCAGTATGGTTGAGAGACATCAGTTGCCTGAGTGAAAAACCCGAGATCACTGTGACAGATCTCTTAATGCTGAGCACTTTCCCCCTTTCCTGCGAGTATGGTTGGCCAGAGCAACTCCTTAAGTGTCTTTCTGCATTTCGGACGTAAGAGGGAGCTCTCCTCTAAGAAAGAAGGTTTTGGGGAGGTTTCCCTCAGGTTAGGAATTTCAAAAAGGCATTTTGTGCCTTACTGTGGTTCCTGGCTTATAGCCTTTGCTGCAAAGGACAGTGTAGCTGTCTGAATGCTTTAGCCATTCATCTAATAAATGTACCCCTACTTAACTTGTGCAGTAACTTAACCCTTGAATTCCTTGATTTCAGATGACTTAAGAGATTGGTATTTCAGGAGCATTGAGCCCCTAACAAATTAAGGGCAGAACCTGAGGAATCCTTATGGATTCCAACAGCCATTTGAAAAAAACTTGAGCTGCTAGTAGTGAGAATATACAGACTCCTGTTTGTTACATGTACCTAATCTTAGCCAAGAGAGTGTAACAGCAGAGTGCTTAATGCAGCACTGTAGATATTTTGACTCTGTATGAAGTGGCACAAGTAGCAAGAGTGTAACAGGTAAAGGAGACAGGTTTATTTCAGACCCTGAAATACATTCATACTTCATCTTAATTCCTGTACATTTTGTGTCCAAGGAAGGGTTTGCTATGTTGGAGCCAAACGTACCAAACTGCATATAGAGTGTATGAAAAACATTCATTTGTCCTGAGCTTTCATTTGGTTTAGAAGATGGCCACAGCTCTCAGGTTTTGGGTATTTAATATTCAGTGACATATTTGTATTTCGGTATTCCTACTTTAGAGCATCAATGAAAAAAATATTTAGGAGCTGTAGATGAAAATCTGAGGGGGAAAAACTGCAGATTAAAGTGATGATAAACCTCCATTTCTCCATTGCAGGCATGCCCCTTTGTCATTGACGTCTATGCAGAAAAGTGCAAACCCAGAATTAAAGCCATGTATCTAGAGGCAGGGAGCTCAGAACTCAACAGGGCTGTTTGCAAGTCTGTTGTTAGTAAAGGAGAGGCCAAAGTATTGGATGGCTGTGAAAATGTCATCGTCTATACCTACAGCACGGGTGGGAGAATCACGTCTGTTATTGAGAATAAGGTATGGAATGAGACTTCTGTAAGGTACTTTGGGTTAATGTCTCTTATTATTTTCCTCTTCCCTCCTTGCTTCACTTTTGAGAATTATATTTTCTGATATTTCTCTTGTAAAGTTTCTGTATCTAGTTAATAAAACGAGAAAAAAGAAGAAGCCAAGCTGATTTTGACATATGACTCGGGCTCTAAAAGAGTCTGGATCAGTGCTCTTGAAGGGACAGCTTCTTATAAAGAGGCAAGCACTTGTAAGTATTGTACAGAATATGAATATTTGTGTTCACATTCCAATTTTTCAATATGTTAATAATTATTGGAGACATAATATGTTCATAGTACCAGAAAACCAATACTGACAACAGGAAGCACAGTTATAGAAAGACCAAAGACTACCGCATTTACCCTATTTAACATTTACAGTGCAAATAAGACAGGAAAAGAGCACTGATCTGCATTGATTGTGGTTTAGAAGCATATTATGGGTGACTTGTTAACTGGCCAGTCTTACCGGTCTGCTTTATGACTTACCCAAGCTAAGAACTGTAAATCCAAGCAGAAGTGCTTGGTGAGAAGCAGAGATTTAAAACCTTTCTGCATAGAACATAATGAAAGTACTGTTCATTCTCAGTTTCATTTATATCAGGAACTGTGAGTAAATAAATATGGTGCAGTAAGATGTTGAACTTAAGATGCTTTAGATCCTGAAAGATCACAGCAAGAAGTATATTTTTAAATGGACAAACATGCACAAGTAATATTAGTCCACTGAATGCTGAGTCTCCTTGGAACTACCAGTTTAGATCTGCACTTCGCCCTTTAGGGTGGCTATCCTCAAACATATAAATAACTCCAGTACATGTCAGAGAAAGAGATGAGGTCTGTACAGAGGCAGCTGGATGCTGTCTAATAAAAATCACTGACCACTGCCATGTATACCATTTGGGTTTCATTTGTGGATGACACCATATGGAGCTGGAGGTTGGAAGGCTCTGCAGAGGGATCTGGACAGGCTGGATCGATGGGCCGAGGCCAGTTGTATGAGGTCAAACAAGGCTCAGTGTTGGGTCCTGCACTTGGGTCACCAGAACCTCATGCAACGCTACAGGCTTGGGGGAAGAGTGGCTGGGAAGCTGCTCAGCAGAAAAGGATCTGGGGATGCTGGTCAACAGTGGCTGAACTTGGGCAGCTTGTGCCCAGGCAGCCAAGAAGTCCAAAGGCATCCTGGCTTTTATCAGCACCAGACCAGGGCCAGGGCTGTGATTGTCCCCCGTACGTGGCACTGGTGAGGCTGCACCTTGAATGCTGTGTTCAGTTTTGGGGCCCTCACTACAAGAGAGACATTGAGGTGCTGGAGTGGGGCCAGAGCTGGTGAAGGGCCTGAAGCACAAGAGTGATGAGGAATGGCTGAGGGACCTGGGGGGATTTAATCCTGAGAAGAGAAGGCTCAGGAGGGACCTTATCGCTCTCTACAACTGCCTGGCAGGGGGATGGAGCCAGGAGGGGGCTGGTCTTTGCTGTCAAGGAACAAGTTACAAGACAAGAGGAAATGGCCTCAAGCTGCATCAGGGGAGGTTTGGATTGGAGATTAGGGAAAAATTGTTCCCCAAAAGTATTGTCAAGCACTGGAACAGGCTGGCCAGGGAGTCACCATCCCTGGAGGTGTTGGAAAGATGTGTAGATGTGGCACTCAGGGACATGGTTTAGTGGTGGCCTTGGTAGTGCTGAGTTAATAGTTGGACTTGATGATCTTAAAGGTCTTTTCCAGTGTAAATGATTCCATGATTCTATTCTGTGAAAGAGAGAAAGGAAATTTTATGCATCTGTCTTCTAAGCTTCCCACAGTGCAGGCAGCCTGATTGTATCTTCAGTTATTGTGCTGAGGATTTCAATGGAAATAATTGTTTCTTTGTTATTTCTGTAATTAAATTAAGGAAATACTCCAGTTCCTCAGGGATTCTGTTTCAGTCTTGCATATGTATTGAGTCAGTGGGCAGAGAAAGGTGTCTGTCTTCTTGAGAGCGTAGGGCTACACCCTACGCTCTGTAGCCAGGGTGTGAGCTGGGGAGATGAAAAGACCTTGTGCACAGAGCTTCACATTTCTCTGGGAGTAAGCAGTACCCAATCCATTGTCTGCCCATTTGTGTGCCAAAAGAAATAGTCCTGTCATCCAAAGCACAAACTTACTACAATAGACTCTCTGTGCTAGGTGAATCTTTGTGACCTTGTTCCTGTTACAGGAGGATACTTAGGGCATGGCTAATTCTTTTGTTCGCCATGTAGAAAGGAGGACTTCATTGAAGTGATGCCAGACAGATGGATAGAAGTCAGAAAGCAGCTTAGATTATGTTTACCTATCTGCAACAATACCGTCTTTCAAAAATGACTATTACACTCTGCTGGCCAGAAACCCTTTGTACTGTGAGCACCAGAGGGCTTTTTCAGTCACTCCTTACCAGTCTAATAGTAGCTTCTTTGCTGTGTAAGGCTGACTGTGTGGTGTAACTGTGTTTCTCTTCCACTTCTCAGTGCAGAGAGAATGGTGAGTAGCATTGCCTAAGAATCAAATGTTTTCTAGCATCTGTGTCAAACTGAAATTTATCTGGAGACAGCTGAATAGCAGGGAATGTATCATGTCCTTGGGTCTTATGTCTGAGTATTGCGTGGGATAAACTGATGGCTGATGAGTTTTTATATTTTTCAGTTTTATATCTTGCATCCTTCTTGGAAGTATTTGCACAGCAAGAACATCTGTTCTTTAAGTGATTATAATTATATTGGGATGGGTCACCCCTTGATGAGTGTCTCTTACAAGCACCTTTGATTTGTGGCAGTAAAGAAATAGTCAATCCTGGTCACTTATTATGAAAGGAAACCAAATACGAAGTTTGCTAAGGAAACATATGAAAGGAAACTAAACGTGAAGGATGCTCCTAGTGCTTACACTGGGCATTGAACTTCACTTGTGAGGAGCCTGGTCTCCATTGAATCCTACATAGTTGGTGAGAATTTAAGAACATGTAGTATAAGCTCTGGTTAAAGTGGCCTTTTGCTGGAGGGAAAGGATTTTGGAAAATCAAAATGGCTGCACAATAACAGGTAAAGCTTCTTCTAGATCTGTATCCTGCCTCCATAAATGCCCTGTAGGCGATGTTGCAAGTACAAACATTGGGCAAGCATCCTGTGATGCTTCTCCAGGCGCTGTCCTAGTCTCTAGTTAGTTGCAGTTCACAGACTACTTGAGTCAGAAACTTAAAATCCCTGTCCTTTAAAATCTTAAAATCTCTGTCCTTTAAAGTCTTAAAATCCCTGTCCTTAAAATCCCTCTAATGTATTTTTTTCCAGCATGACTTTCTCCAGTCACCTTTTGAAATTATGTAAACCATTAGTATCAGTAATGTTCTGTGGCAAAGAGTTTTCTTACTCAGTAGTGTTCTCAAGTTGTATATTCACAAGTGCTTACACTGTATCAATGAGTCTTAAATGGCTTTGGCAATGAATATGGGCTCTGGTGAGGCCAAAGTAAGTTTTGAAATTGTTATTCTTCGAAGAGAGTGGTTGTCAGCATTCTTAAAGCATTTCTGTCCCCTGAAATAACAAAGCTGGAGCAAGTGAGAGGAATGTGTAAGTTGTTACAAAAAGAATACCCACTTAACCATTGAGACTAATGGATTCCCTCATGTTTTTTCACTTGCAGTCTGAAAACAAAGTGATTATTCATGTCAACAATGAGCAGAGCAAGAACTGCCTGAGTAATAGGGGTCTTACTGTTTTTGCTGTAGAAGTGGCACCAAAATCCATGATGGTAAGGTTTGTACTGTTCAGCCAACTTGAAATCGAAGCAAAAGACAAAATCACATGACATCTTTACAGTTTCCTTCTGCAGGTCCTTTACCATGATAGTGAGAATGTAGGTAGTGGCATCCCCATCACCAGCACAGATCAGATGTTTCAAAGCTGAACTGTACTTGATGCATCTGTGCAGATTGCTATGCAAGTCCATAGCTATTTGGTTTTTCATATGTATGCCTGTTTCAGTTGTCCATTCAATACATGTACCCTTTACTAATGTTTTTAATATTCTTCCATTTTTAATACTTTTTTTTAGGGCTGTATTTTCTTTACTTGGTAAATTTTAACCAGGTGTTTTGATGTCTATGAGATATAGACCAAGCATGCACTACTCAGAAGCAAAAATGTATGTGTTGCAGCCCTTATGCACAATGTGATTTGCAGGCTTGACTTGCAGACCATGTGTACCCATGCAGCAATTTGATCTGCTGATCCCTGTTCCAGAGCTAGGCAGGCTTTAGTGAAAACCTACATGAGGGTTGTAAGGGATAGAATGAGATTGAAAATGCATTAAATGGTATTTTTCTTCATGAATGAATGAAGAAAATTCAGTTTTTATTATTCTAAAAGTATGGTCCCTTTCTTTAAAAGCAGAGGCATCCAAACTTCGTATCACTGCTTCCCAGTGTAGATGCATTCAAAGCTGTTCTGAACAGGTACAGTCTCATGATAGAGGCAGGGTTGGGGCCTATTCTAATATTGCTGCTGGCACTTCAGATATCTATAGCCTGATCCTATAAAGTGTTTTAGTTATTTAAGTTTCAGTTTCATTCAGTATAAGCTGTAGGCTTAGTGCCCCTTATGGATGTTTTGCTGTCATACAATTAAATCCAATATTAAGTTTTGAATACAAACTGTGACAGAAATCAATGTTCGTCATTTAAATCTTTGTGATGTAAGTACTGAAACAGTTCATTTTGCTTACTAGCACTTTAGTTAACATGCAGTTCTCCAATAAACTACTGTTTCACCTCTGTTTTCTCTCTTGTATGCAGGTTTCTCAGCATATGATGCCACTGAACGAGCAGGAAGAATGGCTTTATAATTGTGTGCATTCCCTCGTACGTTAAACATTCCACTTGGAGCTGCTTCTTGGTAGCATTCAGGCTAAGCCAGCAGATTGTTTTGGCAGCTTTTAGACAATTTATAGTCTTGTCCTTCTCAAAAAGCTGACATTTATACTTTGTTGAGGTTGATTTGTTAAAGCCAATGAATCATCTAAATACTTATTTCTGCTATCACATTTCTGCTAATGGCTTTAGGAAACCTGTATAGTGATAGTTTAAAAACTGCAAATATGTAAAATAGATGGAGTGACTGTAAGTATGTAAAATCCTTTGACAGAATAGTGTTCATGAGATACAGTCTAACAAAATAAATTGGCATTAAAATATCAAGACAGTAAAAATTAGTGCTGTTCAGTAATAGGGCTGACAGTTCTAATGTAACTGTGTTTTATAAAGGCTAAATTCCCTAAACATGCTTTTGTTTTCTATAACATGTAACATAGTTCCATCACATCGTGGAAGTGAAGAAAAGCTTTGTTTAATGGGTCTGATGGATTCCTGATTAAATACTCTTGTTTTGATGCAAGAGGTATGAAGAGGTGGGGTTCATCATGTTGTATGGCCACCTGATAAAGGACTTGGTTTTGTATTTAATTTTCTTTTGTTATTTGATGATAATATTAATCTTACACTTGTTCTGAGTAATCACTGCCTGATTTTATACTCTTTTATATAAAATAAAATCTGCCTTTTCATATGTGATAAGGAAATAACATTATTTGAGGAAAATGAAGTTTTGTCTTGGGCTCTTGACTTTTAACAGCAATTTATTATTTCCAGGGTAGCTGAAATAAGGACTCTGAAGTCCCCTCAAGTTTAGGCTGCAATAGCAATGAAAACCAGCTCTGAGGTACTAAAAATACTCAGCTTTTATGTTTTTCTGATTCCACTAAATGTCTGTTAATGTGGAAAAAAAGTAATGACCCTGGCCAGTGGATGCTTAAAAAGTGTCCGAGTTTAAAATAGACATTAAATGTATGTGACCTCATCTGCAAGGGCAGCAAGTAGCCTGGTAAAGCTATATTTATCTGCCAGCAACTCCTGCACCCTGTTCTTCCTCCTCTGTAATTGTACACTGGGTGAGTAAATGTCAGTTACTAAATGGGAGCTGGGCTGGAGGCTGGCTGTGATTTACACGCTCTGCAATTGGTGCTCGGGCAGTTTTGCTGGGATCTTTAGTGTTCAGGGTTTAGTTTTCTTAGCAAATACAGCAGATAGTATTTTCATTTTCAAAATTGCTTTAAAGAATCCCAGCCTGGTTTGTGTTGGAAGGGACCTTAAAGCAATTCCAACCCCCTGCCACAGGCAGGGACACCTTGCACTAAAGCAGCTTGCTTCAAGCCTGGTCCAACCTGGCCTTGAACACTGCCAGAGATGGGGCAGCCACAGCTTCTCTGGGCACCCTGTGCCAGCGCCTCAGCACCCTCACAGGGAAGAGCTTCTGCCTAAGAGCTCATCTCAGTCTCCCCTCTTATCAGTTTAAAGCTATTCCCCCATGTCCTATCACTACATGCTCTTATAAAAAACTAGTGGAAGTTGTATTGGGAGGCCCCACAGATATTTGGTGATTTCTAGCAAATGTCTGAGCTCTGGAAATGCTGCTCCAGGCGAGGGGTGTGAAGTTCCATGCTGCCTGTTGAAGGAGGAGCTGGGAAATGATGAAACACTCTGTGTACAGCAGACAGTACAAAGTGAGCACTCTGATATCTGCATTTCTTTTGTCTGTAAAATCAGCCCTATTAGATGTGGCAGGAATTCATATACTGCTCCTTGTGCCTTTTAGGAAAGGAATGGTTAAACCTGAAAGAAGCGCTTAGCTGCGAAATCATTGCACATGAGAAGACTTGGGTTTGCTGCAGGTAGGGTCTAGTTTAACATTACACAGTGATACACCATGAAACCTTTTTACTTTTCTGATCCTGTTGCTGCTGGGAAGAGTTTCATTATTTTAACTTTTTAGGTGGGAACAGAATTCTCCATGGTTCTACTTTTCCTGCCCTTGGAGGCGATGAGAATAGAGATTTTCGTTGTTATCTACAGAGTCTTTTGCAGTTTGCTCCAAGTCCAGGCATTGTAGTGATGGAAAAACATTCTAGCTTCTCTTTTTGGGGCTGGACACACATGCTAGCATCTTTAATGGGAGATGTTTGGGAGAAAGGGTGTCTGTTAGCAGCTGTAATTTGAATTTCTGAAATCATAGAATCCCAGACTGGTTTGGGTTGGGAGGGAGCTTAAAGCTCATCCAGCTCCAACTCCTGCCACGGGCAGGGACACCTTCCATTAGAGCAGCTTGCTCCAAGCCCCTGTGTCCAACCTGGCCTTGAGCACTGCCAGGGATGGGGCATGTTTTCTTTGGACGGCTGGAGTTATAATGCAGCTTCTTCGCACAGTTGCCCACACCGAGGACCCTTTGGGGGCCCCGGCCGGGTCTCCCGGTTGTTCCGGTTGCTCAGCGGAGCCCCGAGGTGCCCGGGCGCCGTGCGGTGATGGGCTGCGGGTCGGGGCCCGGCCTCCTCACGCCGGTCCGGGGCTGCGAGGGCACAGCGGGAGGAATCCCCCGGAGCCATCCCCGCCTCTCCCGGGGCGGGCGGCGCCTTTAAGGGGCGGGAGCGCTGGCGGGGCCGGCTCCGGCGGTGGCTCCGGTTCCCCCCCTCCGCCTCCCGCGGCCGCCCGGAACTGCGAGCGGCGTCCGGCCATGGTGCAGATCGTGACCGTGAAGAGCAAACCGTACGGCGACCAGAAGCCCGGCACCAGCGGGCTGCGCAAGCGGGTGACGGTCTTCCAGAGCAATGCCCACTACACCGAGAACTTCATCCAGAGCATCCTGGACACGGTGCCGCCGGCAGAGCGGCAGGAGGCCACGCTGGTGGTGGGGGGGGACGGCCGGTTCTACATGAGGGACGCCATCCACCTCATCGTCCGCATCGCTGCTGCCAACGGGGTAAGTCGAGCGGGCGGAGCTGGCCTCAGCTCAGTGGAGCTTTCTTTCGGGAAAGCGGCATCGTATCGCCCCGGAGGGGAGGCAGGGCCCCGCCGGACGGGCGGTGGCAGGAGCTCCGTGTCGTGTCTGGACGTCAATGGGTGTATGACATGAGAGCTGGTGAGGCTCAGCGTGGGGACAGCTCGCCTTTCAGGTGCTAAAAATCACCTGGAAGTCTTTGCCTCCCTTGGGTACGTGCAGCAGCAATCGCTTGTAGAATCAGCGAGTGCAGAGGTGGGGAAGTACGTGCAGTATCCCTGTTCCAGCTTTTTCTGTCTTCTGGCAATAGCTGTGTTTTCCAGCACATACAAGTGGCACAGCGTGTGGAGCACCATGTCATCCCTGGCAGTGTTCAAGGCCAGGTTGGACGGGGTTTGGAGCAACCTGCTCTAGTGGAAGGTGCTCCTGCCCGTGGCAGGGGTTGAAACAGGATAAGCTTTAAGGTCCCTTCCAACCCAAACCATTATAGGATTCTGTGATTTCATGATACTGAACTGTGTCTCATGGAGACTCCCATCCCTACCTATTCATCTTGTTCCTGTCACTTGATCAGCCCAACAGGAGTCCAACAGGGAGTGTGATGTAAGTGGGGATCACTGTGGTGAAACGGAGTTTGCAATGGGAGGCTTTTCCCCACATTTGGTGTTTTTCCAAAGGAAAACAACCCCTTCTCCTAGGACACCTGGCTCATCCTCAACAGCAGCAAGCGTTCTTCCTCCTAGTCAAACAAGGAGAGTGGGCTTGGTGGTTAGGTTTGGACATGAGGGTAATAACCTAGCATTGCCTATTTCAGCTTCTCAGTAGCAATCAGGTGCCTCAGTGCCTTTAGGTGTCTGCCTTCTTAAGAAAAAATAAAACTAAAGATCACTGCCTTCTGATGGCATAAAGAAACTGGGAGGCTGAGATGAGCTCTTAGGCAGAAGCTCTTCCCTGTGAGGGTGCTGAGGCGCTGGCACAGGGTGCCCGGAGAAGCTGTGGCTGCCCCGTCCCTGTCAGTGTTCAAGGCCAGGTTGGACACAGGGGCTTGGAGCAAGCTGCTCTAGTGGAAGGTGTCCCTGCCTGTGGCAGGGGGTTGGAACTAGAGGAGCTTTAAAATCCCTTCCAGCTCAAACTAGTTTGGGATTCTATGAAAGAAGGAAATAACGGTTTCTTTTTAAGCCACATAGAAATTCATCTTTTTTGATTTGTGGTAGTTGCTCAACTGTCAGTCTGTGTCCCAGCATCCCAGCACCATCCTTGCTGTGTGCTCCTATGGAAGTGATGGATAGCACAGCCTTCCCTGATGGGAAAAGCAGCAGGCACTGGTTTATTTATATGTTCTCGGAAGGGGTTGGAGCTGAAGTGTACAGTGTTCGTGCCTGACTGCACACAGACAGCACCTTGGATCCCTATGAATAAGCAGCCTGGGAGTCTTGTTCCCTGGGATAAAGCTGTAGTTTGTGCAGGTTTTTGGATGTTCACCCAGGGCCTGGTGGGCTGTGGCAGCCTTCCTGGCGCTGAGGAGTTCTCAGCCATCTGCACCTCAGCTGAATCCCAGAAGTAAGCAAGGGCTGAAGGTAAAACTGTGCTGGGGTCTGATTTAGGTGTCTCCTTGGAGGGGGTTGAGGACCAGTCACTGCTCAAATCCTCCACCCTGGTCAGGCACTCACATATGTGCAGCACTATGGCGCTGAGCTTTCTGTCACAGTTGCATAAGCAGATCCCAATGGATGTGCTTTCTGAAGGCATTTGCCTTGTAGCAGTTTGTCTGTGTGTTCAAAGTGCTAGGACAGAATTGGCTCTAAAGTCAGAAAAATGTTCTGGGAAGGCAAGAGAGGAAGCAGGAGGCAGAGGAAGAAAGCAGGTGAAAGAACACATGGGTGAAGAGCCAGGACACCAGTACCTGAAGTGAGAAGTTTTACTTTAAAAGCTTTTCATTCTGAATCATTAATGTATAAAACAAGATACTGGCCATGGCCTGAGACAGAATGGTAAGACCGTTTCAAGTAAAAATTTGGCAATATCACAGCACTACCAGTCATCTACTGATGCAGGCTCTCTATACCCTTGTCTCAGGACAAAGGTAGTCTTACAGGCTTGCCACAGTGCTGTAGAGTGCTATGAAATTACCCCTTTTTCTTCCCTAGAGATTCAAAGAGAGCCAGTAGGTCAAAAGCACTGCAAAATTGTAGATTTAAGTATCCCATTTAGAAAGGAGGAGGAAAAAAACCTCATAAGGGAGCACTGAGAAG